CAAATATTTAAATTAAAATGAAGTTTTTCTATTCTGGTATTGAAGTCCTTGCTTAGCGCAGTAGAAGTAGAGTTTGTCTGAAGTTTTGCCTATCACTTATAAAGGAATGCTGAGATCAAGCGAATGGGTTGAATGTAGGCCTAGGTATTCGTATCACCAGCGTTGTTTAAGCTACTTTTATCGAGTCTTTGAAATATTTGTATATGAACCCAGACGGGTAGTTGTACAGGTAAAAAAACGCGTATAATCTGCAGTCTAGTATCCGGTACCGTAGGAAAAAGTCATACTGTTAATAGAATATTTTAAGAGCTACAGAATAGTTAATCTAAAAATAGCCATGATTCAGGACCAGTCTCACTCTAAATGTTCACAGACATCATTCTCAAATAGTTTTGCACAGATGCTCTTGTATACATAAAACAAAATCAAAGGTCTAAGCTTCAAGCACAGAAAATAAAATATTTCATTTTCTAGCGGACATAAAGCAAAATCAAAGACAAAATGTTCTTCATACATAAATCAAAATTAAAGATCTAGCTAAATAGCTGATCAATACAATTCTCATTTGCCTAATATTTTCTCGGGAATCTTATTGTTATAAATCTTATCAAACACAATGCAACAGATTGTTCTTTTCCGGGGAAAATCTCGAAAAAAGTTTGAAGGCAGGCTATAAAAGTCATCAGTTTAGTCCTTAGCCCTCACTTGTTTACGGATTTCATATTCTGTTGTGTTAGTTTTTGTGTTTCTTGTTGATCTGTTTTCTGGCTAGTTAATCAGTGTGTTCAGCTTGTTTTTATTTAACCCAAACTCGTTTTTATTTAACCCAAACTTGTTTTTGTTTAACCCAAACTTGTTTTTATTTAACCCAAACTTGCTTTTATTTAACCCAAACTTGTTTTTATTTAACCCAAACTTGTTTTTATTTAACCCAAACTTGTTTTTATTTAACCCAAACTTGTTTTTATTTAACCAAACTTGATTAATGAAGTCGGTTAGAGGATCTGGCTGTGTGACGTCATACTTGCTTATAGGGCAGATTAGGCTTCGGGAAGTCCCGAGTTAGGGTTAGACTTCGGGAGGTTTGGTTAAGTCCCGAGTAAGGGTTAGACTTCGGGAGGTAAAACGTTATATTATTATACGCAACGTGTATTACTAAGTATCGATATTATCAAATTAATCACATTTATAACCAGATATCGATACCGTAGAATCGATCTCCTTTATAATCAGATTTCGTAATCGCCACATTTATAAATAAAACAAATAATAAAAAACAAACTTTATAATAATAATCTTTTATATGAACTGAAAATAAAATAAATAACACAAAATTCCTTTCTTTAGAGATCTCACAAACGATCAATACTTTGTATTAAATAAACAAGTTTGTTTTATTTCTGTTTTTTTTTTTCAATGCATATAAAAAAGCCTATGATTATAAAAGTTTTTTTCACACTATTTGATCCATTTTCCACGTAATTGTCATTCGTACTATATGAAGTTGACACCACAATATTAGGCGAGGACTAAAACCCTATCTTAAACTCTCTTAAAGACAATTCTCTCATCCGTCTGATTTCATGGTTGGCTCTCAGTCCTAACTAATAGTTCACCTTCGACGTATAACCAGATCCCACGTGTAACCAGATCACATATATAACCAGGTTACACATATAACCAGGTTACATGTTTAACCGGGTTACTCGTATAACCAGATCACATGTATAACCAGATCACATGTATAACCAGATCACACGTAAACAGATCACATTTATAACCAGATCACACGTTTAACCAGGTTACACGTTTAACCAGATCACACGTTTACCAGATCACGTATAACCAGATCACACGTATAACCAGGTTACACGTATAACCAGATCACACGTTTAATCAGGTTACACGTATAACCAGATCACACGTTTAATCAGGTTACACGTATAACCAGATCACACGTTAAACCAGATTACATGTATAACCAGGTTACACGTATAACCAGGTTACATTTATAATCAGCTCACATTTATAACCAGATCACATGTATAACCAGGCACGTATATTAAAGCCTAACAGGTAGCCTCAGCATGACGTCACATAACTCTGGAAACTTGACCCCCCCCCCCCCCACACACACACACCGCCCTCTTTAAGCCCTGTAAACCCCACTTTAAGCCTCATAAAATCCTAAAAAAAAAAAAAAAAACTGAAGTCGAATAATAACATTTAAGCAGATGTTAAGACAAACATTCCTTTAGAGGGAATGTGTGTAAAGTAAATATTATTTTCTACAAAGAGTAGAATTAGTATTGTGAATAGATCAGTTAACCGAATATTGAACTCAGCGTACACTGTTGGATAAATGAGGTTATGCGGAGTGTGCTATATTTAGGCTACCTTTAGCCCGTTTCACAAGGCTGTAATCCTTCGGTTCAAATCTATTTTTAGCAACATTAAGGGAGTCTTATCAAATCAATTATAGAAAGAAAAATCTGACATTTTAAGGCAGAGACGCTTAGAATTATGTAAAGACAAACTCGTTAAAGCAGACATTTTAAGACAGTTATGTTAAAAGGAGAATGAATGGACAGGGGCTAAGGCAATCATGCTTTTTGACATATTCGAGTCAAATATTTTACTCTATAACCCCGAACCTAACTATACCGGTAAACATTGGTTAACCCTAGCCAGAACATCTAGCCTTCACCATAAACCTAAACCTGACCACCCTAAGACAGTGTTAAGACAAACTTGTCTCCGCTGTCTCATTAAGATCAGTCTTCTACCAGTCGGGGTTAAAACTGAATGTTTTGCGTTTAATTAAAGATAATTGGGGAAGATACAGTGGCGTAGACAAGGTGGGGGGTTAGGAAGTATAACCCCTCCCATGGACTCACACCCATATATATATATATATATATATATATATATATATATATATATATATATATATATATATATATATATATATATATATGATTTTATACATATGGAAAAATATTTGAACCAAATCCTGGCTACGCCACTGGGAAGATAGACGAGCGTGGTAGAATGGCAATCAAACTCGAGGGAGTTGATGAAGTCATAATTAGGGGCCAGGTGTGCCTTTAACTCGCTACAACCCATTGGTAAGGTTAGAATCTCCAACACAAAAGTTAAAGCAGTACTGCTACATAGCTCAGTGACCCGGAGGGTTACAAAATTTAAACGTCAATAGGCTACAAATCTTCACAACCAAAGGCCCACGACTCATCCTCAAAACAAGACGGCTGGAAAGAATCGCATGTGAACATGTATGGCAGCATCCTGTATCATTGTGTGGAGTAGGTTGGGTACACACTGGGGAAAGCTGAAGAAAACATAACCAAACTAGCACTGGACATGGTCAAGGAAAGTGGCCAGACCAAGAGCATCCTGGGGAGGACTATAAAAAGTGAAGCAAATGATGCCGGAATTACATGGGCCCAGCTAAAGAGATGCCTCGACCAGAGTTTGTTGGCAAAGTGTAGTTACAAAGGCATTACATTAAAAGATGTAGTAGAGGGGGGACAAGACATTAAAGAGACGATAAGTCCCACCATTTTCTGTTATGTTTTAATGATTAGAAGAACAGATTTTAAACATATCAACCCCCATCCCCATGTTCTCAGCTAACAAAAGTATTTTCTTCGAGTTTTACAATGTTCTTTCCTTGTCAAAGATAATATGTTCTAATAGGTAGACAACAATCAGAGTTAGCCAGCCATTAGAGGTATCCAGCCAAAGGTGCAGTGGTGGAACTAGGATAGCCCCGGGCTATCATGTGAGCGCTAGGGTGCATACGTTTATTTTAAAGAGTGCGATAGGCTATCGATAAAAAAGGTTATTATAGTTGTTCGCTAAATCAAATCCAGTGCGTCCTCTGGCACCCAGACAGGGTGCTATTTGGCGCCCGGGGCCTTCCCATTAGCGCTACGGCGTCTACTTTCGTTTTAGTGAATGCAGTAGACTATGGATAAGTTGGCGATTATATTAATTTAGTATGCTGAATTTAGTGGGTCTGCCGGCGCTCCGACAGAGTGCGATCTGGCGCCCCGGGCTATACTGTGTGCACTATGTGTTTATGTTTATGTTCGCTTTTAATTTTGCTTTATTTTCTGCATTAATGTTTGCGTTTATTGCGTTTAGGTTTGAATTTGTTTTTGTATTTGTGTTTGCGTTTGTGTTTATGTTTGCGTCTGTGTTTCCATTTTGCTTTTGTGTTTAAATTTTGTTTTTATGTCTGCGTTTAATATTTTGTATTATTTTCTACGTTGCTGTTTGCATTTGCGGTTATGTTTACGTTTGCGTTTATTTTGGCGTACATTTTTCCATTTATGTTTGCGTTTATGGTTATTTTTGCTATTGAGTTTAAATAAATTTCTTTTATAGCTATTTTATGTTTCAACATGCCTTATTTTAATAATACTTAAGAGAAGAAAATGCTTTTAAAAATATGCTTAGAACAAAATTATTTAAATTAGCTTTATAGTCACCATTATTAGACTATTTAAAAAGGAGTAAAAAGACATGGCATAGGTTTGAAGGTTTGCGTATCCACCAGAGGTAGCCATCCACCAAAGGTAACCATCCACCAGAGGTGCCATCCACCAGAGGTGCCATCCACCAGAGGTGCCATCCACCAGAGGTGCCATCCACCAGAGGTGCCATCCACCAGAGGTGCAATCCACCAGAGGTAGCCATCCATCAGGGTAGCCATCCACCAGAGCTAGCCAGCCACATGTGGCAGTCACCATCAACTTCAAGTTAGGGAATTTCCACTAAGCCCACCACCAAACACCACCGCCAACAACAAAGGCCAACCACAATCTCCACCACAACTATCACCACCACCACCAACAACAACAAACTCCAACCACAATTACATAGCCAGCACACTAAGCAGAACGTATTACATTTTGTCGAAGTTAAAAAAAAATTAATTAACGATTATTTGTTTATAAAATTAAAAGAAACTCGCATACATTTAAATACTTTTATTAAAACGTGTATGAAAATTTAGTTCCAAACTTTCATTTTTATACAAGAACCAAAACTTGCGTGTCAGTCTCACAGGGACCTGAAGGCATGTCAATACTGATCAAGTCAATCGTTAGTTGTTTTTTTTTCAACAGTTTATGTACACCAACACAACTCACACTCTCGCTCACACGTCGTATGTCATACAAACTCTCAAAACATCCAACGCTTAATTGTTCCCAACATTATCCGATGAATAGAACATCTAATACATTAAAAAATAAATCTTAAAAAATACAAACTATCGTTTGTTATGAGATCTATAAATATACTTTGTCTAAAGTATCTACTATTATTATTCAATGTATAATGTAGCGTTACTTTATGCCAAAAGTAGGTAAATAAATACATAAAAATATTTTTTTTTTAATTTAAAAAACGAGCCAACTAAAGAAGTAGCTTGTAATAATTATTTAATTTTTTTCTCTTGCTGCATTTGCCAAAACGTGATAATTAATGTTAGAGTAAAAAAAGTCAATGTTTTTTTTATCTGTGCCTGCCGAGAGGAATATTCGATTTATATCAGCAGTTATTTAAAATGATTTACAATTGGACACACATCTTTAAACAAATTTACAATAATGAATGTTTAGAGTGAGCAACTTGAAGGTGTGTGCAAACATAACATAGTAGGTATCACAGGTAGCCTCACTAACTGGACACAGCACTATAGTACTCATTGGTCAGTGATAAACAGCATTGTGGCACTGTGCTGGTCAGTCTTAGACAGCATGTATGCCGTTGGACTGGTGCTAATTGCTGATCTAGATCTTCACATAAAAATAGTTGAATTTTTAAAACTGTTAGCAGATGTATTCAGTGAGTCCAAATTACAGGAGGCAAATGGTTCGAAAACAACGAAATACGAGTGTTTGATGACGGAAGGCGGTGTGGTCTGGGTACTATAGTGCTGTGTCCTTGTCTTCCTAGCTCAACAAAGTGCTTGTGTTTGTTTGGGGTTTATCCCGTGTAGTTGGTGACCCGGATGTTGCTAAACAGGAAGCTGTAGGCCTCACATAGCGGTTGGAGGTAACATTGTAGACAGGTGCCATAGAACTTCTGCAGACAGCCGCAGTTGATCATGTAGGCCCTCATGCAGGGGGTGACGTACCACACGTGCCAGAAGGTGATGTAGGCGAACTCACATCCCCAGCAGATGGCAAGCGGGATGCCACAGATAAGGGTCAGGAACTTGTAGCAGCAGCCTTTACAGCAGTTGAAGCACTTGTAGGAGTTTTTCCAGACACATTTCATGGAGTGGGCGCCCTCTGGTTCACCGATAACCTCCTCAAACAGCACCTGCAATGTCATGATATACCAAGTTAATGTATGTACACAACATAATAAACAACACACACACGCACACTCGTAAATACACATAAAGAAAGGTGCTTATAAAAATGTTACTGCATCTCTTTTCAAACGTCCATTGTAAAATATTAAACTGATCCTTGTAACGTTAGTAAGAGTTTTAAGATTTTCAAAACGTTTTGTTAATTTAGGGCACCATTATCTTGAGATCAGATTTGGCTTATTTTTATTTCTATATAGACCATAGAGCGAATAGACATTAACCGTCCAAGTGGATCGTTGATGAATGAGTTAGGACTGAAGGTATTAAACTATAACAATAATTTTTTTCTTGAAAATCACTTCCTCTCCCCTCCCTCCCACTAAACACAACTTGTGTTATCTTACTTTGCTTTAAGAAATACAAAATTGTTTGCACCTAAGAACATGCATTCCAAAAAGTACCCCAATATATCCCTAAACACCCGAAAAATACACAAAGTTCCCTAAAGTACTTTCAAATACCGAAAATTACGCAAAGACGCCAAAATTCACCAAGAAAATCCAAGAAGTACCACACACACACAAAATGCGAAAACCCTGGCACCTACCCTGACGTGGTCATTGAGGTTGTTTGGGTCCCTGTTGACCATATCCAAATCGCTGGACGACATGTTGCTGGACTGAGCTGACTTGACCACGAACGATGCTGCACCAGGCTCTGCGTGGCGTCACAGCTGGACCGTGGTTTTATACCAGCTGCCCCTAACGACTGATGTCGCTGGTCACTATGTCAACAGGACAACAGAGCCGCTACAAAAATCTATTCTTCGTCCTCCATCTCAACCACTGTCTGACGTCACGTGATGTAAGCCAAGCATCCCTCATCATCCAACCCCCATCACGACACCCTTCACCCCACCCCATCACACGCTACCTCAATAAGCTTCACTTTCTATCACCTCACACTCCATTACTCAGCCCCCACCCCACCCTTCCCATCCATGCCATTCACCCCCCGCCTCCATATCCAGATAATCTCCCCTCTAGCGATCTGATCAAAGAATCGATCCTGCAACGATTGATCTGATCACTTCCTCTGGCAGCAGACTGACACGGTCAGAAACTGGGACACACTGCAACTCACTACGTGCATACGAACAAAAAAAGTGACCAATCAGGTCGCTTTACTGGTGGCATAAATTATGAAAAATTGGTGCGTTACGTTCCTTGAAACACGTATCCTTGCTGTAGACCTCCGGAGTTACTAGCCTTGCATCGATAAAACCGCCATCTTGGTTTACGATAGCAACATGTTTCCGGCCAGCAGACTTAATAAACAGAAACAGCTGGACTTGTCTGATTGGCTGAAGTCAGAGGTGTGTGTAGCGAACCTGGTTTCTTTGGTGCAAAGTGGGCATATTGGGGAGAAATGAAGAGGGGAAATGATAAGGAGAAATGTTGAGGAGAAACGATGAAAAGAAATAATGAGGATAATTGATGCTATGTTAACGCTGGTTTCTATTTTACAAACTTGTATTTAATTCGCAACGCCTGTTTGTGGGCTTGTGGCAAATCTTGTATCTCGTCGAGATTTACAAAAATCTCGATTTTTTTTTGCACGATGACAAGACTTTCTCTATACTTCGTATATACGAGAAAGTAAAAATGGATTAAAAATATTGTCTATATCCCGAGTTACCATCCCCCATAGTGTTATATAAGAATATTCGAGAAAGTTTATTGGAGATCACTCCTGGTTTATTATCGTTGACTTCATACATTAAGAACCATTTAAAAAGTAGGCCTATAAAATAAACTAATATAAAAAAAATCCCTTATAACAACAAGCACTGAAAATCTATCTTTATACTACTAAAACACAACTTTGTTTTCATGTTTGAATATTTATTTGTTTTTTTTTTTTGTTTGTCTGATTGGCTACTGGAGAGAATCTGCACTATGTGTAGAGCTGTAAAATAGTATGTAGGTAGAGAACAATTTTTGTTTATAAAAATTATAAAAGTTTAAAACATTGGGTTTACTTTGAGGGAATAGTGACGTCACATGATTTGTTTACTTTTCAGTACAATAAATGGTGGCTTCAATACAATATTTCGTGGCCAAGTTTTACCACAAAAAACCTCAGTGATGTCACCAGTCTAGACAGCTAAGTTGTTAGTGTAATAGGCTTTCATGCGGGTGGCACTGTTCTAGACATATCACGTCAATGTTAATTTTTTTTTTCATTTTTTTTAGATGTGAATGATAAATTTGACTATCTGAACTTGGCGAGTAGAGTTCATCTGTTTCTTTGTCCTAAGCATATGAAGGGATAGTGTGGTCAAGGACATGCTCGGCCGGAATCGTTTTTTTTTAAACGATAAAAACATGTCTGATACTTGGCGTGACATAGGGCAGTTAAAGTTGAGTTAAGTAGGTCACCTGTGACGTCATATATAAAGGGATAGTGTGGTCAGACCTATGCTCAGCCGAAATCGGTGTTTTTTAAAGATAAAAAACGTCTTTTTGAATGTGGGGTCTGGTTATTTTGTGATGATAAGTGACAGACGTGATGTCATTTATGGATGACCCCCAAAACCCACAATGATCCAAGGAATAACCGGGTAGTCTAGTATTCTACTGAAACTCAAGTTTGTTTATGTTTGAATTTATTTTTGTTTTGTTTTTTTGTCCGTTTGGTTACAGGAGAGAATCTGCACTATGTGTAGAGATGTAAAATAGAATTTAGGTAGAGAACAATTTTCTTTTTTAAACAGACTGTTAATCACAAATTAATTAAAAGACGTTAATTACTTTATTGATTTATTCATTGATAGATTAACCACATTCATTGTAAAAGTTCAGAACAATTATTTTATAGTGACGTCACATGATTTATTTACTTTTTACAACAATAACGGCGGCTTCCATACAAAATTTTGTTTCCCATTCAAAAGTATAACACATTATATAGCTAATTTTCTGTCCGCTATATCTTTAACGATACGTCCGTTTGCTATTTTAATTATGTTTCAACACTTATATCAATTTTCAGCAGTCCTTTTCATTTAAGTATACAATAAATTTCTCTAGATCTAGAATCTAAAGATCAGCTGTCTAAGGAAGTTATTTATAGATCTAGAATCTAGGTCAAACGAAAATTAATTAGTTAAAAATAAAAAAAAAACATTTTAAAATCAGAATAAATTTTTGAGTTTCTATATTAAACTATTTTAGTCCTTATATATTTGATATAAATCTTTGCTTTTTAGCTTCACGGATCATCTAATTCAAGAATGCAAGGTACTAGATCTAGATCTAGCAAGAGTTACGGCAAAAACTAGACTTAACCAAACCAGTCGTAGAATCTAGATAATTCTATCTATTTCTAGATAATAATGAGTTTTAGACCATTATTTTATATAAATCTTTGTTTGTCTATGGAATTGGCTAATTTAAAATGCATTTAGTTTGAAAGATACTAGATCTAGGTTTTACTGTAATAGGCTTCATGTAAATGTTAAAATTCAATTTAAAAATTCATTTTTTTTTATAGATGTGAATGATAAAGTTGCCTATCAGAACTTGGCAGGTGAAGTAGAGTTCACCTGTTTCTTTGTCCTCATGATAGTGTGGTCAGAGTCATGCTCGGCCGGAATCTATTTTTTAAACGATAAAACATGTTGTCTGAGACATTGTTATCAGACCCATGCTCACCCGAAAACTGTTTTTTCAAAGACAAAAACATGTCTGAGTTGGGAGGACACTGGTAAGGTGAAGTAGAGTTGACCTGTTTTTGTGACCTCAACATATGAAGAGATTGTGTTGTCAGATCCATGCTCAGCCAAAATCGATGTTTTTAAAAGACAAAAACGTCTGAGGTGTGACGTCTTTTTTAATGTGGGGTCTGTTTTTTTTTTTTGTTGTGACGATAAGTGACAGACGTGGTGTTTTTCGTGGATGACCCCCGAAACCCACAGTTATCCAAGGGATGACGTGTAGTCTAGTAAGAAAATAAAACCAATCTGCTTTCTTTCATAAACACTATGGTCGCTGAAATATGTAAACGATCTCATGAGTAATTTTGGTTGGGAGTTCCGTGGGTTTGGTAAAGGGAGTGGATTGGAATAGGTAATGGGTATGGTAAGAGAGTGAAGAAAGCTGGTAAGGAGAGGGGAGTGGGATTGGTAAGGGGATATGTAAGATGACTATTACATTTATGATGACTGAAATTTGCCATGGTAACAATTTTGAAAAAAAATATTGTATTTATAAAACTTTCCTTTATTTTAAACAGTGGATGTAGCCCAAACTACATTTTACAGAAATCATCAAAGAAAGGTAAATTATTTAATTGTGTTGTCAGATTGTTGACAATTAGCATTTAAAATCACAAGTATGTAACTGGTTGTTACAAAAGGTGTAGAAAGGTGCAATTTGTGTATAGATAAAATAAATGTGTAGGACTCACTGAAAAAATATAATACTTCATATCACAGATTTATAAAATTTCTCATCAGTTAATGAACATTTTGTAACGTTGTACTTAGATAGCAACATGTAGAAAAAAATCTATATCACAGATGTCGTTTTGAGATTATATTAAATATCTATCACAGGTCTGGGCGTGTGGTCACGTCCAATGTTTCAGAAAACGGTGATGGTGTCGTGAAAGTTCTTTCTATAATTTGTTCTAATTTGTGAAGATTTTAGTTCATTGTTTGTAGTTTCTGCTGATGTCGTAAAATCAAATTTTGCCAAGTGAAACAATGATGTGAATAATCCTTAAACGATCCGAACGATTATCCTGAGTAGTTGGTGACCCGGATGTTGCTAAACAGGAAACTGTAGGCCTCACATAGCGGCTGGAGGTAACATTGTAGACAGGTGCCGTAGAACTTCTGCATGCAGCCGCAGTTGATCATGTAGGCCCTCATACAGGGGGTGACGTACCACACGTGCCAGAAGGTGATGTAGGCGAACTCACATCCCCAGCACAAAGCCAAGGGAATACCACACAGCAGGGTCAGTAACTTGTAGCAGCAGCCTTTACAGCATTCGAAGCACTTATAGGCACAGCTCCAGACACATTTGATGGAGTGGGCACCGTCAGGCTCTCCCAGAACTTCTTCAAACATAACCTGAAATGGCAAGATTATAATAATATTAACTCTAGCGTGGTCATTTTGTAAACAGACAACGTACAAACATAGTTAAACACGAAACAATAATTGTTGAACTTTATAACAAAAAGTTATAGAACATGAAAAAAAATTAATCAAGAGTTGTAGGATAGAAGCCAATAGTTTAACACTTAAAAATATTTAACTGGATACTCTAGCACTTATATTTTTTTTTAAATTCCAAGTTTTAACATTTCAATATTTAAACGAAAATTAAAGCGTAAACTACTAACTCTTATAAACATAAAACGCTCCACATATCGTGTACATGTTAACAAGATTGTACTTACCCTGACATGGTCGTTCAAATTGTTGGGGTCCCTGTTGACAAAGTCGATTTCCTTGCCCATCTTGTCAGGTGCTGGACTGGTGAGAGTGTGTAGACAACTGGATGGATCACCTCCAACTGCTCAAGTCAGACTGAACCGTCACCAGAGATTTGGCTTATATTAACTGACTGCTTAGTGACGACGTGGGATCCAGATGTTGTTGGCACAAATCCGTTGTTAAGATCTTCAACATTTGTGGGGCCCTTGGTACTGGTTTATGGTGTCACTATCTAAACAATACTTGAGCAATACAGTGAAAGCCGGTCATGTGACTTGAAGGGGGGGGGGGGAATTGAGTGAACCAACAAGGACTTGAGTGGCGCACCATACCGTTTACATTAGACCAACAAAGACGTCAACACAAAACACACAGTTTACATTAGATGATCAAAGATTTAAATAACAGTTGGTCAAAGTTTCAGATTCCTGCGTCTGGCAATGTAACCTACACCAATATGCTGATGTAATCGTCCGAGTAAAACTGTAGCCTGCAGTCTATGAATTCTCTTACATGTGCCGGTCAGTCTGACGTCACTCTGGTCAAGAGATCAATATTGTATGTGCACATTTTGTGCTGAAACTTTAGGGAGGTTCCGCCTTTGGTATCAGATCTCATCCAAACTTCAGACCGGGCATCCTACTGGTCAGTTCGACCAATCACCTCGCGTCTGTCTGAGAGACTGAACATGAGGGAGTGTGTGCCGGGTCTAGTGGGGTTCATCTTTAAGGAGAGAGACGACAGTCTTCAAAAAATACAGATACTTAAGTCACTGTTCACCAGGGACAACAGAATAAGAAAATTTGCAATTCATATCTGTTCTTCGGGATTTTTGCGTAGGTGTTTATATTTGTGGGAGTGTGTTTATATATGTGAGCGAAAGTAATTGCAAGCGTGTGTTTATGTATGTGGTATAAGTGTTCAAAAAATCTGTGTGTTTTAACCCTCGTCCTATACAAGATATCAAACTTACATAGGCTCGTGGTGCTCACCAGAGTGCCTTAGACTTGCTTAGCTTTTCTTTATATTTCTTTCTACCATTGGCACACAATGTTTTTGACTCTTCAGCAGTTTGTGTCGTTGTTTTAGTTTTTTAAGTAAAATTTGTTTAAAAAATAGTGATCTAAATAATATTGACACGTTTAGAATACCATATTTTAAAAAAACCCAGTAAAATTAATACAGTACAAAGGCAGTTAGATTATCATATTCACAAAACACGGAAAGCTAGGGTATTACAAAGGCACTTAGTCTGTCATATTTACAACGTTTTATCTTATCAGCGATACCACCCGGCAAGTCATTGTTAGTACCTGTCGGTATCGATATCTCCTTATCTTGGGTATTTGCTTTAACCCGGTTGGTTTTATCGAATAATAATATTTAATGTATTTGTTCAAGATTCGGTGACTGGAAAATAGCCGACGTCAGAGAGTTGGTTTACTCTACTTCTCAAAGACAACCTGAAGTGGCATCGGTCACGGCTGACTGGTTTTTCTTTCAGCTTTACAGGAAGACATTAAAAGATTAGAGGCGTTGAAGGTATTCTGGTTTCAGGCAAACACTGGGAGGTAATACACGTGTACCGACCCCCTCCCACCACTACATCACATCTATGACTGCCCCACCCATGCCAGTTAGAGGACGCTAAACTTTATGTCTACTTTTTAAAGTTGTGTCTACAGTTTAACTTGTTCTAGGTCTACAGTTAAAGTAGATCTATGTCTAAAGCTGAAGTAGATCTAAGTCTAAAGAAGATGTAGGTTAAAGTTGACGAAGGTCAAGGTTAAAGCTGAAGAAGGTCAACAAATTGTTTCCATAATTCAAGTTCTTCAAACAAAAGACAAACAATATTTTCATTTCAAAAAATTTAATACACCACACGATCTAGGTTGCTGGTCCAGACTGTTCCAAGTCTAATGGCAAACCAACGCATTTACACCTTAATGTGTGTTTCTGCTACTTGATATTATAAAAAGGTAACAACCACATACAAAATAAGTAAAACTACTTCAATTCTTGTAAATAATTTATTCAAACCAATCAACAAGTTACACATTTCAAACAATTGAAAAGTTACAATGAGAAAACGAAAGTACATTGTTTTTAAATTGTGTAATCAAATGTTGATTTTTAAAAAATAATTGGTTTAAAATCTAGTTTTGACAAACAATATCACAGATACATAAATATGTTTATATATTGTCTCTGTTTTACCACAGAGTATAATATCACAGGCGAGTGACTGTTGTTACAATATCCTTGGAAGACCTGATAAGTCAGACTAATGCCAAAATATATCCTTAAAATGGTCGAAAGATTAATAGTCTTTTGAAAAATTACCATTTCAGTGTTGTTTTATAACGATTTTTAAAAAGCTTTTGAGCTTCTGTATTGAAGGAGATGACACCTAGGTACTTGTAATCACGAAAATACAGCCGACTTCAAAAGACGAGCTGTCTGGCGAGTGAGCTAAAATTAGCCCGAGTAGTTGGTGACCCGGATGTTGCTGAAGAAGTAGCTGTACGCCTCACAGAGAGGCTGGAGGTAACATTGTAGACAGGTGCCATAGAACTTCTGCATGCAGCCGCAGTTGATCATGTACAATCTCATGCAGGGGGTGACGTACCACACGTGCCAGAAGGTGATGTAGGCGAACTCACATCCCCAGCACAAAGCCAAGGGAATACCACACAACAGGGTAAGCAGCTTGTAGCAGCAGCCTTTACAGCAGTTGAAGCATTTATAGGCACAGTTCCAGACACATTTGATGGAGTGGGCACCGTCAGGCTCACCCAGAACTTCATCGAACAAAACCTGAAACAACAGGACAATGGTTAATGGCGATGCGAAGTTTTTCTATTTTTACAAGCTTTTATTTAACTCACTTCCTCGTCAGTCTGTCGTCAGTCGTCAGTCTGTCTAGACGGAAACGCAGGAGTGAAAATTCGGACAGTTCTACTTGACCGACACGATTCACAGTTGGCACGTGGGTCAAGACATGAAGACAATGCAATCTGAAACTAAATTTGACTTAATTGGATGCCTAATTGATTTTTTATGAATTAATTAAAATTTGGACCGAATTAGTAGGCATGTCTAGCCAACCACACCACACGCGTCATCAATAGCTGCGCCATCACGACCACGTAATGGCTGCGTTCAAAAACCATTGCGCGCCTACTGAACGTGATATTCAGTAGGCGCGCAATGGTTTTTAGTCATGTAACTCTATTGTAGATAAAACATGTAAAGTACTGAAAAAAAAAATTCATAAAAAACGTTTTAATAACAAGCTTTTATGTAATGATGCACTAAAAAGTAGAAAATAAATTATAGACTACTATTTAAATAACTATAAAGAAAAGCGTGGGTGTCTTCCATAACATTAGTAAAGGTATCCAATAGATACTAAAGTGACCCACGCTTTTCTTTATAGTTATTTAAATAGTAGTCTATAATTTATTTTCTACTTTTTAGTGCATCATTACATAAAAGCTTGTTATTAAAACGTTTTTTATGAATTTTTTCTTAATCTCTAAAACGCCAAGTAACTCAAGACATTTGCACATGTAGCAGAAGTAGGTGTGGCACATACTTGACATTGACTTGCACATTTAACCGGAAGTTAATGAAATGTGCTAGACAGAGAAATGTTCTTGAACTCCACAAATTAAACAGAATCCCAATCAACTTGTTAAACAAAGTGAAAATAAAACTTTCACCTTATCAGTTGATAGTCGATGTAAACCTTTATTGGCAAACATTCAATTAAACCTCGAAACATAAGACAAAAGTTAAAACAGAACGTCCACAACGACAAACTCTGCTATAAATTAATAAATTAACAAAAAGTACTCACTCTGACGTGGTCGTTAAGACCGTTGGGGTCCCTGTTGACAAAGTCGATTTCTTTGCCCATCTTGTCAGGTGCTGGACTGGTGAGAATGTGTAGACAACTGGATGGATCACCTCCAACTGCTCAAGTCAGACTGAACCGTCACCAGAGATTTGGCTTAAATCAACTAGAGACCTGGTGATGACGTTGTTAGGGATCTGACGTGTTTTCCCCTCACAACATCAAAAACTCAGGCTTACAATTTCACTGGCTGAAAGAAAAACTCCCCTATTGAAAGGGAAAACTGTAAGGAGTGCTCTGAAAAGCGACACCGCTTCACTCAGTACACAAAAGTTTCACAAAACTCCTAAAGCTCGATATTTGATTGACAGGTGGGGGGGGGGGGGGGGATTGCTCTCAGACGGTTATTGTTCATTAAGCTGGGTGCTCTAAGGATAAATGTAATAACTCCTCCCCTTGCTCAATTTACCCTCCCCCTCGCCCCTCGTTTTCATCCTTGCTAATACCTGACGAAAACCAGTGGTTAAATAAACCGGGAGTGATCTCCCCTAAACTTTCTCGAATATTCTTACATAAAACAACAGGGGATGGGAACTCGGGATATAGTTATGGTTTTTAATCCATTTTAAATACTTAAACTTTTTAAAATAGAATAGAATCTCATAGAAAAATGAATTGCGCACCAAGCGAACGCCAAATAAAGATGTTTATAATAGTGCGCAATATTATTAGTACTTTATAAATTTACAAGCGTTTTTTGAGAAATCGGAAATAGCGTAAATTAGTACTTCTGGTCAACGAAAACTACTCAAAGTTTGACAGAAGGTAGAGAACTAGATCTTTTACTTACATGTGAAATTTCATTTATCTATCTGAAATAGTACTCAAGTTATAAGCTTTTGAAAAATTCAAAGTAGAAAAAGTACCACTTCCGGTTATCAGGAATCGCTCAAAAGTTGATACGGATCTACGATTTTGATAAAATACTTATATATGAAATTTACGTTAAGTCTAGTGACCTAGATCTAGATTCATAACTTTTTCATCCTTCTACAACTGATCTGTAGATCTAGAAAAATTTATTGTAAAACTAAATGAAAAAGACAGTTGAAAATTGATATAAGTGTTGGAATGTAATAAATACAGCAAATGGACGTATTGTTAAAGTTATAGCCGACAGAAAATTAGCTTTATAACGCGTTAAACATTGGAATGGGAACACAATCTTCTTCGATAGAAGCCGCCATTGTTGATGTAAAAAGTAAACAAATCATGTGATGTCACTTTTCACTCAAAGTAAAATCATTTTTCTAAACTTTTAAAATTAATGTGGTTAATCTACCAATGAATAAATAAATAAATAAATTAACGTCTTTAAATAAATTAGTGATTAACGGTCTGTCTGGAAACAAAAATTGTTCTCTACTAACATACTATTTTACAGCTCTACACAGATTCTCTACTGTAGCCAATCAGACAAAAAAAAACAAATAAATATTCAAACATGTAAAAAAACTTGAGTTTTAGTAGTATAATGATGTAGTCGCTAAAAGTAAATAGTAAAACTATAGCATGTTCACGTTGCCTACATACATGTTGGCTAGCAAACAACCCAGATCCCCCATACCTATCTTTGTTTACTTTAGATTGAGCTGTCTTCTTTTGTTGCTAAACAGTGTGTTGTTATATCTCGTAAGGCTCTCAAATAACACTCCAAAAATGGTACAAGAAAAAGTAAGGAACACATTGCTCAGTGTAAACCAATCGTAGTACGAGAACAGAACACATATCTTCCCCCCCCCCCCCCCCACCCCCCTTCCGCCCCCAAGTACTGCCAATTTACCCCTTGTATGCCCCTAACTCCCACTTCCAAAAAGAATAGGTTATGGATAAGTTACTTTTAAAGTTTGGGTTAGGCTTAGTGCTAGTGTTAGGGTTAGGTTTGTTAATAGGAGCTGCGCTACGGAAAGTTTGTGGAAATACAAAGGGACAGTTTTAGGATTAGGGTAATATTTATGGATAGGGATGGGATAATTTTAGTAACGAGTAAGGTTAGAGTTAGGAATAGGAAGCTGGATAGGAATAGGAAGGTGTGTATTTCAAATGGGGGAGAGTAATTAATCCGGCGGGCAGAGACACGGTAAGGGGGAAATGACCCGGGACAATCGACGGGGGGGGGGGGGGGGAGAAGAGGGGTCGGGACAAAGTCCAAGACCCTCATGATATATTAATTTATTGCTTTTGGGCATACCTGTGTGTCTAGCTGCAGCCAGACGTGTATAGCTGCAGCCATGTGTGTACAGCTGCAACTAGGTGTGGATAGCTGCAGTAAGTTGTCTATATCTTAAACCAGATGTGTCTAGTGCCGCCCTCTACCCCCCTCTACCCTTCTCGTTCCATTAGGTGTCCATTGACCTCAGTGAGGTCCGGTGGAACTCGATGTTCTTAATTTAGTCTGTATGTGCCCCCTACCCTTCCTGTTCCATTAGGTATCCATTGGTCTCTGTGACGTCCAGTGGAACTCGAGGTTTTTACTTTGGCCTGTATGTGCTACGACTCGACAACGTCAACACACACAAACATTGTTTGCCCGAAAAAAAACCGTGTTAAATCCGGTTTTCTTGAATAAAATGTTTTATGAAAACTGAGTGAAAAAAATAATTTTTGAGATATTTTGTCCTTGAAATATTTTGTCTGAGATCAATTGTCTTTAGATCCTTTGTATATTCACAAAAGACCTAAATAAATTGAAGTTGTTATCTTTTATCAACCAGATATCTCAATTCTAATCTAAAATAAAAGCCTTAAGGATAGGCACCACGGATAAAATTTTTTTTTTTATTTAACACATTTCTGGATGTTTAATAAGTTCATATAATTATAGTTGTTAAACTATAGACAAAAATAATATATAGCCGTCAATAGCAGTACTGGTTGCCATGGAAACAGCGAAAAGGTGTGAAAACTAACACCTTTTCAAATCGCTAAGGCTTTGTTCCCATAAGAGATTTTTAAAAACGGATGAAAGATTTAGATTTCTCAAACCAAACTATACATTTCTACGTTTACTCATTGCGATAGCTTGTACTCAATTTTTTATACAAATTTTTACGTAAATTTATGTACAAAAATTAGGGGGTGGTGTTACAAAAATATCAATATTTCCTTAAGTATTGTAGTAAACTTAATGTACAAACGTAGTTTTGTAGATGGTATAATGCTGAACGCAAGTGGAATGTTTTATTCTTGTATGACAAAGGGTTCCAAAGCCTTAGCGATTTGAATGTCGAATTTTGAGTAAAAATGCAAAGTTGAGAAAACGTGAAAAGAAGAGCGGGAAAAGGCGCGGTGCGTTTTCTCTTATAGAAAACAGAAAAAAACGTCTTGTTATATGTGGAAGAACCATTTGTCTAATAAAATACGCTTTGATTTATGTTGTAAGCTTTAGATAGATTTTTTCTATGTAAGCAGAAAATATGTATACAACAGGTAATGAATGTATGACTATTAAGTATTACACATCCTATCAATCTAGCGGTATTCTCAGAACAGCTATCATCAAACCAGATAAAGTTTTGTTTGTTAGCCGGTCTTCTCACTTCAAAACAATGTCTTTCTCTACTCAAATTGTAGCTTACACAAGTTTATTTCCTTATGATAATAGCCTACAACACAACACTGGGTACAACGCTTGAGGCTAGACACGCCCCTCCACCCCATCCCACCGCTGGATAGTGCGTGAGGAACCGATGAGCCATAGATTACCAATGTTCATTCAACCGTGAATAACACATCTGTGTAGATAGGGTCAAGTACAGGGCCTAAGTGAATGCTTCCCAGCTATCCTATCTACTACTATCTAGTATTTACATTCGTTGCTAGCACACCCTATACGGAGAGATGGGCATACACATTAACACATGTGTCGTATACAGTCCGGTGTAAAGCCTGATGAACGCGTTCAAGCCTATCACAGCATGCCGTAACAAGATTATAAACCGGCCGTTGGTTGAATGGCGAGAAGGGAATGAAGGGGGTAAAGGGGATGGACAGTACATTCTTCAAACTGATAGTCATGTCCATGACGCATTGTTTCAGCTTAGTATAATTTTAAAGCGTACGCAACAGTGTTTAATATTGTTCCAGTGATAATCAACAGTACATTTCTAGGCAAAGTTTCAATTATTAAACTTAATGTTGTTGTATAACTTTAAAACAACAAATAGAAGAGTATACGCAAATGAGGTAAACAAACGAGACAGGCGATTGTTTTGTTTATCTAGAAACAAGATGGCTGCCTAGCACACGTGGTTAGTTGCAGCCTATCGTGAATTATTTTGATTTTCTGTACTATAATATGATTGGTCAAGCGTATCAATGAACCTCTTCCCATTCATAAATTTTACGCGCATGCCCTTATATGGAGTTTAATATAAAAATTTACTTTGTAGAAAACAACTTCTATCCTAATTATTTTTAGAACAAAAGAAAAGGTCACTACACCAGCGGGTACACGAGTGCTTGGCCCTTAGATTGCTGTAAAGTTTATGGTGCCTCGCGGGCAATAAATGATGTAATACCCGCTCGAAGATAGCCGCTGTCCGCGTAGTAGTGTGAAAACTTGCCGGGGGGTACCATGTTTCACATCGCAATAAACGGATAACCGTAAGCTGTAGAAGTCCGAAATGTTCGGGTTAGATAGATAAAAGGTATTAGTATCGAATTAAGAAATAAAAATTTTGGGTAGCAAAATTAACATTTTATCGAAAACATGGGTATCTTGTTCCCTTAAACATACCATTGCTAAATTTATTTGGTATCAAAAGCGTCGAATATTTAAAGGATTTAGTGAAAATGGTTGTGCAAGACTGAATAAAACTCGTCTGTTTTTCTACCAACCACTCGTCAGAAGAAAGCAAGGCTGGTAATTTATTTTGTTTATATTGCTAATTTATTTAGCTAAACTGGACAAAACGACCAAGGAGAAAGAGTTCCATTTCTTGATAGAGAGAGGTAAGTATAGAGTCCAAACGAGCAAACAAACAAACGCACAATGTTTGTCAATTTCTTTGTTTACAGGGCATTGAAACAGTGCCGGGATTTCTAAAGCTAGATCTACATCGTCATTCGGATTATAGGATGCCTAGAAATTTATATTTTTACTTACTTGTGTATTTTACTTATTACAATATTGTATTACAAGCTTTTATTTAACTTGCTTCCTCAGTCTTAATCCTGTCCGTCTGTCTAGATCAAAACGGGAGAGCGAAATTTCGGGCACTTCTAACAAATCGAATTCTTTGAAATTTGGCACATGTGTCAAGGCTCAATGACAATGCAATATGACATTACATTTGACTTCATTGGATGATTAATTAATTTTTAATGAATAAATTAACAGTTTCTGAAATAAGTACGTATTCAACTATTCATCATTATTATAAGTGCTTTATCATGTTCAAATGGTTTTTAGTCTAACAATAAAGAAAAGCGTGTATCTCTTCTAAATTTTAGTAAAGGTATCTAATAGATACTAAAGTGACCCACGCTTTTCTTTATGGTTATTTAAATAGTAGTGTATAATTTATTTTCTACGTTTTAGTGCATTATTACATAAAAGCTTGTTATCAAAACGTTTTTTATGAAAAAAAAATTCAATGCTTTAAATTTAAAAAATTTACCATAGAGTTGCATGACTAAAAACCATTGCGCACCTACTGAACATGATAACGCGTGTATAATTGGCAGAATTTTTGGGTAAGACTGCCTACTTATTTGGTCAACATATTATTAATTAAAATTATTAGGCAACCAATTACGTCAAATTTAATGTCATGTTGCGTTGTCTTCATGTCTTGACCCACTTGCCAACTTTGAACCGTATCTGTCAGTTAAAAGTGCCCGAATGTTTGCTCGGGCGTTTCGATCTAGACTAACGACAGAGGAAGCAAGTTAAATAAAAGCTTGTAATATATAATACGCTACTGAAATTAAAATTCTTTCTTTTTCTTTGTTTTTAATTCTAGTGTTGGAAGACAATCAACCTAACAAATTAAATTAACTTAGATTTATTTGATTGCTTTGGGATTTTAAGCTCTATACACTCCAATTTCGTTGTACATAATGATGTAGGCTGGTGTCTCTTTTCATGTACATATTTTATGGTTACTTTTGATATCTTGACATTTAAAAATTAACTATTAAAAACCCCACTTATTATACTATTTTCAAATGTTATATTTGTGAACGAAAAAAATAAAAGATTTCAACAAAAAACTACAGAAAATAATTTAATTTTAAATAAATAAATAATATCACAGAATGCTTCTGGCTGTTGATATGTGTGGAAGGTTTCTCCTGATTTGAAATGTCTGAAAACGATTGTTAAATTCCTCAAGATTTTTAAATCATAAATATTTTTGTTTACTTTTTGGTTACATTTTTCGGTTTTTCTAAAATATTTTTGTACTATCTTCCACACTAGGCTGATTCATTCACCAGGCAAGTGCGGCCACTCTTGTTTTAAGTTGGTTTTGTTCTTCACAAGCCTAGATTATCCTGAGTAGTTGGTGACCCGGATGTTGCTAAACAGGAAGCTGTAGGCCTCACATAGAGGCTGGAGATAACATTGTAGGCAGGTGCCGTAGAACTTCTGCATGCAGCCGCAGTTGATCATGTACAATCTCATACAGGGGGTGACGTACCACACGTGCCAGAAGGTGATGTAGGCAAACTCACATCCCCAGCAGAGAGCCAAGGGGATACCACACAGCAGGGTAAGAAACTTGTAGCAGCAGCCTTTACAGCAGTTGAAGCACTTGTAGGCACAGTTCCAGACACATTTGATGGAGTGGGCACCGTCAGGCTCGCCCAGAACTTCATCGAACAAAACCTGAAACAACAGGACATGGTTAATGGCGATGTGATGTTTTTTCTATTTTTCTTCATCTCTAAAACGCCAAGTAACTCAAGACATTTGCACATGTAGCAGAAGAAGAAGGTGTGACACCTACTTGACGTTGACTTGCACATTTAACCGGAAGTTATTGAAATGTGCTAGACAGAGAAAAGTTGTTGAACTCCACAATCAACTTGTTAATTAAAGATGTGGAAATATGACTTTTCAGACAATCAATTTCACCCATTGGATTGAAAAATGATGTGAATTGTAATGTGCAAACATTAACATGAGTGCCGATACATGGAGGCAAAAGTTAGAATTGAGCTTTAATAGAGAAAGCTTGCCATAAAATAATAAAGTCGAGATAATTAATCTTATTAAATTAACAACGTGTAAAATTTCAGCACAATTTACCGTCCTCTACTATTATAACCGCTCATTACATCTACCACTTTGGTGTGTCCTTAAAAGTAAAATACAATTGTCCATGTATGTTCTATGCAAATCTGGCGAAGGCGTAATGCCGAAACCTCATACTTTCTCTAAGCAAGTTTTCGTTTTAATCCAACCAAGAAACAGTACTCACTCTGACGTGGTCGTTAAGACCGTTGGGGTCCCTGTTGACAAAGTCGATTTCCTTGCCCATCTTGTCAGGTGCTGGACTGGTGAGAGTGTGTAGACAACTGGATGGATCACCTCCAACTGCTCAAGTCAGACTGAACCGTCACTAGACGTTTGGCTTAACTTAACTAGAGACCTGGTGATGACGTTGTTAGGGATCTGACGTGATACAACATAAAAATAGCTTTATGATTTCACCTTCTAAATAACGCTTTCAATACTTTCCCCTATTGAAATGGAAAACTGTTAGGAGAGCTGTGAAAGGCCACCACCGCTTCCGTAAGTACACAAAGGTTTAGAAAAAAATCTTAACAGTTTGTTTCCAGTTTGACAGGCAGGTGACTTGTATAAATGTTTTTTTAGTTAGATCGATCAGAACGACTACTGACCCTCAAATATTTAGTTTATTATGTCCATAATGAATGTTTTCATTTATTATAACTGGGATATTTTGTCTGTGGTCGCGTTTTCTTTATATTTTGTCCTTGAGAGACGTTGTCTTAGATATCTTGCCTGGAATTCCATGCTTGGGATATCTTGTCTAAGATTATATGTTCTTATATATTTTGTCCTTGAAAGAACTTGTTTCTGATCAAAAGTTTTTAAAATATTAAAATAATTAGATTATATTATATTTCAATAATATATACGCGCGCACACACACACATATTTGCATATATACAATTGATGCCGTCCCGCGCGTTGTTGCCGTCTCAGAAGAAAGGCTGACGTATTATTTTAAGAGTGTTTCATCCATGCGTTACCAATCCTAAATTTTGAGACAGATGACACTGTTTTCTAAAAATCTGAGTTATAAAATAAAACAATGCCGGCGCTATCTTTCTGGATCATATTTTACTAGGCACAGATGTGTGCACACAAACACCCAGCTCACACCATTATTCACACTCCGCAATAGTGAAGTAGAACACTTCGGCGACCGCCCAGATATCAGGTGCGTAGCTGTGCTCTCTCGTGAGCCCCATGTAACATTACCACAATGGAGGCGGGTACCGCCACTGGCTCGGTTTAAACATTTATTTGCGTGTGCCCCCGTGTCCCTGTTGTAGAATGCTCTTTAAAACAAACGTAGACCCAATAGTGCTAACGAGAGGCCCGGGACGCCAAATCGCAGCCCCTCTGAAATTTCTTTTTTCCCCGGCAGAAACCTCGAGAGTATTCTGATTAACTTCTTATCGTTTCATGCAAAGGCGTAGCTAGGATGGGGGGGGGCGGCTACTCCAGGCGCTGACTCTAAGGGGGGGGGGCGCAAAAAGTGGTGGAAAAAATGTAAAAGCAGATTTTATGTCGCTGTTTTTTTTAGACAGGTCTACGGTAAGAAAGTTAATGGTTTTACATACTGATTTAGATGTTTTCTACCTTTATTGTGCAACTGTAAAACATATACCCTTAAGAAACAGTGGCCGGCATAAACCGCTTTCCAGCTCTCGTAGTTGGGGGGGGGGGCGTTTTTTCGCCGACCAAAATGGGGAGAATTTACTAGATAGTTGAGTTGATAAACGTTTTCACTTATAAAAGAAACCAAGTGTATTAAAGCGTATTGTACGTTTGTGTAACTGTAATAAAAAATGTAGTGCCTTTTATCAAGATGGTGTAGGGAAGGAAGGGGGGCGTTTTTCGCCAAGTAGTATTGTCAGGATTTATACTTGGTTGGTCAGTACATAACCTCTATCCATTAGAAAGTAAACTAATTGTGCTAAAGCGTATCGCTTGGGTAACATTTTTTTAAAAGTTAGTTACTTTAAAATCCGCTCTACTAACTTTGTCCAGGATGGTGGGGAGGTGTGTGTGTGGGGGGGGGGGGGCGATTTTTTTCCAAAAAGAAATTGCAAGCTTTTTTGCTGGACTGGTGAGTAGCTAACTCTTTTAACACTCTGTGAAAAGAAACCAATTGTAATAAAGCGTATAGTGGAACAATAAAATAAGACAAAGATGGTGGGTGGGGCGCAAGGTAAATGGAAAATGATTTACACCGGAACGGTGAGTAGATAAATTGTTTAACAGAGTACAAACCAATTGTATTAACGCGTAATGGACGATTTTGCTATCCAGTTTTGTTAAGAAATGACGCGACTAGTTCTTTGTAGAATTCTTAAGATTATCTCAACTTCAATGTGAGAGATCAGATACTTTTACTTGATTGCATTACATCTTGCCTGGATCACTGTATTAAAAGGGAAATAAATATCACGGATTCTTGAATCGATGTCCAAATAGTAAAATAGCATACGATTGGAGCTGGTGGGTGGAAGGTGATACTCTTGCCAAAATTTTAAGAGCTAAAATTTAGTATGTTGTACCGAATAGATAATCTTTTGATTGCTAGTTTCATAACAAGTCATAATACTGCAATTTTCATACAGTAAAGGCCAGTAGACCTACTAAGCGATGTAAAAATGAAACAACACAACGACTGCTAATGCTTTGTTACTTTGTTCAACCTAAGCGATGATTTAAAACTGTAATACGCTATTATCGAAATTGTTCTAAAGACACGACCAAAACTAGACCATAACAGTATAGACTTGCATCTTCTATAAACTACACTCTAAAGCAGTGGTTCTTAATCTTTTTAAAGGTAACGCACCCCACTAGCTTCATATGCGTATTTACCCAACCCTTCCTAATAGTTGCATTGTCCACACTGACAAAATCCGATCGTGAATCATAAGAGTCGGGCATTTTCTTGACCTCCGCCGAAGACTTACCGAGCCTCTTGGATTCGATTGAACCCAGGTTAAGAACCACTACTCTAAGCTATTTTGATTTTCTTCTTTTTATTTGTTTCGTTATCCTAAGGAGAATAGGGTAGGCAACACTTTGTCAGCACATTTGATTTTTTGAAGATCGAACCCTTATAAACAAGCCTATTTCAAACGATTTGCTTCATCTCTATTTCAAACGATTTACTTCATGACTTTTTTGTATACGGGGGGGGGGGGGGCACAAAAATTGAAAGTTGAGGGTCGCTACGCCTCTGGTGTCATGGCACTTGGATGAACTGAGTATATAGAGAAAAATCGCCCCTGCGAAATTAAAAGTTTATTTTCACAGAAACCTCCCCAAAAATATAGCACTACTTATGCGGTTGCATAACTGAAAGTGTTTTTAAATTTGAATATGTTTTTTTTATTATTATTGACTTTTAATAAAACTAAGTTGATACATTCACTAAAATCAGATTATTTTACTGAACAAATATGTATCTTTAAAGTCTACACATATTGCTGAAGACACTGTCTCACAGACACGGAAAAATGTGACAGATTTTGACGGGGGGGGGGGGGGGGGGGGAAGGGAGGTTGCGCACCTGGAGTTCTATGTATTAGGATAGGATGAAGGGCTATTCTTTATCTTGTGAGGCTTATTTCTACTGAATAAAATCACAGATTGGATGTTATTTTATTTCGTGGTTCTGTTTCGAAAATCTTTTTATTTTTATACAGTGACTATTTATTTTATTTGTACCTTTGACTCTTGATATTTGTTAATATATCTAGTAAAATAGATGATATTTTTGCACCTTTGAGATTTATTAATATATCTGAATCTAGTTGACTTTTTGTTTTACATTAAACATGTGAAATAATCTCAAACGATGTTTTTCAATTATTAAAGTCATTTAACCACAAAATTTCAAAGTTCACTGATTGTTAGCTTTAAACTCAATATTTCAATGAAAACATAGATAACACAAACACAAGTGACCAAAGTGACAAGCTGCTACACTGTTAAAAACAAACCAAAAAATAATATAAAATTTATTGGAATGTTGTGGAGGTTTAAAGTTCAGCAACAATGAACAAAGCTATGTACACTACGAATTTTCTCTTACATTAAGATGTAAGCTGGTATCTCATTGTTTTACAGTAGCTTTTGTAAATTTAACTTTTCATAAGTCAATTATCCAATAAATTTAGCAATTAAAACACATACTGTACTAATTAAAAATCAAATAAATAAAAATTAATATTTTTGAGCAAATACAATAAATCATTTTATCCCCAAGAAACTTGAAAATATTTTTAGATGTTAAAATAAATAATATCACAGAAAGTTTCAAGCTGTAGATATGTGCGGAAGACCCGTTTCAAATTGTTCGAAATGTCTTGAAAAAAGTTTTTTTTTTAAATTCTCCAAATAGATTTTTAAACTATAAAAACGTTTCCTTTTGATTTCATTTTCAGGTTTTTCAAAAATATTTTTGTAGCCTCTTCCACACTAAACTAACTCTCCAGGCTAGTGCAGCCACTCTTGTTTTAAGTTGGTTTTGTTCTTCACACGCCTGGATTATCCCGAATAGTTGGTTACCCGGATGTTGCTAAACAAGAAGCTGTAGGCTTCACAAAGGGGCTGAAGGTAACATTGTAGACAAGTGCCGTAGAACTTCTGCATGCAGCCGCAGTTGATCATGTAGGCCCTCATACAGGGGGTGATGTACCACACGTGCCAGAAGGTGATGTAGGCGAACTCACATCCCCAGCAGATGGCAAGCGGGATACCACAGATCAGGGTCAAGGTTTTGTAGCAACAGCCCTTCCAGCAGTTGAAGCATTTGTAGGCACAGCTCCACAAGCAGTTGATGGAGTGAGCACCGTCAGGCTCGCCCAGAACTTCATCGAACAAAACCTGAAGATGGAAAATAATGGAGATTTAGGACTTAGATGACTAACCTAAAACATCAGGAGACTTAGGCATTTGGGGCTGAAGCCAAAACATTAGGAGATCAAGGTTTTGATGAATTCAACAAAAAAGTTTGGAGATCCAAGATTTTGATGATCTCAACCAGATTATAAGACCATGAGAAAACTTAATTATAAAAAAAACGTTATAGCAACAAGCTCTTAAATACACTGAAAATAATAAAATAAAATTAATTTGCTTTCGTTTATAAAAGCTTTTGTCGCTAAAATATGTAAAAGATCTTATGAGCTACCAAAAATGTTATTAATGAAAGCAAATTAATTTTATTTTCTTATTTTCAGTGCATTTAAAAGCTTATTGTTGTAAAGGTTTATTTATAATGGTTTTATTTTCTACTTTTTAATTATTCCTAATTTATGAACTCAACACGACTCAAAATATTTGCTTTAAAACACCTTCAGTACAATGAAGGCAGCCGTTCGTTACAATATGTCACAGACAACAGCAATTTCTTAATCTTGTTACCTCCACTTAGTTTAAAATCGTTTAATAACTTTATTCCCTACCCCTAATAGTCTGCACTAGATCTACCTGCTCTACGATTGTAAACATTCTCGTGAACCACAGCTCACCAGACAGTTAAGGTGATCGCGTCTAGCTAGTGATCTCCCATTATGTTGCTGAATATAGTAATCTATTTAGTGATATCATTTTGTTATCAACCTTTAGTTTTAAAACTGTTTAATTTTTTTATTGACTAATTCAACGTCTAACGAAATTAACAAATAGATAAACTTGTATTGTCATCAAATCGTAACGTATCTGGAAGGTTTGAAAGAAACCGATTCATTAAAAGTGGGTCAAAATTGAGTCACAATATTTGCCACAAACCCACAAACAAACAGACGTTGCGAACTAAATACACGCTTTTAAAAAACATCATGACTCAAATTACCTTACAAAAAACATCAAGACTTAAGCCCACTTTATTAATCTTACTTCTGTGCAAATATAAGCAGGCTTAGCGTCAATACATATAACAGCGAAATATGAAACACTAATGTTTTTATCGGATTCCGTCGCAGAGGGCGATTGATTTAGGAGCAGGGGATGATTGATTTATGTAGCTATGGGCGATTGATTTATGTATCAATAGGCAATTAACCTAAGGAGCAGGGAGTGATTGATTTAAGGAGCAGGGAGTGTGCGATTTATTTAGCAATAGGCGATTGATTTAAGGAGCCGGTAGTGATTGATTTATGGAGCCGGTAGTGCTTGATTTATGTTGCAATAGGCGATTTATTTAAGGTGCATTGGGGTAATTTATGTTGCAAACACGATTTATTTATGGAGATGGTAGTGATTGATTTGAGTAGTATTGGGTGATTAAATTGTGCAGCTAAGGTTAAATTAAAAAATGGAGCAGGGATAATTGATTTTTGTTCTGAAGAAAATGTCTTTGATCGCTTTATTTTTTAATCCTTGAAAACAAGACTTTTATTAAATCAACGTGGCAATTAAAATCTTAAAGGCGTGTCAACATTCAACATGACAACAACTGACTTGGCACAAACAATCGTGACAAAACCAGCGTGACATCAAAAGCGATAAGCATTTTGTGACGCTTATAAATGCAAGAACTGCTCATAATTCATAATAAAACTACATCAATATGGAATACAGCAGGAGATATCATAACACCCAATGTATGCAACAATAAAACACTCAAACTACTGGCTGATCAATGCACTGCACTAGCATGCTCTTGTTTTCGAATATTAGCAATAGCAACGCATTGAAGAAACAATAAAGAGTTTACTTTCCATGGGAGGATTTTAAAAATCTCTTTCATCAAGAACATTTTTATGGATAAACTAATTTAAATCGTGACTGGTCAGTTGGTCAGTGGCTAAACACACGAGCTAACAGTACTCACTCTGACGTGGTCGTTAAGACCGTTGGGGTCCCTGTTGACAAAGTCGATTTCCTTGCCCATCTTGTCAGGTGCTGGACTGGTGAGAGTGTGTAGACAACTGGATGGATCACCTCCAACTGCTCAAGTCAGACTGAACCGTCACTAGACGTTGACCAGCATAAATGTAACTATAGTGCCGGCAGTGATGACGTAGGTGTGACCTCTCACCTTCTTACATGAAGGCTGGCTCAAGCAAGAGAAAGCCGAGCTCAAATGTTGAGCTGAGTTAAACATTCCGAGGGGTGGGAAGGGGGGAGTATAATCAAAGAGGACACACTCCCTTGTCTGTTTGAATATCGAAGTGAAAACACCCCGATCGATTAGGCCAGCACTTCTCAGCCAATACATTGAATATATAGATCAGGCAAGCAATAAATAAGGAGCTATTTTGTTTTTTTCAGTTTCAGGTAGCTAAGAGAGAATAATATCAACGTTATTCAAAGTCGTGGCATTGGACAAAACTTTTGTTGCATTTTGTTTAGTTAACATAACATCAGATAATAATCAATAATTCTAATATTCATCTAAAAATAATCAATGATCTATGTGAGTTCAATCATCAAGCATGTGATTGAGCTAAGTTGAGCAACTGAGCCATAATCTTCATATCACTCATATATATATATATATATATATATATATATATATATATATATATATATATATATATATATATATATATATATATATATGTGTGTGTGTGTGTGTGTGTGTGCATGTGAGAGAGAAAGAGTGTGTGTGTGTCCTATATATATGTAAAGTGTTTACCACTTCCACTATAGATTCAGTCTCTCTTATTCAAGATATTTTCCGCCCTTTCGGTATTGATTTCTTCTATTCAGCCAGGCTGTATACTTATATAACCAGCTTTTATTCTATATCGTTTAATGCTATTCACGAAAGCCGCTGACGGCGTTATGTTTATTGTGCTAAAGCCACTTTGCAAGTAATAAAAGTTGTCAATGCCGTTTGCTAGATCGGGCTAATGGGGAACTGCTGTCGAAAACATGAAGAAAGGAAGGTTAAAAGTGTATGTGACCTTCAAAGGAAGGTTAAAAGTGTGAGTTACCTTCACAGGAAGGTTAAAAGTGTGAGTTACCTTCACAGGAAGGTTAAAAGTGTGAGTTACCTTCACAGGAAGGTTAAAAGTGTGAGTTACCTTCACAGGAAGGTTAAAAGTGTGAGTTACCTTCACAGGAAGGTTAAAAGTGTGAGTTACCTTCACAGGAAGGTTAAAAGTGTGAGTGACCTTCACAGGAAGGTTAAAAGTGTGAGTGACCTTCACAGGAAGGTTAAAAGTGTGAGTGACCTTCACATGAAGGTTAAAAGTGTGAGTTACCTTCACAGGAAGGTTAAAAGTGTGAGTGACCTTCACAGGAAGGTTAAAAGTGTGAGTTACCTTCACAGGAAGGTTAAAAGTGTGAGTTACCTTCACAGGAAGGTAAAAAGTGTGAGTTACCTTCACAGGAAGGTTAAACGTGTGAGTTACCTTCATAGGAAGGTTAAACGTGTGAGTTACCTTCACACAGAAATAGAAACTGTCATATTTTAGCTTCGATACAGTTTGTATCAGCTAAAACGGTAGGAGCTAAGACAGTGGAAGCTACAACAATGAGCACCAAGCCAATGAGAGCTAATTAAATGTGAGCTAAGATTATTGGAGTGCAGAGATAACAAAAGTAACTAAAGGTAAACTCGATGAATCTATCTATCTATAATATAACGCTGGTGGTAGTGTGTCAGTCCTTCATTCCGTCATCGCTATAGATTTTGGAACCATAAAAGTAAACATCGAACCAATCAGTGCTTTTAAATTGCATCGCATTGTCTAATTGTAAAATTAGAGTTGGGTTTGTTTATATAACGACTTAAATTTATTTTATAGTTGCCATAGTTTCTACTCTTTCGCATAACGTAAACAAATATTAAATACACGCACATTGCTAAAAAAATATTATACGGATCAATGTCAAATGATATTATAGCTTATATTCTTTGAAAATGGGATACATTTTAATAACAGTAGGGTCGAAAAAACTAATTAATCAAAATATTTAATAATTCTGCCAGGGGAGGTAATTTATTAAAAATTCAACTCACGCTAATAATAAAAATATGAATGCAAATTACGCGAACGTGCAAGACGACACTATTGTTGGAATATTATAATTAGCATGGATTTGATATTTAAGTTGTGTATATGTTATGCGTTTGCGTTAGCGCTTTCGTTTGTGTTTTTTGTGTTTGCGTTTGCATTTGCATCGTGTTTGTGTTTTCTTTTTCTTTATGTTTGCGTGTTGCGTTTGTGTTTGTATTATCGTTTTTTTTGCGTTTGCATTGTTTTTGTGTTTTCGTTTTTTATGTGTGTTGTGTTTGCGTTTTCTTTTGTGTTTGCGTTGTGTTTGAGTTTGTCTTTGCGTTTGTGTTTAATTTTGTTCTGATCCCAAGTTGGTATATTTAAAAAGATTCATCGTGGTGCAGCACGGGTATGCAGCTTCCGTGTGATATCACGATGTTCTATGTGGGGATCCGTGTGAAATTATGATGTTCTATTTGGGGATCCGTGTGATCTCATGATGTTCTGTTTGGGGTTTTGTCCATACGACCCTATGTTTCTGTTGTTGTTACTTTTGTGGTTACTTAGCTGAGTATTCGGCATTTAAATGTTCATTTTTACCGTCTATAGTTAAAAGAAAAGAAAGGCTACTACAAAATAAAATGTATTTATTACATGTAGTTGGAGATTTTACTAAATGTAAAGTTGAAAATTGTATTATATGTAAATTTACAAATTTTCATAAAATTATCACAATCAATCTTTTACACAAAAAGTGTGGGAAAAAAATCTCTTAGAGAAGAAAATGTCTACCCTGATGGATTCAAAACTTAACCAGACTGAAATAGACCTTCACCTTAAAAGATCACTTGTGTCTATCAAATATATCTTGTTAGATCTAGTTTATTGGATGTGTACTTTATAACAATACTTTTAGCATTTATTATGTTATACTTGTAATCATGATTTGAAATAAAGAATAAATAAAGATTTTGTTTTTATTCTTTTCCATATCAAATAAATGTTTTATGCCATTTTTTTAACACTAGATCTTGTACTATTCCCATCAAATAAAAATGGTTTTTGGTCAAACATTAACCTATGAAAAATGTGTTTATACTCAAAGGCAATTTTCAAAACTAATATCTGGTAAATAGACATTACAAAATACAAGCATCCTTCCAGTGTTTAATTAATAAGTAACTGCTTGAAGTTCTTCAGATCTAAGCTAACCGGAGACATTGGAGACCCGGATGTTACTAAACAGGAAGCTGAAAGCCTCACAGAGAGGCTGGAGGTAACATTGTAGACAGGTGCCGTAGAACTTCTGCAGACAGCCACAGTTGATCATGAACATCCGCATGCAGGGGGTGATGTGCCAGATATGCGAGAAGGTGATGCAGCCAAACTGGCAGCCCCAGCACATGGCCAGGGGACAGCCGCACAGCAGGGTGAGCAGCTTGTAGCAGCAGCCCTTGCAGCACTCGAAGCAGCGGTAGGCACAGGTCCAGACACAGTTGATGGAGTGGGCACCATCAGGCTCTGCGATTACCTCGTCAAATAGGACCTGCAAATATAAACATGGGTGGTCATACAATAATAGGTGGTGATCATACATACAAACATGGGTGGTAGTCATACAAACATGATTGTAGCAAGCGTAAAGATGGAGGAGGCTGATACAAAAACAACGCGCTAAAGTCGTGCCAGTGCTTTAGGGGAGTAATGTCTTAACCACTAACCAACCATAGAAACGTCTGACTATGCATATATAGCACACAGCCACCCCAAAGACCTGAGGCACTAAGCTGTGTACTATTTCTGCGTCAAGCTAATTGCTCCAGTCTAAGACGGTGAAAGCTAGAATTAGTAGTTCAAACTTGTAATTTGAACAATCTGAACTTCATATAACTTGTGCTCTATCGACAACTCTAAACTGTTTGGTTCAGGAGCGATTGGTGGTAGGCGGTTCTAAATATTAGTCTAATAGTGGGGTGACAGGACAACTGATCTCAGACAAAATATTCAAGACAATGTATCTCAAGGACAAAATATTATTAGAACGAATTCTCCCAGGATAAATTATTTCAGACAAAAAAGTGGATAATTAGATTGAAACTCATTATTTGTTCGCGCTACCACCTCTGTTGGACAAAACTGAATACAAAGGATGACAGTGAACACATGTTCGTGCTTTATCTGTTCAATAAATTAGAGGTAACCGCCCCCTTTGACAGAGGAAACAGGCCCTAAGACAAAAAACAAGCGCTCCACATGGACCATACAACATCAAACACGTATCATAAGAAGTCACAACCTTACGTAGGTGGCACATTATTGGATCTAGATAACCTAATCACTATTATAAAAAAAATGTTTCACTCCTTTTTATCATTAATGTGGTTTAATTAACTCATCGATTCACATCAATTCATAAGCCTTTTAATTTTTCCATACACTTTTTCTTTCTTTCAATTTTTAATTAAAAATAAACTTTATTCAAAATATTTTTGTTAATTAGTCTTGAATTTTGTTTTGTTTATTTATTATTAATGCCAAAAATGTGTAGTCTCTTAACGCCCCAGAGGTCAATAGCTCTTGGCACCAGAAGTTGTCCAGCGGCTATTATGGCACAAAGGGGTCCACTGATTGGGTCAAGGTTATTAGCGTGATCTTAAGTAGGAATACGGTGGGATACTAATTCGACGACTACATGAACCAAGGTTGTTTTTTTTTGGCACCTCGGTAGTAGAGTACGTTTGGCGCCCCGAGTTCCCCATCTTAGCACCTAGGGACGGCTGGTTGGTTGTCGTGGCCAGTTTTTTATGAAGCTTTTATTCAATCCAGGTTGGATTATGCTTCTGTAGTGTGGAGCGGCAGCTTTATAACTAAGCAGCGTCCTCTTCTTTCTTTACAAAAAAGGGCTATAAAACTGGTTACTGGCTTGTCTAGTAGTCTGAATTCTTTTCTTACAACTAAAATACTTCCATTAAATAAAAAGATAATATATACTAAATCAATTTTCTTATATAAAATATTCCACGAAACAGCCCCCTCTTACTTGTCAGATCTATTTTCTTTTAACATAAAATTTAATCGTCGTCTTAATTTACCATTCCCTTATTCAACCTTTTTCCAAAAACATAGCTTCGCCTACTCTGGTTCTAATTTGTGGAACAATCTTCCTAATAAAATAAAGCTATCTAGATCTGAAAATATATTCAAATCTAAACTAAAACTAAAATTATTTAATGACCTAACTGACTCATTGTAACATTTCTCATTCATCTATTATATTCTCTTTTTTATCTCATTATGTATGATAGCTATGTACCATTGTTTCTTTATTCCACATTTTTAGTGCTATGTTACTGCTATGTGTTATTGAATTGTTTTATTTGTTTAAACGGCCAATGTGAAAAAGGCCTTTGTGCCTACAATTGTAGCCGTTGTTTGAATAAATTTGAAATTTGAATTTGGCCCAGGGTTTCTACTTGGCTAAACATTCGTTTTAAAGAGAATCCAATACCAGAAATAAGGTGGACTACCACTAAACCAGGGGTCGCATCCGGAGCCTTACCGGTGGCTGCCAAAAGAGCCCAGACACCTGGGCAGTCGACGATTGGGTGTTCTAGTTCTATATTGATGAGGGGGTCAATGTACACTGGGGAGGGCGTCTGGACAGTAGTGTGGACAAACTCACGCCCAACGACTGACCCACACAAAAACAAATGCCGGCATTGATTACATTTAAATAACTGATTCATCGTCTAAAAACACACAATTTGATATCGCGTTAATGAAACCCCCTTAATATTTTTTATCCGTTGGGATATTATTTCTTATGAAATCGCAAAGATGCATGATGGGTACTCAGGTTTTCAATAAACTGTACACAAAATTTGATCTTTAATAGATCTTCGGGCATGTAGCTTTTAGGAAACGTCAACATTCGGCCAATCGTTGCATTCGAGTGAATGTTCACTCGGGCATTAGTTCATTTCAGGCATTTGTCCCATTCGGGCATTTGTCCCATTCGGGCATCTGTCCTTTTCGACAAACTCACACCGAAAGTTGACCATTCCCTAGTAAAAAGCCACCAAACAATGTCGTATCAGAAAGCTAGCATGACTATTGCACAACACTGGCCATCATTTCATCTGATTATTGCAACAATTTGTATGTCTTATCGTGTCATGTTTTACCAGAGTACGTATTAAAACTCTTTAAACTCCTAAGATCTTTCTTACATTTCTTTCAAACAGAGTCGACAGCCGTGCGTTTAACAGATAGAAAACTAGCTAAACCTTACCCTGACGTGATCGTTGAGACCGTTAGGGTCACGGTTCACCATATCCAGTTCCACGCCCATGGTATCCTGTTGCTTGTAGCTCGACCAAACACCGACTGACAGAACTCAACCAACACCGACTGACAGAACTCAACCAACACTGACTGACAGAACTCTACCTACTAGACCAGTAGACACCAGGTACCTTCTGCCACCAGAGTATGCCAGACCCTACCAACATACACCAAGATAAGACTGGTCTAATAACTGGAACCGTCCACCCAGAGATAAGGACTTGATAGATAACTCACAAGTGCCAGATTTTAATCAAACACCAGTTGCCACATGGTGCCCGGACAAAACATGTTTGTGTGGACATTTGGTTTTAGCACCAAAATTTACACAGGGCGTGGTTGCGTGGTCGGGTGGCCACAGCTCAAAATATGCCAATCTACACTTTATTTACATCTTGATGATCTGTATCAGTCTAAAATTAGCTCCTGTTACATGACTAGAACTAGCTCCTGTGACATGTAGCTGCACCAAAGGTCAGAACATGGTAGTATGTGACTTAGATAAGGCTGGGACAACGTGTTGCCGTTTGCTGGTGCCTTCATTCCTGTGGCGTCTCTAAGTCGGGTGTCGCCCAGTGTAGATAGTACATTATGATGTCACCCACACCTCTCCTCCAACAATATATATATATATATGTATATATATGTATATATATATATATATATATATATATATATATATATATATATATATATATATATATATATATATATATATATATATATATACACGCAAAACTCATAGCACCTCCAAATAACAAAGAGCACTTCATTTTACTCATAGTATATCCAAAAAATTCACAGCACCACACAAAATACATCGCGCCTCCAAGTAATGTATACACCTCCACAAAAGGCCTGTCACCTTTTCAAAACCCATAGTAGCTCCGTGAAACGTCCAACATAGACCATTGTCAGAGGCTTTGCGAGTAGGGGGCGGGGGTGCGGGCCGCACAGGGTGACACCATTTAGGGGGGTGACACCAAGATCTTGACAGGGGGGGGGGGCTTATGAGAAAACATGCAAACTATAGAAAAAGCAATGTTATATCCAGCTGTTTAACAACCGACTATAGATAAACATCATTAGTATTACATGTAAACACTCTAAAACTTTTGCCCCCCCCCCCCCCCGGGGGGTGGGAGGTAAGGGGTTAAAACAACTGCAAAATTCCCAGTGAATAAAAAAAAGGGGGGGGGGGGGACACAGTGAGGTACCGCATCGGGCGACACCCGACCTAGCGACGCCACTGCCCATTGTGTGTCTTGTCAAACCAGTGACAGTGAAGGAAGTAATGTGCCCTCAAAGTTATCAAAACAGCGAGCATTTAGAAATCCATTTGCAACAATAGATCTTTTAATCTGGTGTCAATTAAAGCCGTTCAGATAGTGTTTTCTCTTGATATCTGATTGTCCCCGAATTATTGCAGGGACCTAATCTTCAAGTGGTACCAAATTATACCATTTGACCGTTAAAACTAAAACAAAAGAAGCCCATGTAGCGTGGTCTGGTTGTAACACGTATCTGCGTTGTACACCACGACCTGATTGTTTGTTTGAACGCTTGTGGATCTACTGTCGACCAGAGGCGTAGCTAGGGGGGCGTGGAGGGTGGCCGCCCTGGGCGCCGACCCTACGGGGGCGACACAGAGGTTGATAAAATTTCAAAGCTCACTTTAAGCTGCAGTTTTGAATTATAAACAAAGTTAAGAAATTTAATGGCAACATCACTATACATACTGTTTTAACTGTTTTCTACTTTGGTTATGTAACTGTAAAACACATACCCTTAAGAAACAGTGGCCGCTTTTTGGCCAAATTTAAAACTATTTTTTGACCATACGAGAATGTGGATTTTGATCGGTCGGGTTCCTAAATCCAAGGCAGGGTTAAAAGCCATTAGATTTTGGTGAATGTGTGTGTGTGTTTGTGATTGTTTTATTTTATCATTATTTTTTTATTATTATTGATATTGTGGGTTTGGGGTCGTCCATAAAGGACGTCACACTCGTAGGGGGAAGGGGGTCCGTAATTTTGCGACGGTGTGTGATGAGGGTGAGGGAGGGGGGAGGTTTAGATGGTGAGATGTCACACTCTTGTATTATAAAAAAGCAATGTTAGAAAACAAATTTTAGCCATTATTTACCTTTTTAAAAACTGTTCTAATAAATCGTAATATGAATTGATTAAAACACTCTATGTTGACACAGTTTTTTGGAACAAAAAATATCGTATTTTATATTTTGAGGGGGGCGTGGTTGCAGGTTGAGGTTTGACGTCATTTTCGCGGGGGGGGGGGGGGGGGGTCTGGCTTTTGTGACGATGTGTGACGGGGGGAGGTTGGCTGGCTTTTTGTGACGATGTGTGACGGAGGGGAGGGGGAGGTAAAAATCGTCAATAAAAGCGTGACGTGATTTATAGATGACCCCTACCCAACTATAGCTGGTTTAGTTTTCTGTGTTTATTTTAGAGCTTCGAGTTTTAGTTACTTTAAAACTAATGTATTTTTACATCCATTGAACCTAAGTATTTATTGATAATATTTTCTTAGTTACTCCTTTCATTGATGCTTTAGATGAATGCGTATGTTTATTCATGCCATATGTTTAGTTCGCTGATTGTGTAGGCCTATGACTGGGGGCTAATTCCTTTGTGAAGGATAAGTTGGCTCTACAGTGTTTTTGTTACACGGTTGTGCTATAATTGCTCCTTGTAGCTATATTTAACCCTGTTGGGTACCATGTGTGTTTTTGGTAACACTGGATTAGATTAGTGATAGGAACTGATTTTAGTATTTTAGATTGTAGAAGTAGTATCGTAAATAATTTGTGTTTTACTCGAAACCTTAGCTAGTTTTCATTAGTAGTAGTTAGTATTAGTTCTTAAACGTCTTTTTAAACAAGTATATATATATATATATATATATATATATATATATATATATATATATATATATATATATATATATATATATTTCTTATAAATCATGATTTCTTTTTTTCTTTTCCATTTAGGTTGTTTTGTTGAGCGTTCTGTTTTAATGTTTATTTGATGCTTGTTGTGTGTTTCATTTGGTGTGTTTGTTGTTTCGTTTTTTTGGTTTTTACTTGTGGTATATTTATCTATTGATTATATATATATATATATATATATATATATATATATATATATATATATATATATATATATATATATATATATATTAGATGTATGTCATTGCTTCGCTATGATGTAAAATAAATTGAAAGTAGTACTCTGAAGAAATAAGAACACATAATGTAGGCCGATAAAACAAAACAATGTATTACTCTAAACAAAAAACAAACAAAATATACACACAATACAATCAAAAACAATGAATGCAACACAATCTGTTTTGTAATCCTTGTAAAAAAAAGGAATTTGACATAATAATTCCTGGAATATTAATTAAGTCAAGCGAGCTATGGGAAATATTCACATATGTCTATGAAAATTTTGAAATTAAAGCTTGTAAAAACCAGTTTTCAATTTAATAGAATCATTACATCTAATAGGTGGAAAAATGTGAATAATAGCCTACATATAATTAAAATATTGGTCTTGCGGTTCAGATCATACATTTTTAAATAACTACTGCTTTGTGTGTTCTTTAAAGATGATTTTGTAACATAATGATAAGGTATGGGTTGGATCACTGTATTGATCACACACCTCTTTACTGGTAAATGCAAAAACAATATTGACTGAGTTTTACCTGTTTCGCAAGCTATAATTCTGGCGGCATGGTACTTTGGTACCTCATTACAGTTCGGGTGGGGGGGGGGGGTTCAACTTCATTCACCACTGTCCGGTCACTTTAAGTCTATTATCTTACCTAGCGTATACCTAGGTGTGACATTAATGTCGCTCTACACAATTACGGCCAGTTCCGTTCTGGTGGTTAGGTTAAAGGGGGAGGGGGGAATAAGCAACTCAGAGTGAACATAGCGCATAGCGTCAGTTTTTAGATGACTGTTATAAACATAAACATACATATACAATAATACTTATTCAGAAATAGATTTAAATAAGTAACAGTGGTATTATGACAATACATTTTTTTTACAGAGGGGCCATGGGGGGGGGGGGGGAGGTTACAACCCCCCCCCCCCCCGCCTACGCCCTGATAATTAATATAACGTATTGAGGAACAGCTGGTTAGAGGCTATCCGTCACGCATCATGAACTAATCAACAAAGTCGAGTCTACCCTAACGACAGACCAAACCACTTAAGCAGACACTGTTGAGTGATCAAGTTCTTTGTATCCAGATAAAGCGGATCGCCCCAAATATCTCTACCCCCCCCCTACTCCAAACATCTACCACCTAATGAGTTTGAGTCTCCAAATATTGGTTGCATACATTAATTTACCCCCACCCCCCCCCCCCCACCCCCCGCCCTTTAAGCTGCTGTCACGATTCCTATAGAAGACAGTTACACTGTGTGTATCAGCCGTCTTTTATTGTTTGTAGATGGTGGGATAGTGTCAATCATTTTTAAGACACCCGCGCATTTTTTTGGCGAAACAGTTCGTGTAATAACCAATACAGGGAGACTTGATGGCGGAAGATATCCAATCCCCTCGACTCCCAATTTTTTAAAATTATGGTCCTCAACCCCTCGACCCGACACCCCCTCTGTTCTGAGGCCAGGAATTTCATAAATGCAATGTAATTTTCTTTTGTATTTTTACAACTGGGTGGAGCTTTATATTTAAAGTTGGAAAAGAAGGGAGTGGGCAGGGATGTCTCTGTTGAGATGAGGTTTTTAATTAGCTTAATTTTTGATTGGGTGAGCCAAGAGGAAACAGTGGTATATAAAGCTCTGGTAACCAACACAGCATCCACTGAGGGGAGATCTTGCATTGACCAGACTTGTAGATTTCTAAACCTAGGACAGTAAGTTCTTAATCTTCCAAGATGAAGCTGGATATAGATCTGGTCAACCGTGACCCCAACAGCATCAACGATCATGTTAAGGTAAGTCGTCTGCCTGCAACCTCTAACAGATCTTAACTTCAAAATAAAAAACAAAAAGTTATATTCTTTTTGTTGTGTTGTTGATGTTTGTTTTTTTTTTTTTTTTTTTTTTTTTTTTTTGTTTGTTGTTGTTGTTCTATTATTTTAAACTTTTACTTTTTTCCATTTCAATTTTTTTATTATTCCTGTACAAGAAGATTATTTTTTTTTTGTGTGGAGAAAACTCAGCGTATAAACATATAACGGTTGGGATTTTCTTCCATAAAATTCACCTGACGTATATTTTAAATAGCTGTCAAATTATATTAAAAATAAATGCGATAACTTAAGCGGTTTAAAAATATTGTCAACTATCATGTGTTGCAACAGCTACGATCACAGACGATATATCAGATATGCCCCAAGGTCGGGGTCAGGTCTACAACCTTTGGTATCGTAAAATTGATCAGATAATGTAATTCTATGACATCCTGTCCTATTGTATCAAAATGGGGCATTGTTTGAAGACTTAAATGTTTCTCATTCTCTTTTACTGGTAGCACGGTCATGTTAGAATTTGGTGATTCTGTCAGTAATTTTAAAAACTGATTTGATCGTTCTGTAGGTAACAAAAACACTTTGGGGGTTCTGTCTTTAATAAAAAATACTTTGGTGGTTCTGTCTTAACAAAAACACTTTGGGGGTTCTGTCTTTAACAAAAACTGTTTGGTGGTTCTGTCTTTAACAAAAACAGTTTGGTGGTTCTGTCTTTAACAAAAATAGTTTGGTGGTTCTGTCTTTAACAAAAAACAAGTTTGGTGGTTCTGTCTTTAACCAAAATACTTTGGTGGTTCTGTCTTTAACAAAAATAGTTTGGTTGTTCTGTCTTTAACAAAAAAAAAGTTGGGTGGTTCTGTCTTTAACAAAAATAGTTTGGTGGTTCTGTCTTTAACAAAAATAGTTTGATGGTTTTATCAGTACTAAAATCTTAAACTGGTTCCAGGTTGCTTTTGAAGACGTGCTGGCAGAGCCTGATGGCGGACACTCATTTAGCTGTGTCTGGAAAGGCGCCTACTGCTGCTTCTGCACCTGCAAGAGATTCTACTACAACCTGATGGCCATTATCGTTGGTCTTCCGCTGGCCATGGCCTGGGGCATCATGTACTCGTTGGTCAACTTCTACCAAGTCTGGATCATCACCCCCTGCATGAGGATCTACATCATCAACTGCGGCTGCTGCCAGAAGTTCTACAGTGCCTGCATACAATGCTACATGCAGCCAATCTTCGAAGCCGTGAGCTATTGCTTCAGCAATATCCGGGTCACTTCCCTTACAGGATAAACAAAACCTTGACCCTACTTAACACAAGCTAAGGGACTCAACCAAAGTGTCTGTTTATCTTACAATTTGCTTAAAATAGTTAAAACAGTACAACATAATATCAAGTGTAAATAAATAGATATAATAACTAAATTCCTTCAACACACAGACACAATTTTAAACAGACTAAATCGATTTAGAAAGTTTTTTTCCACTAATAGAAATATTTTTCAATTGCATATTAAAAGCAGTTACACTGGTATATATTCTCTTGGCTTATGAACATTTAAAAAAAAAACCAAGTAAAATGTGATTACCAACGATACCTCCACCACAAATACCTTATGTTTGTACTTTTCTTTTTAGTCTTTTAAAAAAATATCTACTCAACAAAAGTAGATAAGTCTGGCTGTGATATTAAAATAATATTTAATTGTGTTACATATGTTGTTTTTTACTTGATTTGGTAATTAATGTTTATAGGTAGTGTTCGTTATGTCCTCAATCAGATTTCAGTCTAAATACCGAGCTATAACTATAGTTTTGTGTGACTGCTCTCTGCCAAGTACCAAACCAATAATTATATTGTTGGTAAGACTAGGGGTCGGCGTGGTCGGTAAAGCTCATAAGGCTCATTAGCTGGGGACAGCCACTCTTCTATGAGAGACAACTCCAAAATCAAACAACTGCTGCCTTGTAGTTTGTTCTTGGTTGGACAAAGACTATGGAAGCAAATCAAAAAAGAAAAAGCAGGCTGAAATCGGAGTCAATGGCCTCAATGGCGCATAAGCAGTTGACACGTATATTTAATTGTGTTGAAGGGGATCCTTTCCAACACTAAAATTTAGAACAAAGAAGAAGAAGGTAAGACTAAATACCGAACCAATAACTATATTGTTGGTAAGACTAAATACCGAACACATAAACTTATTGTTAGGAGCAAACCTAAATACCGTGCCAATAAATATATTGTAGTGGGCATGCTTAAATACCAAACCAATAAATATATTGTAGTGGGCCTTCGTTTACACTGCAACCAGTAAGAACGTGTTTCTGTCTACCAGCAGTCATTGTTTTCAAAACATTTCATTTCATTATAGAATTTAAAGTTTTAAGACAAGTAGAGAATCTATACTACTGTAAAAGGAAATATGCTTAATTCCACTAATTTTTTAAAGTGAATTATACCCTATATCTAAAAGAAATCTAGAAATAACTAATATCACAGTCTTCATGATTAATATATGGTGTTGTGGAACAGCAAGCAAAGGGGCCGTAAGTCATGCATAAACAAATGGCCTGCTGACACGCATCAAGAACTGATCAACATAGTCAAGTTTGCCCCTAACGACAGGTCCTATGACACGACCACAAACCTTAATTGGCTGGTTAACGAGGCACTGGGTGATTACGATCTTTTACGTGAGGGGGGGAGGGGGGGGGGTAAAGCGGATCGCCCCAAACATATCTACCACCCCTACTTCAAACATCTACCGCCTAATGAGTTCGAATCTCCAAATATTGGTTGAATACATTAATTTACCCCCCCCCCCCCCATAAGCTGCTGTCCCGACCCCCATTGAAGACAGTTACACTGTGCGTATCAGGCGTCCCTTATTGTTTGTAGATGGTCAGATAGTGTCAGCCATTTTTAAAACAACCCCACATTTTTTGGCGAAACAGTTCGTGTAATAACGTGTAATTATCCAACCACGCGTGTAATTATCCAACCAATCGCGTGTTATTATCCAACCAATACAGGGAGACTTGATGGCCGAAGTTACCCAATCCCGTCAACTCCCCGTTTTTAAAATTAAGGTCTTCAACACCTAGAACCTTACGCCCGCTCTATTTTTATGACCAGGAATTTCACAAAGACAATGCACCTTTATATTGTATTTTTACAACTGGGTGGAGCTTTATATTTAAAGTTGGAAGAGAGAGGGTGGGCAGGGATGTCTCTATGTTTGTTGAAATAATGTTTTTAATTAGCTTAATTTTTGATTGGGTGAGCCAAGAGTACACAGTGGTATATAAAGCTCTGGTAACCAACACAGCATCCACTGAAGGCAGATCTTGCATTGACCAGACTGTGGATAGATATTGAACAGACCAGACTTGTAGATTTCTAAACCTAGGACAGCTCCTAAACTTCCACGATGAAGCTGGATATAGATGTGATCAACCGTGACCCGAACAGCATCAACGATCATGTTAAGGTAAGTCGTCTGCCTGCAAACTCTAGCAGATCTTAACTTCAAAATTTTTTAAAATAAAAACACAGGTTATATGGTTATATACTTTATTTGTTGTTGTTGTTCTATTATTTTAATTTTAAACTTTTTTTTTTAAATTTCAATCTTTAAATTATTCATGTACAATATTTTTTTTTTGATTTGAGAAAACTGAGCATATTAAAGTAAAAAAAAAACGGTTTGGGATATAGTTCCATAAAATTCACCTGACGTATATTTTAAAAAGAAAGCTGTCAAATTATATTCAAGATAAATGTCATAGTTTAAGCGGTTTAACATTATTGTACAACTATGATGTTTGACCGCAGACACCATATCAAATATGCCCCAAGTTCAAGGTCAGGTCTACTACCTTTAGTATCGCAAAACTGATCAGATAATTGGACCCCTTGAAAACCTATCCTATTGTATCGAAACGAGGCTTTTTTGGAAGACTTAAATGTTGGTGGTTCTGTCATTACTAAAATCTGAAACTGGTTCCAGGTTGCTTTTGAAGACGTGCTGGCAGAGCCTGATGGTGGACACTCATTCAGCTGTGTCTGGAAAGGCGCCTACTGCTGCTTCTGCACCTGCAAGAGATTCTACTACAACCTGTTCGCCATCATTGGTGGCCTTCCCATGGCCATGGTCTGGGGCATCATATACGCGTTTGTCAACTTCTACCAAGTCTGGCTCATCACCCCATGCATGAGGATCTACATCATCAACTGCGGCTGCTGCCAGAAGTTCTACAGTGCCTGCATACAATGCTACATGCAGCCAGTCTACGAAGCCATGAGCTATTGCTTCAGCAATATCCGGGTCACTACCCTTACAGGATAATCAAAACCTTGACCATACTGAACACAAGATGCAGGGATTCAAACAAAGTGTCTGTTTATCTTATAATTTGCTTAAAACAGTACAACGTAATATCAAGTGTATATAAATATATAAAATAACTAAATTCCTTCAACACACAGACACAATTTTAAACAGGCTGAATCGATTTAGAAAGTTTTTTCCACCAATAGAAATATTTTTCAATTGCATATTAAAAGCAGTTACACTGGTATATATTCTCTTCGCTTTTGAACATTTACATTTGAAATCTTCCAAGTAAATTTGTGATTACCAACGACACCCCACCACGAAGGCCTTATGTTAATGTTTGTATTAACTTTTGTATTTTTGTATTAGACTTTAAAAAGTCTACTCAACAAAATAAGTAGATAATTCTGGCTGTGATATTAAAATAATATTTTATTGTGTAACCTATGTTGCTTTTTACTTGATTTGATAATTAATGTTTATAGGTAGTGTTCGTTATGTCCTCAGTCAGATTTCAGTCTAAATACCGAGCTATAACTATAGCTTTATGTGACTGCTCTCCACCAAGTACCAAACCAATAATTATATTGTTGGTAAGACTCTAAATACCTAACTATAACTACTATAAGTACAGACAATTCTACCGGCTAAGAAATATTTCAAACACATCTACCAGGTAAAAATAAAATTCTTCAGACACACCTACAAAGTAAAAATTCTTCAGACTCGCGTAAAGGTAAAAAAAAATCTTCAGATACACATACAATGTAAAAATTCTTGAGACACACCAACAATGTAAAAATTCTTCAGATACACATACAATGTAAAAATTCTTGAGACACACCAACAATGTAAAAATTCTTCAGACACACCAACAAAGTAAAAAATTCTTCAGACACACCAATAAAGTAAAAACACTTCAGACACACCTACAGAGTAAAAATTATTCAGACTCGCGTTAAGGTAAAAAAATTCTTGAGACACACCTACAATTTTAAAAATTCTTGAGACAGACATACAATGGTAAACACTTCTTCAGTTACACCTAGCAAGGAAAACAAAACCTCTGCCCTGTCAGGTAGAACAAAGCAATCGATACAGACAAAGGCTGCTGGATTAAAGGGCCGGGGTAATGACCCCACCCACAAATGTCACGCCCTAATTAACTCCCATGTTGACCTGGGAATGCAGTCAAGCAAGACGACTAGGAGGGTCGGCGTGGTTTAAAGGGTGTATTGGGGAGGTGTATTGGGGTTTATGGGGGAGGTGTATTGGGGTTTATGGGGGAGGGTGTAGGGTGTAGGGGGTTTATGGAGGAGGCTGTATTAGGGTGTATGGGGGAGGGTGTATGGGGTTTATGGGGGAGGGTGTATTGGGGTTTATGGGGGAGGGTGTAGCGGATTTTATGCGGGAGGGTGTAGCGGGTTTATGCGGGAGGGTGTAATGGGGTTTATGGGGGAGGGTGTATTGGGGTTTATGGGGGAGGGTGTAGGGTGTAGGGTTTATGGGGGAGGGTGTATTGGGGTTTATGGGGGAGGGTGTAGGGTTTATGGGGGAGGTTGTATTGGGGTTTATGGGGGAGGGTGTAGCAGGGTTTATGCGGGAGGGTGTATTGGGGTTTATGGGGGTTTATTGGGGAGAGTGTAGTGGGGTTTATGGGGGAGGTTGTAGGGGGGAGGCATGATGACATGCTGACTGTTGTCATACAACTACTGACATGCTGTCTGTTGTCATACAACTACTGACATGCTGTCTGTTGTCATACCACTACTGACATGCTGTCTGTTGTCATACAACTACTGACATGCTGTCTGTTGTCATACCACTACTGACATGCTGTCTGTTGTCATACAACTACTGACATGCTGTCTGTTGTCATACCACTACTGACATGCTGTCTGTTGTCATACAACTACTGACATGCTGTCTGTTGTCATACCACTACTGACATGCTGTCTGTTGTCATACCACTACTGACATGCTGTCTGTTGTCATACAACTACTGACATGCTGTCTGTTGTCATACCACTACTGACATGCTGTCTGTTGTCATACCACTACTGACATGCTGTCTGTTGTCATACCACTCCAGCTCCTATCGACCACTGCTACAGTTGGCACAAAAATCTTCTGTCGTGGTTTGTTTTTCTATTTTCAGAGAGTTACTGTAAAACACAAACACATCACACGAAATAGTAACGACCTTGACCCACCCATGGAAACGCGCATGTTTGGCAGCGATGACGTAGTTGAACAGCTCGAATTCGTATCGATTCTTTGATTTTTTGGTTCGTCTGGTATCGATTCAGTCGAAAGTAAGAAATCGACGATTACTTCAAATTTAGCAATCATAAATCACTTGAATGTGATGTGAAATTGATTACATACAGATAATCGTTGAAGATATCGACCATGCTCCAAAATTGATACAAACACCCATTTTGCTTTTTAAATTTACAGAAATTAACAAACAAAAAGTAGGTCTACGCAGATTTTATATGTAATATATTCTAATACATTAATAATTTTACTTTTAAAATGTACACAAATTTACATATGAGAACATATATAATTAGATCTAGTAAGTTTATATTTTAAAATACACATTTGTTTGATCACCACGTGCTTAGTGTTGAGTGACGTTTGGTTTAGTAAACCTGTAGATATTCACCCATTTTCGCACCAGCCAGGAACTGCCAGGCAAATATTTATTAGCCAAGCTAGGATGGGTTTTCTTGAGTTGCCACATTGCACATTTCCGACCAATTGTACCACTTGGGAAAGCAATATAACGTCATCAATTCGCTATAAGAATTATTGCTTTTTATCTTATTTTTTTTTTCAGACAATTATTATGTAGCTAGTTAGCGAGTTATAAAGACTAGTTATTGAACCACAGCAAGTAAATTATAAATAGGGTTTTAAATATTCCACGTTCAGACTTTTCACAACGAGAGTATTATACTCGACGTCATACGCCATGGTATGGTTGAACTAAGCATTCGTCTAGACGTAATTCACCATTAGTGTTGTTGGTGCTATGATAGGTCTCAACATGAGATTGGTGCTATGATAGGTTCCAACATGAGATTGGTGCTATGATACGTCCCAACATAAGGTTGGTACTTTATTAGTCCCCCCCCATGTCACCGGTCCAAATAAGTCCCCCACATGTTGTTATTCTCCACCTGTGGTAGGTTCTAGCTACCTACAAGCAACGTGTGTCTACAATCACCAATCCAACTAGCCTACAGAACCATTATTTAACTGGCGTTTAAAACCGCCGTGCCTTAAAGTTTGTAATGAACATATTTTTTTTTATCTAGCAGGCCCCGAACCCAACCAGGTGATTTATGACGTCACTTGCAGTTCCGTCGCTATGATGTGACGTCATCGAGTTGTGGCAACGGTATTCAGTACCAGCAGTCGTTATTGTATATGAAATGTAAAGGGGGGAGGGGGTGAGAAGGGGGAATTGGTTGAAAGGTTGCTGACGTATTGGTCTATTACTGCAGAGGCTCGTTCCTGTGTGGTGCTGACGTCACGCTCCAGGGGTGGTAATTGGACAAAATAATTTTTCTTTAATTACTTGCAGTAAAACCCATTCACACACGTAAGGCCCATTCACGGCGCGTTTGGTCACATACAGCCAAGTTGCCTAGCCCCCTCCCCCACCCTCTTATCTATGTCGAAAAACAACGGCAGGCTCGGGTGTCATTTCATTGGCCACTTCATCTAATGTGATTAATAGGACGGCGGTACAAATGAAAAAATAAATGTTAACTTTAAGAATGAAAAAAATCAGTGAACTTTTTGTTCATTTTCCTGAACAAACATAAAAAGTGTTGACTTTTTGTTGACTTTCATGAAGAAGCTTAAAAACAAATATAGATAGTTGACTTCTTCAACAATCCATTAGCACTTATCGCCCATCTATGAATTGGGCACGATGTTCCAACTTCTCACTATTTCATTTGGTGTTCATTTGGTGTCGCTATTTTTATTATTGGTGTTCATTATGTGTCACTATTTTTATTATTGGTGTTCATTTGGTGTCGCTATTTTTATTATTGGTGTTCATTTGGTGTCGCTATTTGTATTATCATGTCTGCTTTCGCTAGCCAATCAGAACATGCTCCTGGTGTTAGGTACAAATTGTGTACACAAGACACCCTTAAGCTTTAGTTGTTGTTTAATAAACCTCCCAGTTGTTCAGTTTGGTTTTCTCCTGTTTAAAGTTTGAGTACATAAGTAGAAAGAAATCGTTGAATTATGTGCTAAAATTGTTGTGAAATATATTAGTTATGTGGTGAGCGCATCAAGTGCTAAACAGAGTTTTCTTCAGGCACCACCTACCCCCCCCCCCCCCCCCCCGCAAAGTTTACCGCCCCCCAGAACAAAATGGAATTTCTAATTTCTATATAAAAAATATATACTTTTGAAAGTGTCCGCCCCCCCCCCCCCCCCCCGGGAGAAAAAAGTCTGGAAGAAACACTGGTGCTAAAAATAAGATGACTTTAGGCAATAGCAATAAAGAAGGAGTGATCTCCCTTAAACTTTCTCGAATACTCTAATATAATACACCCGGGAATGGCAACTGTGGATATAGACATGATTTTTAATCAATTTTTAAATACTTAAACTTTTTAAAATAGAATAGAAACTCATTGAAAAAAAAAATGGTGCACCAAGTTTGAGAGAAATCGGAAATAACGTAAAATACTATTTCCAATCTACGGAAATTAATCGAAATTCGACCAAAAGCTGAGAGTTAGATCCTTTACTTATTTGTGAAGTTTCGTTTATCTATCTGAAACATTACTCAAGTTATAAGCTTTTGAAAGCACTTGTATTTTGAATTCACCCACCTAAAGTTAAAACACTTATATTACTAATTCACCCACCTAAAGGTAAAACACTTGCATTCTAAATTCACCCACCTAAAGTTAAAACACATGTATTATGAATACACCCACCTAAAGTTAAAAAACTTGTTTTATAAATTCACCCACCTAAAGTTAAAACACGTGTATTCTAAATTCACCCACCTAAAGTTAAAACCCTTGTATTACTAATTCACCCACCTAAAGTTAAAACCCTTGTATTACTAATTCACCCACCTAAAGTTAAAACACGTGTATTATAAATACACCCACCTAAAGTTAAAACACTTGTTTTATAAATTCACCCACCTAAAGTTAAAACCCTTGTATTACTAATTCACCCACCTAAAGTTAAAACACGTGTATTATGAATTCACCCACCTAAAGTTAAAACACTTGTTTTATAAATTCACCCACCTAAAGTTAAAACACTTGTATTACTAATTCACCCACCTAAAGTTAAAACACGTGTATTATGAATTCACCCACCTAAAGTTAAAACACTTGTATTACTAATTCACCCACCTAAAGTTAAAACACGTGTATTATGAATTCACCCACCTAAAGTTAAAACACTTGTATTACTAATTCACCCACCTAAAGGTAAAACACGTGTATTATGAATTCACCCACCTAAAGTTAAAACACTTGTATTACTAATTCACCCACCTAAAGGTAAAACACGTGTATTATGAATTCACCCACCTAAAGTTAAAACACTTGTATTACTAATTCACCCACCTAAAGTTAAAACACGTGTATTATGAATTCACCCACCTAAAGTTAAAACACTTGTATTACTAATTCACCCACCTAAAGTTAAAACACTTGTATTACTAATTCACGCAAGCGATCGGGCGTCACCAGTGCCCTACCTTTAATTTTGCAAGAACCCATTTTGTGTACCTTGCTAGCGGTCGTCATAACAAGGCCAATGTTTTTATGTTGCTATTAGCTGTGCCACATAGTTCGATCCAAGCCCCCCCCCACCACATAGTTCGATCCAAGGCCTCGGCTTTCTGCAGCCACCCCCCCCCCCCCCCACACACACACATCATATTTGCTTGAGTGAATAAAACAACATGAGAAATATTCCTTACATTTAAGAATGTTGAAACTATATTTACATAATGTCGGTGAATTCTCGTCTAATATTTTATTGTCTCGTTTATATTTGACCTGCTAGCTTCAAGTTTGCCCATACGTCACTTCCATTTTTCAAAGAAACAATTTTTGTTTAAATAACGACCGGGGGGGGGGGGGTTACTTGAACTGTTAAAAATTTCAACTATATTTTTTTTGTAAAAACCTGTTAAATTTTTCATCAATAAACCGAACATACTTTTGCCCCCGTCTAAAACAAACATGGTGTGGGGGGGGGGGGGGGGTGTTCACGCTTTTGATAGTTTATAATGTATATTTTAAAAAACATTCAAGTGGCTACTTCCCTTTTTTATTAACTTTTTTTTTTTAGAAAAATAAATATGAAATACAGAAATTCAAAATTAGTTTAAGTACCAAAGAGCAATCATAATGTAGCTTAAATCTGAGTCACACCTTAAGACTATTAAAAAAAATTTAAACACACACACACACATAATTTTTTTTTTTTTAATGAATCAATACTGAACATAAAATATTTAAAATCTCAAATATTTCGATTCACATATGAAAAAGGAGTTTAACCCCAAAACAACGAAATGAAATTTACCGTAAAGCAAGGCTTGTAGAGCTATCTCCCTTTAGAAATTTTTTTAACTATAAAATAAAAGTATAGAACAAGGTGTGTAACCGTCGCACATCTCTGTTTGTTTCGTTCCATTAATGTGGTTTTGTTATTATTTAAATGACAAAAGTTGTATTTATATTTAATTAAAGAGGTAAATGTATATTTGTTGTGTCTGTATATTTGATTTGATTTAAAGTGGTAAATGTTTATTTCTTGTGTCTGTATATATATCTCCAATTGTGTTAGAAATCCTTTCAATAAGTGTTGTGTTTGACAGTTCAAGATCTACAGTTCTAGATCTACAGTTCGAGATCTACAGTTCGAGATCTACAGTTCGAGATCTACAGCAATAGATCTACAGTTCTAGATCTACAGTTCTAGATCTACAGTTCTAGATCTACAGTTCTAGATCTACAGTTCTATTATCTACAGTTCTAAATCTACAGTTCTATTATCTACAGTTCTAGATCTACAGTTCTAGATCAACAGTTCTATTATCTACAGTTCTAGATCTACAGTTCTAGATCTACTGTTCTAGATTTACAGTTCTAGATCAACAGTTCTATTATCTACAGTTCTAGATCTACAGTTCTAGATCTACTGTTCTAGATCTACAGTTCTAGATCTACAGTTCTAGATCCACAGTTCTAGATCTACAGTTCTAGATCTACAGTTCTAGATCTACAGTTCTAGATCTACAGTTCTAGATCTACAGTTCGAGATCTAGAGCAATAGATCTACACTTCTACACTTTGCACCCCCCCTTCCCTCAAACTTTCGATTTGCACCCCCCCCCTCAAGATTTCGATTTGCACCCCCCCCCCTCAAACTTTCAATTTGCACCCCCCTCAACCTTTCATTTTATTTTTCCAACCCATTTTGGCGCCCCTAAGGTCGGCGCCCGGGGACATAAGTCCCCCCCCGCCCACCCCCCGCCCACCCCCCCCCCCCCCCCCGCTACGCTACTGATTCTACTACAGTTCTAGATCTACAGTTCTAGCAGTGTTTCTTTCAGACTTTTTTCTCCGGGGGTGGGGCACTAGAAATTTCCGGGGGGAGGGGGGGGGGGGGCGGTAGACTTTCTTCGGGGGGGGGGGGGGTGGACACTTTTAAAAGTATATATTTTCTATATAAATTATATAAATTTCATTTCGTTCGGGGGGGGGGGGGGGCGGTAGACTTTTTTCGGGGGGGTGGGGGGGGGGGGGGCAACTCTGAGTTCTAGATCTACAGTTCTAGATCTACAGTTCTAGATCTACTGTTCTAGATCTACAGTTCTAGATCTACACTTCTAGATCTACAGTTCTAGATCTACACTTCTAGATCTACAGTTCTAGATCTACAGTTCTAGATTTACAGTTCTAGATTTACAGTTCTAGATCTACAGTTCTAGATCTACAGTTCTAGATCTACAGTTCTAGATCTACACTTCTAGATCTACACTTCTAGATCTACAGTTCTAGATTTACAGTTCTAGATTTACAGTTCTAGATCTACAGTTCTAGATCTACAGTTCTAGATCTACAGTTCTAGATCTACAGTTCTAGATCTACACTTCTAGATCTACACTTCTAGATCTACAGTTCTAGATCTACACTTCTAGATCTACACTTCTAGATCTACACTTCTAGATCTACACTTCTAGATCTACTGTACCTACAGTTCTCGTCCACACCCGACTGCTACATGGTTTCTTTCAGACATTTGTCTCTGTGAATACACGTGAAACTTGCAGGGGGGGGGGAGTAGACTGCTTAGATTATACTTTTTTTCTAAATAAATTATAAATTTATATCATTTGCCCGGGGAAGGGGTGGTGGACGTAACCCACATCCCCTACCCTCGCACACGAAGTGATACCCCGGGTACCCCTGCAAAAACAAAAAATAAATATAGTGTTGTCAGGCGACTGCCCATCCATCATTACTTACATCACTCTGACCGGGACGTTATACAGCCTTTTGGCCATAACATATGATCAATTTTTAAATATATAGGGCCCGACAAATAGATGAGACTTTTTATTTTAAAAGATTCATCTAATTATAAAATGTGATATATTTATTTATTTTCAGAACATAACACAGAGTGAGCAGGGGTATTGATGTAGGGGATATAATCCATGAAATCTTGCTGCTCAATTTATAATAAAGAGTTGTTTTTTCTTGAACATAGGTTCAAAGAATATGATCAGAACAGGTCACGCGATTGTTTTATTGAGCACATAAATATGACTTTATCCCCACACATGTAGACTATATCTACGTGTTAAAGAAAAAACGTTGTTGATGTGTGTAACTTTAGCGACTGACGCAATCTGCATCATTGTTTCAGGATGCTATGTGGCGCTCAGGGTTATCCTGTGACCACCATGGCGCCTATGTTTGTTTTAAGTACCCAGGGGCCGTATGCGGAGCCTATGCTGTAGTGTAATCGGGGGCTACAGAGAGCGCCCCTATACGTCACTGACAGATGGGCGGAAAGCGAAGTGTGTTCTACCTCATTATTTCGGTTAGTGATTAACGTACACTCAAGGTTTTCATGCGTTAGTGTAGGGAAACCCGTGTCCCGATATTTATGATCCAAGCACAGGCATTGTTTACATTAAATAACTCACTTTTAGAAAACAAGGTCGCGCGTCTAAGAATATACGATTTGTAACGCATGGATGAACCCCTTCTTATATATTTCGTCGGACATTCTTCTATTCTCGCGGCAACGCGCGGGGACGGGAACAGGTACGCTAGTATGTGTGTGTGTGTATATATATATGTATATATATATATATATATATATATATATATATATATATATATATATATATATATATATATATATATATATATATATATATATATATATATTTAAACCTAGGGTCTGCATGTCCCTGAAAAAAAGCTAGTTCATTTAGCTTACATCGCAAAATCCTAGGAAAGTAAGACTATCACTATATGATGTAAGGGAAATAATTCATTAAATTTTGTTTTTGTAATAACGATTTGTGTCCCTTGAATCATTTTTTAAAAGATTTCGACAAATTCTTATTGATCCAAAATTTACTTTTCATAGTCAATAAAAATTACTTTATATCGTATTTTTGTCCGTCATAAAAGACTCATAAGAACTATTCAATAGTAAATGACAAATAGTATACTTCTTCAATTCACGATATTTTTTAAAATACTTTTTTAAGTGTACCTTTTCTATCAGTTTGCTATACCAGTTATAGTCCAGATCTAGATCTAGCCAATATATATTTTAGCCTTATTAAAAATTTGCATTTTTTAAGGGGTCTGTTATATTTTAGATCTAGTCTAGATCTAGTCTAGCAGAAGAGAAAAAAAAAGTATTTATGATTTGAATGTAGGCTATCATCAATGTTCATAATCAATTTGAAATAGTTATTTGACGTTTTTTTCAAATCTTGATCTGGCATAGTAGATCTAGTTTTGGGAAAATCTATTAAATTTTTCACAGGTTTTTTTTTTACTAATCTTAGTAATCTAATATAGATCTAGATCTAGAGTCTAGATCTATAACTAAGAGATCTAGAATAATTACTAAAATTTAAGGAGTCATCTTTTTTCACAATACTATTCTTAGACGATTTTACTTTTACGTACCTAGTCAAGTTAGTAGTATTAGTCTAGTGAGTCTAGCTACTAGCTAGAGCTCTAGACATCTAGAATAATCTAGATAGATCTAGATCTAGATCTAGTTCTAGTTTAGTAGTTTAGTAAGTTTAGGTCACAGTTTAGGAGAGGCTAGATCTACCACTAGAACTAAGTATACACAGTGAGTATACACTATACACTATGACTTAAGTCACTTAAGGAATGAAGAAATAAGCATTACCAACACCTAAGTTGCCAGCTGCTACAATAGTGAATAGAGTCTAGACCAGGGGTCGGCAACCTGCGGCTCGCGAGCCGCATGCGGCTCTTTTGATATCAAGGTGCGGCTCTCCAGCTCCTTGCACAAATACTACTAATCTTAATAATAAAATAAAATATTTGATATAAATAAATGTTAGTGGCTCTTTAAAACCAGGGAAATTTTGAAAATTGTAACTTTTGGCTCTTCCACTTCAAAAGGTTGCCGACCCCTGGTCTAGACCTTTGGCTTGGGCTTATGGCAGGCTTTTGCTTCCTTTCCCTGGTTTGGGATTGATGGGCAGCAGACAACATCAAGTCTCAAACGTGCATGCAGTACTCTTGTGGGCTACAAGCATGCATCATACAACTAAACCACACTGCTCTCAATCCAAAAACTATCTTAAAAAACTCTAAATAATAAAATTAAAATATGATTCACTTACGGATTACTGTAATGAGATATGATAATTTTAATTTAGAATAGGGGCCTATATCCCAATGATTTAATTATTTTATTTTTTCACTTTTGTGTGTTGACAGCAACCTTGTCTCAGTTTTTCACTGGTCCGGCCTTACGCCAGTTGCTGATGACGTACAACATTTTAAAAAGACTAGGCCATGGATCTTTTGGTGATGTTTATCTTCTAAGAGTTGAAAATGGTGATGAAGTGAGTATGGTGGATGCCTTGTGAGCTCCTCCATAACTTAATATCAGAATAACCTGATTAGTATTTAATGATTTTGTTTACACTTTTTAAAATAGTTTTTAGTTAATCAATTCAATTTAATGTAATCGAATTTATTCAATAACGGTAACAATAGTAGGCACTGAGGCCTTTTTTCACATTGGCCGTTTAAAATAAACAAAACAACAACGTAATAACAGCATTTAAAAAAGCAATTGTGTAGTAAGATAGCACTAAAAAATGTGGAATAAAGAAATAATATTACATAGTTATAATACAAAATGAGATAAAATAGGAATATAATAGATGAATGGGAAATGTTGCAATCAGTCAGTTAGGGAGGTAATTAAATAATTGTTGTTTAAGTTTAGTTTTGAATATATTTTCAGATCTAGATAGTTTATTTTATTAGGAAGATTGTTCCACAAATTAGAACCAGAGTTTTTGGAAAAAAGTTTTATATGGGATCTAAATATGTGTTTTGTATTTTCCATAAATATTACTATAAATGAAAACTGTAACTTCTCTTGGTGATGATTTGTCTAACAGTATGCCTTAAAAGTTGTGGACACCACCAAACTTGTACAAGTGGAGGACAAGTCTGTTGATGCTGAGGCCAGGCTGATGATGAAACTATGCCACGCCCACCTGGTCCAGTGCTGTGCCTATTTCCTTTGCAACAAACACCTGTACCTGCTCACAGAGTTTTGTCGTTACGGCTCCTTGAAAAACTATTTAAACAACAGCTCCAGCCTTGGTGAGCATGTTCCAGAGGAGAAAGTTCTCATGTGGCTCAGTCAGTTAGCTGATGTTCTTAGAGTAAGTTGTTCTTGTTCTGCCAGTTAGTTGATGTTCTTAGAGTAAGTTGATCTACCAGTTAGCTGATGTTCTTAGAGTAAGTTGTTCTGCCAGTTAGCTGATGTTCTTAGAGTAAGTTGTTCTGCCAGTTAGCTGATGTTCTTAGAGTAAGTTGTTCTGCCAGTTAGCTGATGTTCTTAGATTAAGTTGATCTACCAGTTAGCTGATGTTCTTAGAGTAAGTTGATCTGCCAGTTAGTTGATGTTCTTACAGTAAATGGATCAGCCAGTTAGTTGATAAATTAGTTGCGAAAAGCTTTGAGCATTTACAAGCAATGAAACAATCCAAGCTGAAGCAGATTGTTTTGTATGATTATATTAATACTGTCAGCAGATTTTATTGATTGAATCAATACTTACTTAAAATCTAACACAAGCCAAATTACAAACATTTTAATATTTATACCATTTCCCTACAACATATTCTATATCTAGTTTCTAATGTGTAAGAACTAAAGTGTTAATGTATTGTGTTGGGGTTGCTATAAAATAACCATGTTTGTGACAAATTTAAATGATGGTGGAGGCAGTCTTACAAATTCCATAAAGCAAATCCTGTTGAGCTTAATAAACTAATCCTCCATTAACTGCCATGAAGACTAACATGCTGTGCAATTTATTTATGCAATTAGTCCCTGTAATCCAATTAACTGCATGTCTATGTATTCCCACTAAGTTTGTGGTTAGGATTGACCACTTGCACTGTTTCAGTACCTGCATGCCAGTAAAGTTATCCACAGAGACATAAAGACAGATAATATCTACTTGGATGACAAGCAGAATTGTAAACTGGGGGATCTAGGAATAGCCAGGTAGTCAAAAGCTGTCTTTTGTTGCTAATGTTGTATGTGACTTTTATAATAGCTGACTTTTACTAATGTTGTATGTGACTTTTATAACAGCTGACTTTTGCTAATATTGTTTGTGACTTATATAACAGCTTACTTCTGCTAATCTTGTATGTGACTTTTATAACAGCTTACTTCTGCTAATGTTGTATGGGACTTTTATAACAGCTGACTTTTGCTAATCTTGTATGTGATGTTTATAACAGCTGACTTCTGCTAATGTTGTGTGAGACCTTTATAACAGCTGATGTTTGCTAATGTTGTGTGACTTTTGTCATACATCACTTAACTAACTGCTGACTTGTGAGTAAAGTGCTTTATGTGGGTGGCTACTAGCAGTCCTTTAACATGCCAGGTGTTTTCAACATTCCCAGGGAGATGACCCACACAGCTGCCGTGGCCAACACCTTTATTGGCACCTACCTGTATATGAGTCCTGAGATTTTCAAGACCTCTGTCTATTCTTCTAAGGTGAGATTTTGGCTAGTCTTCTGAGATGAGATTTTATCTGTCTATTCTTGTAAGGTAAGATTTTGACTGTCTATTCTTCTAAGGTTAGATTTAGGGTGAAAAAAAGTTCATCTATTTATTAGCGTAGGAACATTCCCCAGAGTAAAAGTTTCAGTCCAGTTTTTATTATAAACTTTTTAAATTTTTTTATTAATGTTGTGTTTTTTTCTGTGTTCGGAGACTCAATCAAATTTTGTTGGACATCTACTATTTGCATGAATCAGCCATAATAGCCTTAAACAACAATGTCACAGTCACCCAATACATGACATCCACTTTATACTCTGGTTCTTGAAGAAATCACTACCTGTAGTCACTCTTCCTCATAGAATTTTATCATTCATGCTTTTGGCATCTAAGTTATAGGAACTGTAAACATAAAGAAATCAAGCCAATTTGATGTTTGTGTTTAGACAGATATCTGGAGCTTGGGTTGCTGTATCCATGAGGTCATGACCCTCAGCCCCACATTTAAAGGAGACAGTTTGGTTCAAGTCATGGGCAAAATTACTCGGGGAAAGGTAAAGTTGATTCAAAATTTGGTTGTCTTTTTTAAAATGAAATTCTTGCATTTTATCTGGCTAACCAAAGCCTACCACCAAGTAACAAACTTAATTTTTCTCTCCTGGCCCAGTTTCCAGCCATGCCAGATTTTTACAGCCCAATACTGCGGCAGCTGGTTGGAACCATCTTAAATGTAAACCCGAAGAAACGTCCAGATGCCACAGATGTTTTATATTATGTTTGTGTAAGTTACACTGTAACATCCATTCTAGATTCTTTACACACACAAAAGTTTTACAGCATTTAAAATAACTTCATTTAAAATCTAAATTTAACCTTGCATATTTAGAATGTATTACAAAACAGTATATCAATGTGAATGTTTTTTCCCACTTTTTTTACATAAAATTATCAGAAATATCTATTTATAAAGAAAAAAAATAGAATTAAAGTAAATAAATCTGATATATATCTATCAGCAAATAAAAGGCCAAGCCTACACCCCAGGCCCACACAGAGACATCCCTAAAATTGAGATTGACCAGATGCAGGTCTGTAAAGCTGTGCAGGACTTTGAGAACTCACCAGGGGGTGACGACCTTCAACCTTTTTTAAACTTCCCAAGCCAGCCTGACACAAATGTTGTAAGAAGAGCACCACGGCCTCTTCCACAGCCCAGACCCAGGTCAACTGTTCCAAAACATTCAAAACACAGAGCAGAGAAATCAAAATCTTATCCAAACTTCCAGCCAAATGAGGCAAACAGTTCTGAAAGTTTAGAAACTTCTGATACCATTCCCTCCTACACAACAGACTTGCCACAGACAAAATTAAAAGGTAAAGTAATTTACATGAACCAATCCAAAAAAATTGCATTTCCACTCTTCTATTGTGTTTATCTGACATTTTATTCAACTATAAAATCTAAAAACAACAGTTTGTAATTATTGGTCAGCAGAGTACCTGGTAACAACAATTTCATTTTTCACTGAATTTGGCCAGAAAAATATACTTTTTTCCTGACAAAAATAAATTTGATAACCATTCTAAAAGATGTGAATATTGCAAGGGGTGGTACTTGGGGGTAAATGTCATGTTTTGTTATTTCTTTCTAGAAAAGACAGAAATTGACAGGGCCACTGTTGGGGCTTCCATACCCAATGTTGACATTCACCAACCTCTAAACAACAGCAGCAATGTAAGTCCAGTCTGAACACAGATGTTTGTCTACATTACATGCACTTATTTTATGACTCAGGCATTTATTTACATTCAAGACATGCAGTCATTTGATGATTGAGTCATTTATTTTGTTCTTTAGGTTTTTAGTAATGTGGCACATAGGCTTATATGTTTTAAAATTTAATTTAGTTGAACTTTACATTTGATTAATGATTATCTCAATTTTATTTTAGAACAAATCATTGAAGAACTATTCAACATCTGAGTCTGAGAGTTTGGTGACCTTGTACACACGAGCCCAAAAGGTCAAGTTCAGTAAAAGAGTCAATGAGTGACCAGGTAGTCTCTGCATTTTATGACAAAATGAAATATTTGTTGTTTTGTTTTTAATAATATTTGAATAACTCCATTAGAAGTAAAAATAAATTGTGTTTATGTTATAGATGATGAACTGTACCACAGATTGTCACATTGTGTTTTGACGTATGCTGGCAGCAGCATAAAGATTACAGCTGTAGGGAAACTTGCCAACATACACATTTATTTTTTGACTGGTTAATTAATTTATGCTGAATAAAGTTTTCAGTCATAGGGAAACTAGCCGACATACACATTTATTTTTTGACTTGTTATTTATGCTGAATATGTTGCCAAGTGAAAGCTTTAAATAGATCAATGAAGATGTCCAGTCTGAGATACTGTTGTAGTGCTGACCACTGACCACACACATTGCTTGTACACAGATGAGTGAAGTTGTCATGACGCAGGTGAAGATGGTTTTATTAATGGGATATAAAAGTTCTTCATAAAATATTGATTGATGGGATATAAAAGTTCATCATAAAATATTGATTTATGGGATATTAAAATTTGTCACAAAATATTAATTAATGGGATATTAAAGTTCATTGTAAAATATTGATTGATGGCAAATAAAAGTTTGTCATAAGGTATTGATTTATGGGATGTAAATGTTCATCATAAAATACTGTTTTATGTGTTATCATACAATGCTGATTCAGTACAATAGATCTGAATATTGTTTTGTTTACTTGCAAATGGTGTATTTTTACATCAACATTTATTTTCATGATATATTTTTGGAATTATACAAAGTATTTTTTTTATTTTACACAATATACCTTTTGTATCTCATTTCAAATGTATTTGTAAAGAAAATATAATTATTTTTATCATTCAATTCTATTAAATATGAATGAATTTTGTGATAATTTTATTATAGTGAAACTTGTCTTAAATCCAAAGTAAGGGATCTCACTGCTTGTGATAGGGCAGCACACTAAGGTCAAGGTAAGATGGCTCTACATGGCCATACAATTAGATGGCCAAACAATTCAAAGCCAGTCCTAGCTGAATGATCTAACCACTTCAACATTGTTGACTATTCTTTTGTTAAGTGTTATGTAGTATTAGTAGCAAATGTTAAGTATTGTCATAAAAATTGTTCGCAAATAAAATCTGTTATTGATGTCATTTGTTGACATTTGAGATTGTTATTTACTACACTAACAATAAGAACAATTTCACTACTTTTGTCAAAACTTACAATAGTAAAAATAAATGTGAAAATAGTTCCATTTATATTAACAGCATATTCTTTATTACATTTACATATTCATTAAGTAAAAAACTGCAAAGAATCTGCATGCCTGCTGTCTATTCACTTAATAAATTGTACACAACTGTACAGCTGTAACATATCCCACAGTTTGCTAAAGTAAGAATAGGCTAGAAAATTGGAGGGCTATAATAGAACATTTATGTGCAGTGGCTTATAGGATATTCTATTAAATTCAAGACTAGTGTTTTTTATGATTACAGTATTTTGTAGTCGGTTTGTTTAGATTGGATAGAACATCAACACCAAATGGCATCAGAGTTTCTTCCAGGCATCTCTTCGAGAGATTCCCCCCCCCCCCCCCGAACGAAAATGGAATTTATGTAGAAAATATATACTTTTAACAGTGTCCGCCAAACCCCCCCCCCCCCCCCCCCCCCCGGGAGAAAAAAGTCTGGAAGAAACACTGAATGGCATGGAATCCAGCAGGGCGAGAAGACGGAGCTGTGTAGGCCCTGTGTGTGTAGAAAGTGTTGGAGTAAAACCTATTTTAAATGGCCTATCGATGATGCATTGAACTATTGGATTTAGCCGACGTCAGTGCCGTCCATAAATCGATATGATCGCAAATCGATCCGACATAAAGCTCTATTTATAGCTCTAAGTAAACACGAACACTTGATAGGTCGGTATAAGTTAGTGGATGTGATGATTTGTGTTGTATACCGCCGTGATTACTTAGCTTGATATTTGTATTACGATTGAAGTTTGCCGGACGAAATATTTGTTTTGACACGTGACACCAAAAGATTGCAGCAATGACTAACTCTAGCACTGCCACCAGCACATCGTCAGGTCGCCTGTGACCACATTTCATTTTTTTTTATTAAAATAATTGTTGTTGTTGGCTAGAGAAGATTAATATGACGTCACCATTCGTGATTCACAAACAACTGGCCACTGGGCGGTTCGTCAATGTTTACCAGCTGGGTACACACGATCAGGGAACGGTAAGTCTCTAAAGGTGTTTTTACAAGTGTTTTCTTAGATGTCTTTTTATAGTCAAGTCTTCAAGTTTAATTTCGACCCATTTCAAAAGGGATGATTTCTTTCCATTTAACTTTATTTCTAATGACAAAGCAAGAATAATGTGCAATCAATTCAGATATTAAATACGTTAGGTATTAAAATGACTTTGTTCAACAAGGAAAAGATAACTCTATCCGTCAGGTGAGCTAGTGTTGAATATTGTTTACATGTGTTGGAGACCAGCCGGGTGTTAATCAGGGGCAGATAACACTCGTAGACAGTGATTTTTATAAGGGGATGTAAATGTAAGCGACATTTAATGGCCTGAGTATTAAGCGAACTTGTTATACGTATAGTCATAAGGGGAATAGATTCAGGAACAATCGGCCTGGAAAGATTAAATATTGTACAGATAGTCTAAAAAATAGTGTATCGACTAACGTTTATATCTTTAAAATACAAGCTTTTAAATGCATTAAAATAATCAGGAGATATTCATTATTTTGTCTTAGCGATCAGAGTATAGGTAAACACGTTGGTCGCAAAGTGTATTGAACAGATTCCTAGAGCTAACAATGGTTGTACATTTAGTCAGTGGCGTAGCGAGGTCGGGTGTCACCCGGTGCGGGACTTAATGGTGTCACCCCCCCCCCCCCCACACCCCCAGAGACGTAGCAACCCTTCCCGGGGACAAACTTTCAATTTTCGATTTGCACCCCCCCCCCTCAAACTTTCGATTTGCACACCCCCCTAAAACTTTCGATTTGCACCTCTAACAGGACTATTTAACGCTCGAATTTATCATTTAATTAAGCGCAATTATCATTTTTCTCTATAAATTTTGCTATTTTTTGCCTTGGTGTCACCCCATAAATGGTGTCACCCAGTGCGGTCCGCCCCCCCCCCCGCCCTCGCGACGCCTCTGCATTTTAATTTAGTATCAGCTCTTTTAGCCTACACCGTAAGATACTGGCAGTATTTTTTCCACATTTCGGGGGGGGGGGGGAGGTAGACTTTTTCGAAGAGATGCCTAGAAGAAACTCTGGACACTGATAATTTTGTCTTTTATTCCAGTTTGTCAGATACTGGTCAACCACTATTTTTTGTTTTTATCCCAGTTTATCCTTAAGATACTGGACACCTCTACAGCAGACGCCGAGAAAACGAAAGCGGAAGTCGAGTCTGTCCTTGACCTGAAACACCCCCACGTCCAGCAGTGTTGCTCGTACAGTTTCGACTCTGACCGGAAGTTGTACTTGCTGCTTCAGGAGGTCAAGTGGTCACTACAACATGAGCTGGAGAAACGAAATTTTAAGTGGAACGACGATTTTAAACTGCTGGCTCAGATGGCCGATGGCCTCAAGGTGCGCCTGCAGACAAGTTTTGTTTATGTAGACAATGTCTGTCTGTGTAGACAACTTTAATAGAATATATATTTGTCGATACAAGACTATCTACGTAGACAACATTTGCATGTGTGGGCACACGTCTATATATGTATATATACATATATAAATATATATATATATATATATATATATATATATATATATATATATATATATATATATATATATATACACTTAAAACCATGTCACCGCTATGATATTGCCAGTTCCTACATTCCAAGAATGTATGTCACGGCCATCTTAGGACTGATCACGTGTACCTAGACATGGACAGAAATATCAAGTTGGGAGAAGTGGCCATTGTCAGGTAAATGCCACAACTGATTCTACCTTGTCAATTTCATTGCTTCGATGTTTGTTTATCTGTGTTGGTAAAACAGTTGGTAACATAGCCACATTTGTTGATGTATGTAACATGGCCACATTTGTTGATGTATGTAACATGGCCACATTTGTTGATGTATGTAACATGGCCGAATGTGTTGATGTATGTAACATGGCCGAATGTGTTGATGTATGTAACATGGCCGAATGTGTTGATGTATGTAACATGGCCGAATGTGTTGATGTATGTAACATGGCCGAATGTGTTGATGTATGTAACATGGCCACATTTGTTGATGTATGTAACATGGCCACATTTGTTGATGTATGTAACATGGCCGAATGTGTTGATGTATGTAACATGGCCACATTTGTTGACGTATGTAACATGGCCACATTTGTTGATGTATGTAACATGGCCACATTTGTTGATGTATGTAACATGGCCGAATGTGTTGATGTATGTAACATGGCCGAATGTGTTGATGTATGTAACATGGCCGAATGTGTTGATGTATGTAACATGGCCGAATGTGTTGATGTATGTAACATGGCCACATTTGTTGATGTATGTAACATGGCCACATTTGTTGATGTATGTAACATGGCCGAATGTGTTGATGTATGTAACATGGCCACATTTGTTGACGTATGTAACATGGCCACATTTGTTGATGTATGTAACATGGCCACATTTGTTGATGTATGTAACATGGCCGAATGTGTTGATGTATGTAACATGGCCGAATGTGTTGATGTATGTAACATGGCCGAATGTGTTGATGTATGTAACACCGTCATAATCTCGTGCCACAGAAAACCGGACAACTTGACCAAGCCCGTCATGTTCTATGAACTGAATGCCGGCAGACCGTGCTACCTGGGGCCAGAGGTCATTGACCACAAGCCCTACACAACCAAAGTAAGGTTTGAATAATATTCAGTTTCAGTCCAGATCAGCAGGTCAGTCTAAGCACTAGTAGCATCTTAGTGACTGACCACTGTAAGAATATTAGTGACTGACCACTGTAAGAATCTTAGTGGTACTGACCACTGTAAGAATCTTAGTGATACTGACCACTGTAAGAATCTTAGTGATACTGACCACTGTAAGAATCTTAGTGACTGACCACTGTAAGAATCTTAGTGGTACTGACCACTGTAAGAATCTTAGTGATACTGACCACTGTAAGAATCTTGGTGATACTGACCACTGTAAGAATCTTAGTGACTGACCACTGTAAGAATCTTAGTGACTGACCACTGTAAGAATCTTAGTGATACTGACCACTATAAGAATCTTGGTGGTACTGACCACTGTAAGAATCTTTGTGATACTAACCACTATAAGAATATTAGTGACTGACCACTATAAGAATCTTAGTGACTGACCACTGTAAGAATCGCAGTGATACTGACCACTGTAAGAATCTTAGTGATACTGACCAATGTAAGAATGATAGTGTTACTGACCACTGTAAGAATCTTAGTGATACTGACCACTGTAAGAATCTTAGTGACTGACCACTGTAAGAATCGCAGTGATACTGACCACTATAATAAGATAAGTGCTACTGACCACTGTAAGAATCGAAGTGGTAATGACCACTGTAAGAATCTTTATGATACTAACCACTATAAGAATCTTACTGGTACTGACCACTAGTAGTAGTATCATCTCAAGCTCACCCAGACAGCTTGAAGTTTTCTGATGTTGCTCATTTAAACACGATCTGTGTATATTTGAGTTCCGTGTTATCTCTCTGTTACCTACCTCATGAGAAATTGTTACCCACCTCATGAGAAATTGTTGCCTACCTCATTAGAAATTGTTACCTCGCGTCACATTTTATGTTACATAAAGGCTACATGTTGACATCACTTTTTGTTTTCAATTAAAGACAGATGTCTGGAGCCTGGGCTGCATATTCCTGGAAATCTTGAGCCAAAAGGCGCCTTTTATCTACGGCAATCTGGCAGGCATCACAAGCGGCGTCGTAAGTCCCAAGAACGTTCAATGTGTTGTCCTTAAAGTTATGTTTAATTTTTTTTTTAAATTAGAAACGTGCTGAAAATAAGACAGGGGTCGTCCATAAATGACGTCATCCTCGTAGGGAGGAGGGGCAGTAGCGTACGCAGGGGGGGGGGGAGCAGGGGGAGCGGCCGCTCCCCCTCTGGCCATTTTCAGCAAAGTGGCGCCTTTTTGGAAACTTTTTAAACTCTAAGTTTTAAACAATGATATTTGTTAAAAAAATATTTTTAGTCGGCACATCTATGTAAATCACAAGATTTCTTTTCAAGCACCAATTAAGCATTATTGTACTAGTCTAGTAGTGTCTACGTTTACAACACGTATTAACAGCTGCATCAGTTTGCCATTCTAAAAATAACCATCACGATGCATTGCAATGTTTAGAAAAACCTCTACGTTAGTACCACTTGGCAAGAGGGGTGTTAAGTTTAAGGTAACTGTATAATATATTTTCTTACGAATAATTGAATTAGAAAATGTTATACATAAATATTCACACATAATTACTTTATATATACAGTTTGAATCGTGTGATTAATTTAAAAAAAAATATAATACAGAAACAAATACAACTGATGTGGCACCTCTATTTAAATTTACTTATGAGCAAACTGCGTAATGGTGGGGAAATTTTGACAAGGTCAACAACGTCATCACGATGAAGTAGTAGTATTCATACAGTATGGGCGATAGTAATTACGATCACAAATTATATGAAACAGTTACAACCCCCCTCCCCATGGACCCCTCTGTAAAAAAATTTTTGTCATAATACCACTTCTACTTATTTAAATCTATTTCTGTAATATATATTTGTGTAATATATATTTGTGTAATATATATGTATGTTTAGAACAGCCATCTAAAAACTGACGCTATGTTCACTCTGAGTTGGTTATCTCCCCCCCCCCCCCCCACACCTCACCACCACAATTGTGTAGAGCGACATTAATGTCACAACTAGGTATACACTGGGTTGGATAATTGACCTAAGTTAAACGGACAGTGGTGAATGAAGTTGAACCCACCCCCTCAACCCACCCAGAACTGATCTGTTAAGTACATGTAACGTAATAATGTACCAAAGTACCATGCCGCCGGAAAATTAGCTTTTTAAACGTAAAACTCTATGAATATTGTTTTTGCAATTACCTGTAAAAATGTGTGTGATCAATACAGTGATCTAACCCATACTTATCACTATGTTAAAAAATGATCTTTAAAGAACACAAAGAAGCAGTAGTTAATTAAAATATATGATCTGAACTAAATGACCGATATTTAATTATATGTAGGCTGTTATTCCGAATGTTTTTCTATTATATCGAAAAGCGTGATTTTATACCAACTCTGATTTTAAAAACTTTTATTATGCTGTAATACTTTAGCATTTATGATGACGATATATTAAATTCTGTTTATAGACAAAAACATTTTGTAAACATGAATAGTGTTAAACAATTTCGTTATATTCTAAAGTAATTATTTATTTGTTTTGACATTTATAATTAAATGTGTAGATATATACATATTTATATTAAGAGAGTGATTATTTCCCCTATTTCACTTGTCTTAAATTATTTCCAAGGAATTATTATGTAAGAGTTTTTAGCGCAATTTCCATTCTGGAGAATTGCGTTTATTAACTCGTCATTTCTGGGAATGGATGGATGAATGAATGTATGGATGAATGTGTGTCCGGGCTTTAAGTCGTATCTCCTCCTCAACGAACCAATATCGATGACTAGTTCCAAAAGCAATTATGTTAAGCAAGTTACGAGAATGAGCATAGGCCATAAAAATTCCGGGTTTCTTTCATGTATTTCCCGGAAAAGCAAAAAAACCTCGAAAAAATGCAGTTTTTGGCCCATATCTCGGCAACCAGACCACTTAGCGACTTGAAACATGTACCAATCGATTCCTGTCGTAATTTAGAACAATATTGCCGAAAAAAGTTTTCAAAAATATCCTCTCGTTCGGTCACAAATTTTAAAATTACATAAACACCTACAAACCGATCGTTCTTCTAGCTTGAACACACCCCAGCATTATACGTCAGAGCTATTTTTAGATAACATAAGGAAATTGCGCATAAATGTCACTAGACTTTTTTAATTAACTTGTTTTACAAGAATTACAAAACAGATTGTGTTACGTTCATTGTTTTTGGTTGTACTATGTACTGGTATATATATATATATATATATATATATATATATATATATATATATATATATATATATATATATATATATATATATATATATATATATATATATATATTGTTTAGATTGATACAATTTTTGTTTTGTCGGCCTACATTGTGTGTTTTTTCTTATTTCTTCAGAGTGATACTTTCAATTTATTTTACATCATAGCGAAGTAATGCCATACAGCTAGTAATTATATATATATATATATATTATATATATATATATATATATATATATATATATATATATATATATATATATATATATATATATATATATATACGTATATAGAACGTGGTAAAAATTCGGCGCCTTTTTTTGCTCTTTTCGCTCCCCCTACAACGAAAACCTGGATACGCCTCTGGGGAGGGGAGTCCGTAATTTATTGACGGTGTGTGGATAAAGGGGGGAGGCTCAGATGCTTTGACGTCACACTTTTGCTTTATAAAAAAGCTGTGTTAGAAAACGAATTTTAGCCGTTATTTCGCCATTCAGAAAACTGTTTTAATAAATTCGGATAGAAATTGATTAAAATACTCCATGTTGACAGAGTTCAGACAAGATTTAGGAGGGGGGGGGGGGGGGTTGTAGGCTGAGGTGTGACGTTATTTGGGGGTGGGGGAATCTGTCTTTTTGTGACAATGTGTGACGGGGGGAGGGGGGGGTAAAATCATCAAATAGAGCGTGAAAAACATCTGAACATTTTATCGATGTGTACAGTAGAAGTAAAACTGTTCAAAGAAATTGATTGTCGTACTTTGAAGTTGATTGGTTTATCACCTTGGGTGACGAAATAAAACGGCTGATTGCTTAATTTTGTTTTTCAGCATCCAAAAATATCCACATTACGGCATGGCTTACCTCTATCAAATTTGATCGACAAGATGTTGGCAGTTGAGCCGAGCATGCGCAGTACAGCGGCGGAAGTGTGTGACACATTGAAGGTTTGTTTTTGAAATCAGATGGCCAGTTTCGTTTTTATACATTCTGTTTTGATTAGAGCACCTTCATGTTAAATATATATCTGGTTTACTAGACCTAAATCTGTTTATAAATTCTAAAATAGAAATAATTTATTTTCAGTAAAGACAAAAAGGAAAAAAAAATATTTAAAACTATTTTAAATGGGATGTAACTATTTTTCAACATTTTTCCATTACCACTGTGTCTGTGAACGACTTGTCCTAATTTCAGGATATCCGAGGAATGGAAGTGGTATCAGCAGACGTGACATTCCTGCCCAGGCTGTACCTGGACTGGGGGAAGGTGTATGCTGCCCTCGCCAAGTACAGGCACGATGTTATTGTGGGGACAAAGTCAACGTGTTGCTCCTTATTGTAGCGGGCCCTGTCTCCTGATGTAATGGTCCCTGATGTAATGGCTCCTGTCTCCTGATGTAATGGTTCCTGTACCATCATGTAATGCCCCCTGTCTCCTGATGTAATGACCCCTGATGTAATGGCCCCTGTCTCCTGATGTAATGGCCCCTGTCTCCTGATGTAATGGCCCCTGATGTAATAGCCCCAGTCTCCTGATGTAATGTCCCCGCCCCTGATGTATTGGCTCCTGTCACATCATGTAATGCCCCCTGTTATTTTATGTAATGTCCCCTGATGTAATGCCCCTGTCCCCCTGATGTAATGTCCCTTGTTCCATCATGAAATGGCCCCTTGTCCAATCATGTAATGGCCCTTATCCTATCATGTAATGGCTCCTGTCATATAATTGAAAATAAACGCTGTGATTTCATGAAGCTGATATATAAATATTTGCCTTTAAGAGTTATCAAAAAGCAACCTTAGTCATCTAACTGGCAATAAAAGATGGTTTGACTATTATTTTTATTATTTTTTTTTCTGATGTGTGCTATTTTACTTTGTTATGAAAATATACTAATGCCACCAAAGCTCCACATCACATAACAACCAGAAAATGCACTATGTTATTCTTGCTAAAGCTCCATATAACAATTAGAAAATGTACAATGTTATTCTTGCTAAAGCTCCACATATCAACCAGAAAATGTACACTGTTATTATTACTATATAACAATTAGAATATGTACTGTAAAGTCTTATTCTTGCTAAAGCTCCACATTACAACCAGAAAGTGTACAATGCTATTAAAACTGTTTTCAGTCTCAGCGCGTTCAATGCTTTTATACAAGGTTGTTTTTTTTTTTTTTTTTTTTTTTTTGTTTTTTTTTTTTTTTTTGCATTTCTCAATCTCAAACTTTATCAATCAAAGCACTAATAGACTTATTGCACCACCAATCATAGCTTCCCTTGGGGAATTTTTCTTGTAACCCACTTCGCCCCTGGATACTACTGTAATAAAGAGGGAGTGACCTCCCCTAAACTTTTTCGTATATTCTTACCAGCCGTCCCGGCCAGGCTCTGCACTGGTCTTTTTGAAAAACCTATCACAACCAAAACACAAACACAAACGAAAACAGAAACCCAAAAACAAACGCAAACACATACGCAAACAAAAACGCAAACATAAAAATAAACACAAACGTAAACATAAACGAAAATTCAAACACTAACGCAATTACAAAAGCAGACACTAACACAAACGCAAACACTAACGCAAACAAAAACGCAAACGTAAACATAAACGAAAATTCAAACACTAACGCAATTACAAAAGCAAACACTAACACAAACCTAAACGCAAAGAATATAAACATAAACTTAAGTGCAAACATAAAAGCATAGTGCTCACATTATTGCCCGGGGCGCAGAATCGCAGCCTACCGGGACGCCGGCGGAACCACCTGATTTAACTTAGTAAACAACTATAATACCCCTTTTTATCCATATTCTATTGCACAGTTTAAACCGAACTTAGTTGCCATTGCGCTCACGAGAAGGACCGGGGCGCTAAATAGCACCCTGGCGGGGCACCGGAGGAAGCCCTGGATTTGATTTAGTGAAGGACTATAGTAACCCTTCTTATCCATAGTCTTTCGCAATGTTTAAAACAAACTTTAAAGCTCACAGGATAGCCAGGGTAGCAAACGCTTCCCGGCCGGAGAGACGGCCGTTATACGATTATAATAAACCCAACTTGTCAGCAAACGGAAAGATAGAAGTAAACATAGAGGACATTTAAGAGCGGCTTCTAAACTGTTACTGATTTAAAATAATAACACGTGTCTAACCCATGTCAGTCCGTCTTCCACATACATACAGAGCTATAGAATCCGTTTGAGCTTTACATGTTAGATATTACACTATAGGGAGATAGACATGTTTTTTTTTCTCTTATAAGAAGTATAGAGGGGAATTGTAATCGTGCAAAAAAAAAACGAAATCGAGATTTTCATAATTCTTGACGTTTTACACCTCCCTGAGTCGGAAAACATAGTTTTGTAATTTTGTCCGTATGTCTGTGTGTGTCTGTATGTCTGTGAACAGGATAACTTGAGTACCATTACAGCTAGTTTGATGAAATTTCATATATAAGTGTTATATCAAATGTGTATTTCTGTATCAACTTTTCAGCAATTTCCGGTAGCCGGAAGTGGAACTTACTCTACTTTCAACTTCTCAAATGCCTATAACTTAAGTATTATTGTAGATAGATAAATGAAATTTGACAAGTAAGTAAAAGATCTAATTCTCTGCCTTCTTTCAAATTTGATTATTTCCGTTGGCCGGAAGTAGTACTTTACGCTATTTCCGCTTTCTAAAAAAAACGCATATGAATTTACAAAGTACTAGTATTCCGTAATTATTATACACATATTGTTTGCCGTTCACTTGGTGCGCAAGTCTTTTTTTTCTATGAGATTCTATTCTAGTTTTAAAAAGTTTAAATGTCGGATACCTCACGCTGTTACCTCTATATGCAGCAGTACACAAGTGTCGCATTCAATTTTAAAATTGTGCAAATCGAAAAACTATATATATATATATATATATATATATATATATATATATATATATATATATATATATATATATAAGATGACAAAATCCTGCCTACGCCCCGGCCTATGTGTGTGAGGAACTCGGCCGGTGTGGTGGGTAGGGGAGGGGGAGGCTTTCCGTGGAGGTTTACCAAGCAGTACCGCACCCCCCCCCCCCTGCTTTACAAAACAGTACAAGGGCTCGACTTGCATGAGTGTGTTTAACGGCAAGAGGTCATCATGACTAGTCAGGTGTTAAAAATAAATGTGCGAAATCCAATTTCCAAGAACTATGAAAACAGGCAGCATTGACTTATTGCTGAAGCTAGCTTTAGGCTAATTGATGTAACTAGCTGTATAATACTCACATCGCCTCTAATCTGTACGGTAATTTTAATTGTTACAACTTTAGTGTTACAAATTTTATGACAAAGTCGCTGTCTACAGTTAGTTTCGTTTTGTTTTCAAATGTTTATTTTTTTTTCTACTGCCAAGCTATTCTCGTTGCTTTACACTCGCGAAACTATAGCTAGGCCTTACTAGATCTACCTATAGACATACAATGCTGTTATGTCTTTGTTTAGGCCAGTTACAATAAATGTAATGGCTTAGTCTTAAATTTAGGGTTAGATTATGGATTGTGGATTTGGTTATGACAAGAGTTAAAGCAAGTTTTAGTTTTGTGTTAAATTCTGTTATGGTAGGCTTATAGTATATCCCTTCTCCAAGTTTGAGCTTGTAAATTTGCACTGGTTTCTGTTTCTCGAGTTTACCGAGAATTTGCCAGATCTATTGTTAGTTCCTACAGGGGTTTTGTTTTACTTCCTCTAATCACACAAAGTAGGCCAAAGCCCATTTGAGAATGGGCTTTTATTTACTTTACACTGTCTGTTTGTTATAAGATTTTGTTTAGTTTGCATTGTCTGTTTGTTTGTTATAAGCTTTTATTTACTTTACAATGCTGTTTTTTTATAAGCTTTTATTTAGTTTAAAATGTCTGTTTGTTATAAGATTTGGAATGTTTTACAATGTTGGTTTGTGGCAAATATTGTTACTCAATTTTAATGAGCGCTTTCGCTCAAACCTTGCATGTATATTGTTCTTCGATAACAACTTAAGAAAATCTAATTTTTAATCTAATTAGAAATTAGCAATTGACTTGAAAGATTATTAAATTCAATTTTATTTTTTATTGAAGTAAGATGCTCTTTTGAACGAATTTAAGTCTAGTAACTTTCCTTGATTTTAATTTCAGACTTGATATAACATATCAAATCATGGACTACATTATACACAAAACTATAGGGACAGGCAGATTTGTGGCTGCCTATCAGTTAGGTGTACCGCGAAACGGATTGGTAAGTTCGTTGTTTTATTCCTAGAATAATAGAATATTTACTGTAGTTTCGCTTTTGGTGTGCGTAGGCCTAGCTACCAAGTGTTTGATTATTTTATCATGTTGATCAACTAAACACGTTTTCCGTTGTAATAAATCAGTATTAATCCCACAAAGGATACCAGATACTCAACATTATATAAAATGAGTTGTTAAAGTAAATTTAAATATTACCAAAGCTAATAGCTAAGTGGCAACGATCACCTTAGATGTTCACGTATACTGAATAAAAATCCTTGATCAAACACGGCATAAGGAGCAGATAACTGTCGTGTAGAGTTTGATTGCTGCCATTTGTTCCAAGCTTTCATTTAGTTCGCAACGTCTGTTTGTTTGTTTATGGATTTGTGGGGGGGGGGGGGGGGAGCCGACCTTAGGGGGGCGCCAAAATGGGTTGGAAAAACAAATTGAAAGTTTGAGGGGGGGGGGTGCAGATCGAAAGTTTGAGGAGGGGGGTGCAAATCGAAAGTTTGAGGGGGGATGCTAACTGAAAGTTTATCCCCGGGCGCCGGGAAGGGTCGCTACGCCTGCTAAAACTTCACAAATAAATCCATATTTTACTAAGCTAATGGCCTGTATTTTTTTTACAAATCTCTGGACTTGTATTAACATACTCATGTATTGACATGCGCAAATCCATTGACATACGCACATGTATTGACATGCGCACATGTATTGACATGCGCACATGTATTGACATGCGCACATGTATTGACATGCGCACATGTATTGACATGCGCACATGTTTGCAGTACACTCTGAAGATCACAGACAAGACGACGACGGATGTCAGTGAACGTGACATCAGGGACGGGGTGGAGGCCGCCATCGACAAACTCCGCCACATCCACATCCAGCACTGCTTCGCCTACCACATAGACGAGCACAGACGTCTGCTGCTACTTCTGGAGCCAGTGAAACATTCTCTGCTAGATGCCATCAGGCAGAAGCCGTTTCACCATTTTTATCTCCTCCGTCAAGCCCATCGCGACCAGAGCCTGCTTTGGTTTGCACAGATGGCGGATGGTGTACAGGTAAAACATCGTGAGTTTAGGGTGGCTAGTTCTGTAGGTGAGGTGCTCACATACACCTGTAGCTGTAGCATTGCCTGGGTGCTCACATACACCTGTAGCTGTAGCATTGCCTGGGTGCTCACATACACCTGTAGCTGTAGCATTGCCTGTGTGCTCACATACACCTGTAGCTGTAGCATTGCCTGTGTGCTCACATACACCTGTAGCTGTAGCATTGCCTGGGTGCTCACATACACCTGTAGCTGTAGCATTGCCTGTGTGCTCACAAACACCTGTAGCTGTAGCATTGCCTGGGTGTTCATTCAAGGTGAGGTCATAAGTCCCATAAAACCCAGCGATAACAGAATGAATTTGCAGGATAAATTTAATTTATTTACTCAACTAACGAAAACCTATTTCAAACACATATCAGGGGCGTCACTAGGTCGGGTGACACCCGGTGTGGTATGCGAGGGTGTCACCCCTCCACCAACGACTATGATATACTAACAGTTTAGGGCATTTGGTGTCATCACCGTCTCGGATGGTGTCACTCAATGTGGTCCGCACACCCCACCTTGTGACGCCACTGTGTTTAAAATTTAATGTATATTCAAATAATCCTTACTTGTAACGCTAGCTTTCAAATGGAGCCCAATACAGCTTATAATCTTTTTTCGCAGTATTTGCACGCGCAGAATATATGTCATCGTGACCTTCGTACCGATCACGTGTTTCTTGATGAGAATGATGACGTCAAACTTGGAGATCTTGGACTCCTTAAGTAATTTGTTATGTTTGTAATCTTACATTACTGAAGAGTAATTTGTTGTGTGTAATCTTACATTACTGAAGAGTAATTTGTTGTGTGTGATCTTACATTACTGAAGAGTAATTTGTTGTGTGTGATCTTACATTACTGAAGAGTAATTTATTGTGTGTAATCTTACATTACTGAAGAGTAATTTGTTGTGTGTAATCTTACATTACTGAAGAGTAATTTATTGTGTGTAATCTTACATTACTGAAGACTAATCTGTTGTGATGAATGTTAGACTATGGAGAACGGATGTAATATCAGTGTCGCTTAATTTTGAGACACAATGTTGTACGACACAACTTTAGACACAGCTTTGTGTGACAGTTCCACCGTACCCAAATTTATATTCTATTTAACAAAAGAACTCAAAGGCTAGATCTGCCTTACAAACAAATTATCTGCATTTTTATACCTGTGTAAAGTCATGTTAATTTTTCCACTCAGTCGGTAAAGCTCATGGTTGCGAAAAACCGAAAAGTCTCGAGTTCGAACCCTCGGGCAGATGAGGCTAGTTAGCTGGGGACAGCCACTCTTCTAGGAGAGACAACTCCAAAATCAAACAACTGCTGCCTTCTAGTTTGTTCTTGGGCTGAAATCGGAGTCAATGGCCTCAATGGTGCCTAACCAGTTGACACGTACCCTTAAGTGCGTTGGAGGGGGATCCCTTCCAACACTAAAATTAAGAACGAAGAAGACGAACTAAAGACCCCAAATTCTAGAAACCATCTATTTAAATTTTCAGCAAGCAAGAAACGCGAGCTAAAAGCTTCAACTTTTTCGGTGGAGTTTTCAATGAACCCTGTTATATGGGCCCGGAGATGTTTAACAATGAAAAATACACGTCCAAGGTGAGACTGAAAGCTACAACTTCTATCCGTTTATTTTGATTTACAAACAAAAGCAACAATGGAATTTTCCTTACCGATCCTTACAAGAGTCGGTTAGCCCATATTGCCATGCAGTGTATAAATAAGTTGGCTAATGATTTGCTGTACAAGCATAACATAATACCGTTCCACCTGATCAGGACTATAGCCAAGATTTTTGGTGTTTTCAATAACATGGTATTTGAATTATAACCAACTTTAAGAAGACAGCCTATATTGTGTTAAGTCCAAAATAATGCACACCGAAAAATGTCTCAATAAATTCTAATTTAGAGTATTGTTTTTACACCGAATGAATGTGAGAATTAAATGTCTAGACAGATATCTGGAGTCTGGGCTGTGTTTTCTACGAAGTTTTTTACGGTAAACCAGCTTTTGTCTACAGCGAGGCCAAGCAAATCTTTGTGAAAAAGGTCAGTTCTATCAAAATATTTAAATATGGCAGAAAAAGGTCAATTCTAAACACCTAAAATAGCAGAATATATATATATATATATATATATATATATATATATATATATATATATATATATATATATATATATATATCAGAATACGACCAATTCTTTCAAAATAAAACATATTCAAAATATATTTGCTCTTTTGTTATAATATTGAATGTAGTTGTGCTTTAGTTGATTTTTAAAATCGTTAATAAAAACTATCCAATAAAATTGTTTGTTTCCCCACCAGAAAATGCCTGCATTCCGCTACAGAGATGTTTACGTGCTGATAGGGCAGATGTTGGAGATAGACAGGGAACAACGAATCGATGCCAAATCTGTTGTAAAACATGTTAATGTAAGCAGACTGGGCTGAGATGGGGTGGGGGGTGTTGAACCAGTGATGAGCGATTTGATTCAAAATCTGTTGTAAAACATCTTTAAGAAAACGAGATGTGCAGATGACCTTAGATTTATTTACGTTGTGCCTATTTATTTCTACACGTAATAAAAACATAAATAAAGAGTAACTTTGAGCGAAAATTATTCTTATTATTTTGCAGTCCCTTAGAGGTGCAGAATACGAAAAACCAGATTTCATGCCGTTTTCGGAGGTGAGCATTGAATGGGAGAAGGTGACGAAAGCTGTGAAAAAACACAACAACCCTCGGCCTGCTAGAGGAGCGGATGAAAGAGGTGGCTGCTCTATATCATAGTCCTCAGAGATGTGGAGGTCAGGGATGTACAGAGGTACATCATCAATCTTGGAGGATACAACATCAATCTTATAATATACAACATCAATCTTATAATATACAACATCAATCTAAGGGGATTTATACGTCCGTCTACAACATTTTCCTGCAACATGCTTTCACCTTCCGTGTATCATCAGCAGGGAACTACAACAGAACAACTTACAACTAGACAGCAATCGGCAGGGAACTACAACATAACAACTTATATCTAGACAGCAATCGGCAGGGAACTACAACATAACAACTTATATCTAGACAGCAATCGGCAGGGAACTACAACATAACAACTTATAACTAGACAGCAATCGGCAGGGAACTACAACATAACAACTTATATCTAGACAGCAATCGGCAGGGAACTACAACATAACAACTTATATCTAGACAGCAATCGGCAGGGAACTACAACATAACTTACATCTAGACGGCAGGAGGCAGGGAACTACAACATAACAACTTAAATCTAGACAGCAATCGGCAGGGAACTACAACATAACTTACATCTAGACACAGTGGCGGAACTAGAAAAAAAGGGCCACCCCGCAAAAAATATTTTTGGGCCCCATATATATATATATATATATATATATATATATATATATATATATATATATATATATATATATATATATATATATATATATATATATATATATATATATATATATATATATATATATCAAATACGTACATGGAATACTCAATACAGCCTTGTTCGAAATTCGAAAATGTTTTATTTTTAATTAAAACGAAACAGCGTTTGTTAGCTACTGTAGAACATCACTAATGTAGTATATCTGTTGTTTTTTTTTAACAAGAAAATTATTTTTTAACTATTAAAAAAAATTGATTACGGTCGGCTTTGGGCCCCTAAACGGCCTGGGCATTGCGGGGTCTGGCGGCACTATAGTTCCGCCCCTGTCTAGACAGCAATCGGCAGGGAGCTGCAATAGAACGACCTACACAATAACTTAAATAAACCGGGAGTGATCTCCCCCTAAACTTTCTCGAATATTCTCATATAAAACAACAGGGGATGGTAACTCGGGAAATAGACATGATTTTTAATCCAGTTTTAATTACTTAAACTTTTTAAAATAGAAAAGAATCTTGTAGATAATAGAATTGCACACCAAGTGAATGCAAAACAAAATGTGTATAATTGTGTGGAATATTATTAGTACTTTATAAATTCGCATGCGTTTTTTGAAAAATCGGAAACAGCGAACATTACTACTTTCGGTCAACGGAAATTACTCAAAATTTGACAAAAGGCGGAGAATTAGATCTTTTACTTACATGTCAATTTCATATATCTATCTGAAATAGTACTCAAATTATAGGTTTTGAAAAATTGAAAGTAGAAAAATTTCCACTTTCGGTTATCGGAAATCGCTCAAAAGTTGAAACGGATCTACGATACTTATATGTGAAATTTCATCAACCTAGCTGTAACGGTACTCAAATTATTCGTGTTTACAGACACACACACAGACACACTCACACACACAGACATACGGACAAGATTGCAAAATTATGTTTTTCCAACTCAGGGAGGTGTAGAACGTCGAGATTTGCAAAAATCTCGATTTTTTTTTTTTGCACGATTACAAGACTTTCTCTATACTTCGTATATAAAGGAAAAAGTAATAATTATTTGAACGCAAATATTGTTCAAAATTGTGAAATTTTTTTCTAAAAGATCTTTTGTACTGATACGTAAATATTGTTCAAAATCGTGAATGTATTTCTAAAAGATTAGATGTATTTTTGAAGAAATAGTGTTCAAATTTGTGACTTTATTTCTAAAAGTAGAAAAACCTCAAACATTTTTTCCAAGCTTTTCTTTAGGTTAAAGATGTTGTTTTTTTTGTTAGTATATTTTTGGTAATTTTTTTAGTCAAATCTTTTAACTCAGTCTTGACCAAAAAATGGAGCGTTTTATTACAAACTTTCAAGTTATTATATATTAGTCTCGAGAAATGAATATTAAGACTACTCTAAGCCATAAATTTAAATAAATAGAAGAAAATGCTTTTTGCTAGTTAAATTGATAATTATTAGAGTTAAAAAGTATGTTAATTACAAATCAACGATCACGACAAGAGGGGGGTGACACTATGACGTAAACATGCTTACTAAAAAGAAAACACAATGCTACATCCAGCTTTAATAACCGACTCTGGATAAATATCGGGTGAAATCAACTGCTAAATTTATAGAGGAAATAAAAGTTTAGTTGAATATTTCAATAATTATTAGTCAGTCAACGACCGGGATGGAGTGCCGCACCGGATGACACCCGACCTAGCGACGCCACTGCTGTAAGTATGCAACCAAATCACTCAGTAGACTGGGTGAGCAGCTGATCGCACTTGTGTACAAATCTGAGACACCCATTAGTGGCAGATGGCTGTTGTTTTGAGCTATTGTATAGCAAGCCACTGATCGGGTTTTAAAGCAAATTTTTGCTCGTGTAGAATGTTGACTTAAAATTGACTGAATGAAAAGAATAAGTATGGAAACACTACTTAATGATTTTAACACTTAAATACGAGCCTAGTATTATTTTTAAAATAATTCCTTGATACTAAAGAGTAAAAAAAATAAATGTAGAAACAGATAAAATAGATCTATATAAAAATAAAACCGTCACAATAACCAGCTTTTAAATGCACTTTGTTCTTTCTTTAGATATACATGTAATCACAACAGTTTTGACTATCAGGAGATGTCAACCGAAAAAGGGTTTAAATTTTTAAAAATGTTTTAATATCTAATGTAAACGAGGATGATGTTTTAAACATATTTTATTCCAGTGTAATTTGTAAACAATAAAAATGTAATATTGTAAATATTTTATTCAAATGTAATTTGTAAGCAAGAAAAGTAATATTCTAACTATTTAATTTCTTGTGTTGACTAAGTATGAACGAAATCTTCTTTCTCATATGGACGTTATATGCATCATTAAAAACAGAAATCAACCTGTGGCAGTGGTGGGCGAACTGGGGAGGGGGGTTAGACAGCGAGCAAAAGTGTTATATTTTAAAGCGATAACAGTTTCATTACACAACAGTTGTGAGAGTAGACGCTCGGAGCTACTGCATAGTCACGCCACTGGTGTGTCAAGTTAGTACATGGGTATGTATATATATATATATATATATATATATATATATATATATATATATATATATATATATATATATATATATATATATATATATATATATATATGAGTGTGTGTGTATGTCAATGTAGTATTTGTCAGTATGATGTGTCTGTGTACATGTTTGGCAGTGTGGTGTAGTGTAAGTGTGTGTAAGTGTGTGTGTCTGTGTGTGTGTCGCTTTAAAATCACCAAGTGCCAACTGTCTTGTAGAACTCCTTGCTTTTAGCGTCTTTTTGTCCTAGTTCACGCGTCGACTAAGTTAATGTCTGATTATTACAAAGTACAAAAAGTAAACAATATGTGTATTTTTTTGTAATAATTTAATACATATAATTTACAATCAAAATATAATTTTCCCAAAAATTATTTTAGTTTTCCAGTATTTGTGATGTAATGCTCTAAAAATAACTTATCGAATAGACTTTTCCTGGAAGAGCAGATCGCATTGAAACAAGACCAATTTAGGTTTCACTGTCGTTTGTCCAGTAGTACCAAGTTTTTTTGATACATACGTTGCCTATTGACTGAGTTGACTGAGCTTAAAAGGGTAAGTGAAAAATACCACAATATTTTGGGTGTGTGTTTGTATATATATATATATATATATATATATATATATATATATATATATATATACATATATATATATATACATATATATATATATATATATATATATATATATATATATATATATATATATATATATATATATATAGTATATATATATATATATATATATATATATATATATATATATATATATATATATATATATATATATATATATATATATATATATATATATATATTCATTTATTTATTCATTTATTTATTTATTTATTTATTTATAAAGTGGATTCATTTTATTAATTGATCTTCATTATGTCTTACCTATTGCTTGTTTCATTTGAAGCTTGATTCAACCATGAGCTACATGATTCACAAAGTTCTCGTCGCTGGTAGATTTGGATCTGTTTATCACCTGCATTCACTCACCAGCGGAACGGTGAGTTTGAGCGATGTCTCATCATGTATCTCAACAATCGTAATGCTGAGCGACACAACTATCTTCTCAATGGGTTTTGTGTAGTATTTTGAATCTTCAAAAAAATAATTAAATAAAGTGTTAATAAAATAAAAAAAATTAAAAAGATGCTTTATCAATGAAACCCTTTTAAATTGTATTGAAATTTCTAATCACCATGAACAAGTTTGCTAATCATTCGTTCGCAAAAAGATCAATAAATTAGTAAATAAGGTTCATGAAGAATCTGTGATGAGGAGGTTAAAATAATATATCACTGATATATATATATATATATATATATATATATATATATATATATATATATATATATATATATATATATATCAGTGATATATATATATATATATATATATATATATATATATATATATATATATATATATATATATATATATATATATATATATATATATATATATATATATATATATATATATATATCAGTGATTCTTAACCTGGGTTCGATCAAACCTCAGAGGTTTGACGAGTCAGTCTCGTGGGTTCGGTGGCGGTCAAGACACAACCGATTCATAGGATTCACGATAGAACTATTAAGAAGTGTTCGGTGAAAGTGCGCATGAAAATAATAGAGTTCAGTACCTCCAGAATTATATATTCCGAAAATACTTTAAGAACCTGGAGTTGTTTGTAATTAAGACGTAAAGCAAACCTTCCAAATTCATAACATTGGGGTAGTATTTGTAGTTTCTAGCTAACCCACCCCCGCCCACAACATCACCAGCCTTGCATGTGCATATAAGAATAAAAGATTAGACTATTTTAGTTTAACATAACTGTGTAACTCTTAATCTATCGAAAGAGTTACAGTACCTAGCAGAGATCGAACACAGCCACTTAGGGATTTCTTAAAACCTTTACAAATTGTTTAAACGATGGCAGTGAAAATATTTTCAATGGGTTATAGAAGCGATCGACTTTTCTTTACATAGTCTCTATAAATAGGTTTTACTGTAGCTTCTTTTCGTGGCTAAATAACTTGTCATGACACACTATTTTCTAAAGTTAGCAGTATTCATTTTTACACCTATGGCCACAAACACACACACACACACACACACACATATATATATATATATATATATATATATATATATATATATATATATATATATATATATATATATATATATATATATATATATATATATATATATATATATATATATGGTCCCATGAATCATTGTTAATGTATTAAATTTGATACAAAAATTATTTAACTTTTTATAAGTGAGTGATACGTATATGTAATTGTTATCTTCGTTTTCTTTCAGCTGACACTGAAGGTGATGGACAAAACAACGACAGAGGTGGCAGAGCGTGATATCAGGGACGGGGTTGAAGTGGCAATAGCCAGGCTCCAGCACCCTCACATCGTGCGGTGCCTAGGTTACCACATTGACGACAACCGGCGTCTGATGCTACTTCTGGAACCCGTCAAGTGCACTCTGAAGGATAAAATAAGCGATGCATATCTGCCAGTCATAATAAAAGATCGGCTGCAACCAAAACACATTAATGATATGCTGTCATGGTTTTCACAAATGGCTGATGGTCTAAACGTAAATCAATTTCAAAATTTGTGTTGTTCGACTGTTAGCAAAGAACAGAGTTAAGCATTTAGTTTACTAGCCGTCCCAGCCAGGCCCTGCACTGGCTTTTGTGAAAAACCTATATGTAAAAGACCGTGACATGTGTATTTAATAAATCAACAACCCAAACCCATACTCAAATAATTAACTTAAAGAACTATAATAATTTCATCAGTGAGGGAGCTTAGAACCAATCACTTTTTTTCAGTTCCTTCACTCAAAGAATATTTGTCATCGTGACCTACGAACAGATAATGTGTTTGTTAGCGCTGCTGATCAAATCAAACTAGGAGTCATTGGCGTTTTAAAGTAACTTGTTCAACCTTAACGTTTAAAAAAATAATTGAAAATTAAAAGTAATGTAATGACAAAATTTTATCGCAATTTATGAATTTCATCGCAAAATTGTGAATAAACTTGTGTATCATGTTGATGCAGAACCATTTTATATTCTGTTGGTAACGATGTTCATTACATTGATGTACAATATTTACTTTGCTAAACTCTAAAATTTCTATCTCAGAAAACAAGAAATCGAGGCTCGGACTTTCAAATTTTTTGGCGGTCTGCAGAAAGAGCCATGTTACATGGGACCTGAAATTTTCAGCAACGTAGATTACACTTTAAAGGTGCATAAGTACCAAACATATTTCCTTTATAATCAGTACCTGTGGCTGCATAGACATATTCAGGTGGCCGCTTCCCCTGCGAACATTTTTTATACAGTGGTGCCGTGTTCAGAAATGAAATTTGAGGTTAATTAAAACAAGCAACGATATTAAGTGATGAATAACTAAGACCACGAAAAAGTGAAATGGGGGTGCCTATTTTTAAGTCAGCGTCTGTACATCGCTGGCGTATATTTTGTGGTCGGCATTTTACCTTGTCACTATCATTCCTGTGGAGCATAAGGACTCAACAACACCTCTCTATTGTGCTCGGTTTGGACGATTCCTCCAAGTTAGGTCCATAATTTTCTGGCTGATTGTGCTGCACTGACAATTTATCTTTTCCAAGTTGGTTTTGGCCTATCTACTTTCCTAAGGGATTTCTATCTGGTGATGGTGTTTGTTGGTTTGTGTGCCCAATCCTTCCCCATTTGCGCTTTTACATTCCCTTGTCTATAGGGTTTTTTTTTTGTTTATTCCAATATTTTGTTTTTAAATACAGGGGTTAGCTGCAGTGAAGTTTATGTAAATAGTAATAAAACGGGTAGTGATAGTATCCTCAGAAGTTCAAGACAATTTCATGTACAATGGGCGTTTTTACCCAAGGTCTTCATGTGTGCTGACGAAGACCTTGGGTCGAAACGTCCATTGTCTTGAATCTGTGAGGGTACTAACATTACTGATTTGTTTCCAAAGTATAGTGTTGGTAATTTTCTCAGGCCACTCGACATTCACGCGATCGGCTAATGGAAACTTGTTGTTATTAGTTTGTGTTTCTATTCACTTTAAGAACCACAGAGAACAAATTTCACGTTAGCATTTAAAAAATCGTATTTTGCTCTTGACGTCCATGTTGTGCGAGGGTATTGAATGCGGACCTGGCCTTATTGATGCGGCTTTTGTTTTCCGCATCTACCCCCCCCCCCCCCCCATGTGAAGCGATATCATTTCCTTTTATCTTAAGTGCGAGTTCCCATGTGTTGTTAATTCTCATCACCAGTGTTTTCTACCAAGATTTAATCGCTGATCATCTTCAGAGAGTTTGATTGACTTGTGCTAGACATGATGAGTAGGCCCTCTGTCTGTTTAGTGAGGGTCCACTGAATTCCAAATGTTTGGTCTACGGTTATTCCCATAATCTAGTTAATGGCGATCAAAAGGAAATTGGCGAAAGCATACAATCCTGCTGATTTCCAATTTTCCTATCGTCTATCAATTGAGTTTGATTATGTAATTTTATAAACAAAATAAAGACAACAATATTCTTTGTTAAGTAAAAACAAAATTCAAATTAATGATAAAATCATAAATTCTTGTTAATTGTTGTACATTCTAGACTGACATTTGGGCTTTAGGTTGTATTTTCTACGAAGTTTTCTACCGTGAACCCGCTTTCACGTTCAGTGAAGCTAGGAAGATTTATAAGAAAAAGGTTAGTTTTGTCTGAAATTAATATATCTCTCAAATGCTGAATTTCTTTAATGTGTCTAAAGGGCTATTTGTTATGTGAAAACTCTTGAAATTTACAATTCGTATAATTATAAGTATATAACTTTAAGTAAATCTACAACCAGTTTCAGTGTGTCACTGTATCACTCTGTTTGGAACGTTTCATCAGACATCCTGAAAAGCCGCTCAGACAAACACCATTGAATGCGATAGATGGTACAACACAATCGCGATAAATTAAAGTGTATTTAACGACGCTATTAAACAAGGGTAAAATTAGAATAGAGAGCCGAAAAATAATTATAATAAGGGAATTATTATTGCTGATTATAATAGTACGCTGGCTAGCAAAACCTGAAGTCGTTTGTAGGTCTTTCCCTGACGCTTACTATGCACCTGGTAAGAAATTCTCCAAAATATTGTGGTTATTCAAGAGTCGCACGCACAGTTCTGACGCTGCTTTGGAAAAAAAAATGCCATTGCTTTTTGTAAATACATTTCCTGTATTTATTTGATAAGGAAAGTGATCTTTACGTTTAATTGTACATATTAGCTTCCAATACCGATTGTTTCAAATTATGAAGTCAATACATTACCAGATATTTGAATGGCAACATCTCATCATACTTGACTGAAAAATTCCGTGCCTGTTTTTTTTTAATACCAAGGTTATCCACCTCTGCATGCAGGTGCATATTCAATATAGCAAGTACGCTAATGGTTTTCCTAGTCTTGAAATTGTATTTTTTGCATTTCTCATTATTCTAATGTCAGTGCGATTAGCTCATTTGCAGTGGCATCTGGTTTTCTGCGTTCTTCAAATACATGAGAGATTTATTTATATTTTAGACTTACGTCATTTTAAAAAGGCGAAGTGGATCGGCAAGAACACTCGACCTTGTTATTTAGAAAATAATTGGCTTTTTGCGCAATGGCAGTTTTATTTGTCAATTAAACTGTTTGAATAAAGCATACGGAATAAGGAATTTTACCTAGTAGTGGAACAGTAACATATTTTTTTCATCTAGTCTACCAAAATATCTTTATATTTTATCCTGACAGATAGTGAGTTCAGTCGTTTATGGAAATAAGGATCTCTGTCAGTTAATAGAATCGATGTTGTGTAGCGAATGTACCAAAAGACTCAGTGCAACCGAGGTGTTAACTCAGCTTCGGGTGAGTAAAACTACACTGGGTTCAATGCTCATCATTTTTGTATTCTTTGCACAAAAATTCTTTTAAATATTATTTACAGAAAATGAGGCAGACAAACAGTGAGACACAGGACAACTTTTCGCCATTTATTGAAACGAATGTTGACTGGGAGAAAGTGAAAAAAACTGTTAAAAAATACAACAACCCAGAGCCTAAAGAGCATCAGAATGACAGCAGCCGCTGCACCTTGCTCTAAGTGAAACCACCACGAGAGGTGGCGTTTTAAAAAACAAAACCCAAACGATAGTTAGCCCAACACCACATGCCCTGCGCCATTTATCGTGAAGATTTAATCAAAAGCAATTCTTTAATTGTCACTGTAATATATTTTAATTACTTAAGGAACCTAGACTCAGATAACTTAGCATATTTAATTGAATCTTTTTTTTTAAATAATAAATAGCTATTTTAGTTTAGAAACTTGAGTTAAATCGGCTAGCTAACAGGAAACAATATTGATAAGATGGGAGGTGAATGTAACACAATTTTCGTGTAGAATTGGAAAAAGTGTGCTGGCTTATCCGGTATTTTAATGTTGATAAATTGGAGTCCTGCTAATGTTATTGTAGAAATACATTTTTAAAATCTCATTCGTGTTAATCATTTTGGTCGTTTGAATGTATAGCTAAGTTAAATGATCGCAAACTATACACAATGTATTTATCTACCCACCATTTCACCACATTATAATTATCATTAAAAAAAGTTTTTAAAAAAAAACACGTTTTCTGATTGAACTAAAAAGTAGAAAATAAATGCTATACATCACAATAATGAAAGGGATCACTCTACTATAAGCGATGAAAAACGTGGGGCGCCGAAGTAAAAAAATTTTATCGGTCATTGTTAATATAAGATGTAAAAGTTATATTACTATTGATTACATAATACTATTGATTTATATTAGGGAGCTTGTAGAGAGTCAACAGTATTAGAAACTGTAAGAAAATCACGGCGCCCCACGTTTTTCATCGCTTATAATAGAGTGATCGCTTGCATTATTGTGATGTATAGCATTTATTTTCTACTTTTTAGTTCAATCAGAAAACGTGGGTTTTTAAAAACTTTTTTAATGATAATTATTTTCTACTTTTTAGTCTTTGTCTGTTTGTTTGTCTGTCTTGCTATCGATTTGATCTTCTCGCATTCACTTTTTTTTGGGTAAACGAAGACAACTCGTAAAAAACACGTGCCTTTTCCAATCGACGTTTCTTCTGTGTTAGATTTGCATAGGTTTGTACACAAACACCGCGTGACCACTACTCAGTAAGCCTGAAGGGGGAAAGTACCGAACCTTGTTTTCATCAAATTACATATACTGGGTTATGTCCCTTTTCCCACGTTTTTTGTACAAATATATAGGGGTCTAAAATGATCAATAAAATGTTTCCATGGATCAATTTAGTAATAATAACAATTGAATATTCTATTGTCATCGGAAACAAAGCTTTCCTGAAAATTTCAGCGCGCTAGCTAACTGGGAAGTGCCCGAAATTTCGATCGCAATATTTGATTGGAGAGCCAAACAAACAAACAGACGCGAAAGCAAGTTAAAGAAAACGTGGGAGTAAAAAAAATACACTTAAATACTTTTAATTTATCCCAACAATCTCATATAATTAAGCACTAAATAATTTTAAAACAGCATCGATTGAAAGATAAAAAAGAAAAGTTTATTTTAATGATAATTGCTTAGTAGTATAACAAGATGAACTGGAAAAATATACTCCATGTCTTATGCTCAAATTTTGCAACTCGTTTTTGACCCACTTTTTACTTTTTGTTCGTTCTGAATTGCAGTGTTAGACGGAACAAATTCAAGTATTTCGTGTGAACCTGTTATGCGCCATATTCAGCCTGCTTTTCTTTCTGGATTTTACTTCCAAAAACAAATTACAAGGCAGCAGTTGTTTGACTTTGGAGTTTTCTCTCCTATATAAGTAGCTGTCCCCGGTAATCGAGATTCATCTAGCCAGGGGATCGAACTCGAGGCTTTTCGGTTTGGCAGCCATGATTTTTACTGAATCCACTTTAAATTCATCGATTTTATTAAAACTTTTTTGCTACATTCGTCTCAAATAACAACGCAAGAGTACCTAATTTTAATCTAAAATACACTTAATACACTATTTATTACAACTTCATTTAAAAGATTACTAAATATAATGATGAAACGGGAAATAACCCCAGGCAAACACGCCTAAGAATGTTGTTGGATTTAAAAGTTTTCATATCAACGATTTTTAAGCTTGAACTAACCAACAAGAGGGCTGGCATGTGTGAGAAGATCACTGGATCTGACACATTTGGAGAATATAGAGAAGAACGGTAAGTTTTATATAAAAGGATAAATGGTGTAAGACATAAAAAAGAAAAGGTAAAACGGATTCAACAGTCGACAACAAACAGTGGAAGGGGAAGGGGGCTCCAATGGTCTAGGTCTACCATTCATTGTAGATTAACTTAAGGGTCTTAGACACGGTTTCAGGAAGAAATAAACCGGGAGTGATCTCCCCTAAACTTTCTCGAATATTTTTATATAAAATAACAGGGGATGGGAACTCGGCTATAGACATGATTTTTAATCCATTTTAAATACTTAAAGTTTTAAAAATAGAATAAAATCTCGTGGACAAAAGAATTACACACCAAGTGAACGCTAAATAAAAAAGTGCATACTAGTGCGCAATATTATTAGTACTTTAAAAATTTACATTAGTTTTTTGAGAAATCGGAAGTGGCGTAAATTACTACTTCCGGTCAACGGAAGTTACTCAAAATTTAACAGAAGGTAGAGAATTAGATCTTATACTTACATGTGAAATTTCATTTATCTATCTGAAATAGTACTCAAGTTATAGGCTTTTGAAAAATTCAAAGTAGAAAAAATACCACTTCCGGTTATCGGAAATCGCTCAAAAGTTGATACGGATCTACGATTTTGATAAAATACTTATATATGAAATTTCATCAACCTAGCTGTAACGGTACTCAAGTTATCGTGTTTACACACGGACACACACACACACACACACACAGACATACGGACAGAATTGCAAAGCCCGGTTTTTCAGACTGGATTACACATAAAACCTCTTAGTTTTGATAAATCTGGATTGATAATTTTTGCCCGATTAAAATAAGTCCTCTAAACTTCGGATGTGATGAAGGACTGAGGTGTAATACGGTGAAAATTGTTAAAATTTCAAGTGATTTTTGTGCACGATTACAATACTTTCTCTATACTTCGTATATACGAGAAAGTAAAAAAGTCTCAGGAAAAAAGTTACAGAAAATAAAGTCAAAGGAAAAAAGTCACAAATATGTATTTTCATGGGAGTTGTTAATACTTTGCGTTTTCAGAAAGTACAAATCAACATACGATGAATTAATGAAATGTAAATATTTTAGTCATATAATGTGCCAATGCTGTAGTTGTAAGGTAACAAACGAAAAACTATTGAGTCTGAAGTAATGAGGTTTTAATTCTGTTATAGAATAGAATTAAGTAGAATATTCCAACCAACTCAGTTTTCATCGTGTTTTTAAAATACAAACTTTGAATCAGCGTGAAATGGGAAGAAGGCCTAGTTAATCTAAATTGTTGTCCTCAACGGGTCGCAACAATAGTTCAGCCACCCTTAATTCCCACAATTATCACCGTCATTACATCACAAAGCACAGGATCAAGCAAAAAAGTCGACACAGTACAAAGGATGTCGTTAAAGTAAAACATCAACAATGCACAATGTGGACCTGTGGACGGACAAGGTCGACATAGGGAAGGCCTACAGCAAAAGCAAAACACATACAAAACACAACCATGTGTATACATTTTTTTAATAATTCGTTTTTCTACCAGGTATTTACTTTTTGTGATAATCCAACTCGGGTTATTATTAAAAATCATATTGCTTTTACGATTTATTGATATATTACTAAAAATCACCACTTATATTTATAACCACCCAAATGTAACAACTCTCAACAAATAAATCAAACTATTTTTAGAACACTTTTGTAACTTTTTTCTGTGACTTTTTTTTCCGATAAAAATTTTACTATGTGACTTTTTTCTGTGATTTTTTTTCCTAGCAAAAATAGCGACTATTTTTCTTTTTTTCTGTGACTTTTTTCCGTTCTTGTTCCACACAACAGTAAAACCAGTTTGCTGTGTAGTGCAGATATAATATGGAGAGCTACTGCACCAACAAAATCAAAATGCAGGTGCTTATCAACACACTTCTCGGAACTAATCTGCTGTCCAAACGAGTACCAACGAAGCGCTGTGGCAGTGGACATACCAACGTACTGTTGAAGACAACATCCACCAAAGTAAAGGTGTGATCGTAAATTTATTTAGCTGAAAACCCATAGAGAAATACAGACCCTCAACTGGTATCCTCAGTGCAAGAAAAATGTGTAGACGCGATGAGGCAAGTTACATAGAAAAGAAGGGAGAGATTAACTCTGGACAGAGTTGCACACAAGGTTCGTATCAGAGGTATTTATCCAACCATGACGACAGGCTAACCTGAAATAGTTGCATACACGGTTCGTGTGAAAGGTATTTATTCAACTAAGTCGACAGGCTAAACATGATTACTACTGCTATTCACAATGTAATACAAACATGGTAGGCAAATAAAAGTGCTTTAAAAGTGTGTGCATACATCGACATCAACATCGACACCAACAAAGACACGGGTGTTTTAACTTAAGGGACAATTACAAACAGTTTTGAAAACTTCTGCTTCTGGTGCTAGTTACCCTCTTGACCACGGGTCTCGGCAAAAATTATGCTAATTATGCGCAAAATTTTATCTGTCGAAATTAAAAAACCGAGATCTTTAATCCTCTAGTAACATTTTTCTCATGCATTTTATTTAATTAGGCTATTTTATTGTTTATATGAAATCTAATAGCTTCGGGTATTTCCTATATGTCGAACGCTTTTTAAAGCGATCAATACTATAATAATAGTAACTATTGTATGTCTGACTAAGGGTTGATTAATGGGTATTTTCATTAACCGGAAGATAACTCATTATTGGATTTTAAGAAATTATTTTTAGATCTGACCTAAGAAAGATCTCACTGCCCAAATTAGTTAAGAATGTGTTAAGAGTACATAGCGCAAATAACTAACAGCCCATTTTTTTCACCTTGCTGTGGTAACATGTCTGATCATAATTTAAAATATGCCAGAATTATTATACCCCCCCCCCTCCATCTCCGCCCTTGTTGAATAGATTCTTTTCTCAGAACTTCACGGTTTCTGGGTTATTTTTAGGTTCAAAGAAATTCCTCAACAATCTATTTTAAGACTCCGCGTTAATCTGCAGATTTTCCATACTTGTTCCATTTCCATTTCAGGCATTAGACAATAAGGCTATAACGAACGTTTGAGCCACAATACTCGGAAAGGTTCGGGCACAGTTTTGCTGTTAATGTGTAAGTTATTTTTTTTTTAAACCAATAGAATGAAGCATAAAAACTTTTTTCATGTTATTAAGAATCATCGATCAATCCCTACAGTGTTTTCAAATTAGTGAAAAGTCGATACTTTAACTACTTATACTAAGTGTAGCCTACATACGCATAACCGAATTAATGTTTCAGTTAAGTAACATGTTTGCATGTGCTAAATGAATAAGATAGACGTGGAAATGATAGATAAACACACAAGTATTTTACTTAGGTCAAGTAGGGCTTATAATGGCTTATATGTTTCCAATTCTGAATTGCAGTAGTCCTATCAGAATGTCCTACCAAATTTTATCAAAGCTTGGCGGTGGTGCATTTGGACAAGTTTATCGTTTAAGAGTACCGAACGGTAATGAGGTAAGATTGACTATATATATATATATATATATATATATATATATATATATATATATATATATATATATATATATATGTGTGTGTGTGTGTGTGCCTCTGTGTGTGTATAGAAATAAATCTTAAAGCAGACCTCCCACCACTACGCTTCTCACCCATTATACAATACAGCATCAGTGTTTCTTTCAGACTTTTTTCTCCGGGTGAGTTCTAACAACTACTTGCACTGCTATGTAATCTCGGAATCACACGTGTAAATGTTATCATTTCTAGTTCTAGCTTCACTACTTGCACTGATTCAAATATGGTTTAAGTCCTTTTATGAATACTCAGTAGTACTCACAACGATCTAGCTCGACACCCAAGCGGCCGGAAGATTCCTAGCCATGAAAACAAAACATCGGGCAACTGGTACACACATCGGGCCACGTGTTTAAACATCAGGCCACAGATGCAAATTTCGGGCTACAGTTATAAACATCTGGCCACAGAAACAAAATATCGGCTGGGCCAACAATAAGCCAGCTTTCGCGGCCACCCTTAAGGCTGCCACCATCCAATGCTTAGACCGTAGAAGTAACTATTTTACTTAAAGATAACAATAAAATAACCAGCCAACATATGTATACAAATTCTACGTTTAATTGTATACTTACTTTACAACTGACGAGTTAATGACCGGAAGTTTTGTATTGTATTTCCAGTATGCGCTTAAACTAATTGCCCTGACTGAAAAGACGAATTACAACCAAGCGAAAGCTGAGGCTGAGCTCATGATGAGGCTGTCACATCCCTACATCGTACAGTGCGGGCAGTACGCTTTTGTTGGTGACAACTTGGTGTGTCTGGTACTCGAGTACTGTGGGCGTGGCAACCTCACCAATGCAATCGTCAGTGTTGTACCAGAGCAGCAGGCTCTGCTGTGGTTTGCCCAGATGGCTGATGCCATTACGGTGTGTATTTAAGTATCCCACATCTAGTTTCCCTAATAGAGGTCTGTATTACAATTGTTATCGTCAAATACAAATCTCTCCCCAGTATCTCCACGGGGAGAAGATAATGCACCGTGACATAAAACCTGACAACATTCTCCTGGGTGGAAACAGCAACATTAAAGTTGGTGATCTGGGCATTGCTAGGTAAGTGTCTCACACCGAAGTGGTGAGTCTTGTCTGACTAGCAATGGTTAAAGATAAAACGGCCCATTAAAGTTCAATATCATGAGCTAACTTTCAGCTATTTAAAAAAATATTGCGATTATATAGACTAATCAGTGTATTATCAAGCGTGGCCCAAGACATAATTTAACATTTTTTTTATAACCACTGCCTACTTCCTCATTTTCTACATATGTTTTATTGCATATGCTCAATGCTCAAACGGATTTCATTTCTTCAGGTATAAGCCTATAAGTAGAATTTTAAACCCTAACTCATATAGCAAATTACAAATTGTGAGAAAGTTGGCTATGTAACGAAAACATCTTGTTTTATCGACAGGGAGTAGGAATTCACAGCACAGAGTGGAGGTACATTTGCTGGAACACCTTGCTATATGAGTCCAAAAGTACTGCAGGAGCAACGCTATAACGAAAAAGTAAACTCTCTTCTTTGCAAGTCTTTAGGTCAGAATTTTAAAATTGACAAAAAATTACTAAAGCAACGCGGATCAGTAAAAAGAGAGTTATTTATTTGTAACTATAGCTACCTACATTTAAAAAGAAATATACTCGGTAATATAACTTAGAATTAGATCGTTGAAAACGTTAATAAAAATACATCATTATTTATAAACTTATTAAAAGCTATAGATACGGTGTAAATGTTTTTACAGACAGACATCTGGAGCTTGGGCTGTGTGTTTCATCAAACGCTTTCCAGAACAGCCCCCTTTACATATGGCAATTTGTTGGCAGTAGTTTCTGGGCCAGTAAGTCGTTCTCTGTGTTAAACACGGCCAAACTTGAATATGTTGTAAACTCAGCTTCGTTTGTTTGGTTCCTCCACCTCCCTCCCACCTCATCGTCGTGCATTCTCTTAAGGATCAACTTTTATTGCAATTTTTTTTAAATTTTAACCTCCCCACCCCCTCCCCTTCCTCACATAAATCAGACCCCCCCCCCCTTCCCCCATTCAGGGTACCTAGGAATGTCATTCAATATTTTGGCTGGTGATTTATGTAAATATTATATATTAAAATTTCCAATGTTTTATCAAGGTTTACATAATGTTCCTATCAATAAAACAATTGGAAAATATTATTTGAACTATTTTATTTTGTGTTGTTGTTACATCTCGTTTTTGTGTCTTCTTCTTCTTCGTTCTTAATTATTAGTGTTGAAGGGGATCGAGATTTATCTGCCAGTGGGGTTGAACTCGAGACTTATTTCGAATTTATCAACCATGAGCTTTTTGCCGACTCGACCACGCCTCCAACACAATTAAGCGTTACGTGTCAACTGGTTATGCGCCATTGAGGCCATTGACTCCGATTTCAGCCTGCTTTTCTTTTTGGATTTGCTTCCATAGCCTTTGTCCAACCAAGAACAAACTACAAGGCAGCAGTTGTTTAATTTTGGAGTTGTCTCTCCTAGAAGAGTGGCTGTCCCCAGCTAACGAGCCTCATCTGCCCGAGGGATCGAACTCGAGACTTTTCGGTTTAGCAACCATGAGCTTTACCGACTCGACCACGCCAACCCCGTAATGGAAAAGGTATTTTTATTGAGAATCTTGAATCATTGACTCTTCCTGTCAATTCGATGGACAGCTTTCATATGTAGCAAAGATGCCTTGTTCCTCACACATGTCTATTTTATGCCTCATGTTTGAGTTAAACATGAGAGCTTTTGACTATCTCCTTCTCAGACTCCTGGCCTGCCAGTGAATTACAGCACCGATACAAGAAACCTTGTATTCGTCGTGCTCGACAGGAACCAAGATACCCGCCCTAATGCACAGTGGATCTTTCAGAGTGTTTTAGTAAGTACACATTTCAATAGGTTTTAGTTGATCTGACTAAAGGGGAATTTTCATACAGATTTCGTCAAAGGCAAAAACATAATTATGCTATTTGTATTTGATGGTATATTGTTGTAGTGGCAACCACATCAGCGGTGTCTGTTAACATTTAAACTTGCTAGATAAAACTTGAGATAACACCAGGTTCATTGGTTTTTGAGTGCAGAGCATTATCAGGGTTGTGTGTGCGCATTTCACGCTAAGCAACTTGTAGAATTAGCAGTTTTTTGTAAGTCTACGAGATAACAATCTTTTAATTCTTCCCAGGGTTTGCTGGCCAACAGGGGACTAGGGTATCAGCGACATTTGTACTCACCTATAGGAAGGTTGAATATTGATGCCAAGGCTGTGGGTCAGGCTGTGACTGAATATACGAGTTCTGCTACATTCGTCCCAACAGAGGACGCAGTCAGCATGGAAGTTACAAGATACATCAGCAAACATAAAAACAAAAAGAGTTGTTGTTCGATTCAGTGAATCTTTCAGGAAATATGCAGGGCGTTTCAAACCCAAATAATGTATCGATAACTGGATGACTTCATCGCCATATCATAATTTTTAGTCATTTCATTCACAGCCATTTTATCTTTCAGTTACAACTATATACGAAACAGCCAACTTACAAGTGCATTATTTCATTAGGTCATTTGTCATTATACTTCTTATTTAATTTTCAAATTCCTACTAAATATAAAACATTAAAAGAAAGTAGTAAAAACGTTTCTTAGACTCAGATTTGTACCAGTTATTCTTATTTGGATATGCTTTGTTGTTCATGCCTACTTTCACATGTAACATCCTCGTCTTAAAATTTACATCTTGTAATCAGACAAGAACAACGATAAAGAAAGACAAAACTCTGATTCTGTTCAGGGCATATTATTGTTGAAATATTTATTGCACGTCAACAAATCCAGTGGCATCAAGGACAGTAGATAAAAAAAAAAAACATGGGAGAGCAAGGGAGATAAGCAAAGAGAAGAAAAAATTCTCACAGCAAGTTTTGTCCCATTTTTACTTTTACACCAAACTGGAATTTTTTTCATTCTATACAAATTAAATTTTATTTTATTAAACACAAGATTTACACAGAGATGCTTTGGATGCAATACTTGTTTCATTAATTAATAATTTTAAATTATTAAATTATTAAATTATTTTTAAACATCTTAAAATAATAGAGAAATAAAGTAAGAGGTTAAAACAACAGTTAAGTAAAAGCAGGTGAGTGCTGCAGCTAAACCAGACACACCTGGTAGACCAGACACAACCAGACACACCTGGTAGACCAGACACACCTGGTAGACCAGACACAACCAGACACACCTGGTAGACCAGACACACCTGGTAGACCAGACACAACCAGACACACCTGGTAGACCAGACACAACCAGACACACCTGGTAGACCAGACACACCTGGTAGACCAGACACACCTGGTAGACCAGACACAACCAGACACACCTGGTAGACCAGACACAACCAGACACACCTGGTAGACCAGACACACCTGGCAGACCAGACACACCTGGTAGACCAGACACACCTGGTAGACCAGACACACCTGGCAGACCAGACACACCTGGTAGACCAGACACACCTGGTAGACCAGACACACCTGGCAGACCAGACACACCTGGCAGACCAGACACACCTGGCAGACCAGACACACCTGGCAGACCAGACACACCTTGCAGACCAGACACCAGACACACCTGGTGAACACCTGTTCAGTTTGAATTGAACACCTGTCCATTCTGAATAGACCCAGTTCAGTTTAAGTTAAACAGATGGTCAGTTTGAGGCACGTGAATTAAGTTTACTACCATACGCACATAAAAAGGTGACTACACAAATGGTGTACTCATCAATCAGTTACTCTGAAATTTGTTAATTTAAAATGATCCTCAAGAGCTTCATGTATGTACATAAAAAATGAAATAAATAGTCTAATGACATTAAAGCATAACCTAATCAGGCTAGGAATTGTTAGTGGTTTCTATACATGACAAGAATTCATTTGGAAAGTTTGAACACTCTAGATAATTAAAAATCTGAAGCACAAAATAAGAAGAAACAAAAAAATTCTACATTTATGATTACAATATCACTTTAAGAAATGCAATTAAATGTAAAATAATAAACATTCAAGTGCAAAAATGTTTTAAAAGGCGGTTTCAACACCATGTGTTAGAGAGATATTGCCACAATAGGGGAGGAGGACTGATCAAGGTCTCAGTTTAGTTTATACTTTCAAGGTAAACAGGGAGATAATCAAGGTCTCAATTTAGTTTATACTTTCAAGGTAAACAGGGAGATAATCAGATTCTCAGTTTAGTTTATACTTTCAAGGTAAACGGAGATAATCAGATTCTCAGTTCAGTTTATACTTTCAAGGTAAACAGGGAGATAATCAATGTCTCAGTTTAGTTTATACTTTCAAGGTAAACAGGGAGATAATCAAGGACTTGTTTGCTCAGCACAAACAGAAAGAATCAGTTGAATAAAATCTGGTGGATAGAATCTAGTTCCAATTTTTAAAACAAAAATATGAGTGCTGCAAGTAGAATGTTTACAGAAAGCTTACAGCACTACTGGACCATAAAAATATGCTGTCTAATGACCGGCCAAATAAACAATTTATGGTGCAATAAATTCTTAATCCTAAACTAAAGTTAGGTTTCTTAACAAAAGCTTAGTCTATAAATAGATATTGATTGTGCCAGAACTTCTACACATAGTCCGATATTATGGGTTTAAATTATTATGAAAAGCTGCATCCACAATTGTTATTGAAAACTTTTTGAAAATGTTATGTGTACACTTTCATCCGTTAGCCAGTAGAATATCTGGCAACGCTACAGATCACTTGTATAAAAACGGGTTAAATTAAGTTAATAAATACCCAGTATTGCACTTTGTTTAAATATCTTTAAAAATTGTTTTAAATAATATACACAATTGTATCTGAAGAATGAATAAAACTTCAGCATAAAAAAAATCACAGATTAAAATGTTCTACATCATTATATCATGTTTTGGTAGTCCACGAGTACAGGAGTTCACCAGCAAAAGGTGGTTAGTCTTTTTAACAAGATTTCTTGCTGCATATCTCGGTCAATGTATATCTATTTATATTGATTAGAACAATCAAGAAAATTTGACTTAGCCCCTTGTAAAAGTGAACTCCTTAAAAAATAAAAATTAGAATTTATTCTGTTTATAATAATCACAATAGATCATATTATTATATTTAAATACTTATCCTGAAATCACTTTGTTGGAAAAATATATTTCATTTGAATATAGCACTATTCCAGTTTGTGTAAGGGAAACATTGTGTAGATGAAACATTGAGGGTAAAAAGGTAAATACTACTTGTTTTTTTTACAAAATAGTTCTTTTGTCAAGAAACATGTTGACACAAGTTTAATCAACATACATTTCAAAAGTTGAAGAATTGATTCCAGTGTAAATAAATTTTCACAACAACAAATAATAAAAAAGTGAGCTCTTCTTTTGGCATCACCATGATACTAAAAATAGAACCACCAAGATAGATACAAATCTAAGGCACAGCCTTCTATCTAGGGTCTGAACCAACCACAGCAAGTACAACAGTGAAGAACTAAAAATACATCGCCTAAGCGCAGTTTATCCCCTCACTATTTTTTGTCTCTGTTGGCTGGAAATGTCTCAATAGTTTGAGACCACCAGATAAACAAAATATTTACATAAATGCCTTTTACAATAATTAATATCCTAAAATAAGATAGAATACATTACGTAAAAGTTTTTGTTTAGATTTGGTGTAATTGAAAAATATTTTGACAAGAAAAGCAAACTAGTAAAAACAACGGTAGGGGGAGGGCTAAGCTACAACTTCCCTTGGAATTGATGATGGGGGGGGGGGGGGGGGGGGTAAACCTACAAGTTCCCATGGAATTGCCTCATCCAACAACAACAGATGTCTGTGTACACATTGTACACATTATTGCACACATCACTTGACAAGTTCAACACACTTCCTCAATTATCAAATAAATAGATTGGTAATTTAGATTTTAAAAACCTGCTTCATCCAATTTATACATCCTGATTGGAGCTAATGATATAATTTACTAGATTTTAATTTATTTATATTATTTGAAGTCCACAATTGTATGAAGTGTAGGCCTATAGTAACTTCCTATTGTAAGATTGTAATTAGACAAATGACAGCAGAGGCCAACACTAAGGTCCCAGTGGCTGGAGATTTTAAAAAAAGTAGCAGATACTGCGCCACCAAGTGAGTGCTAGGGTGGGTGAAAAGATTTATCAATCGTCTTTTAAATGCAATGTCGTCATCACAAGAACACTCTACAATAATAAATTAACAGCATAAATAATTAATGAGAAGGGAATAATGGTCTCAGGGTAACTAGGCTCAAAAAGCTATTTAATGCCTTACTTAGGGCCATATACAACAAACACAACCTGTCCATCTAGATTAGCATAAAACTTGACCATCTAGATTAGCACAAAACTTGACCATCCAGATTAGCACAAAACTTGTCCATCTAGATCAGAAAAAACTTGACCATTTTGACTTGGTCATGTGACAAACACAAATTGTCATCTAGATTAGGACAACCTTATCTTTACAACTTGTCATTTTAGATTAGGACAAGGATCTAGACCAGGACAAACCTCACCTATAACTCAACAGTTTTTGACAAGAAAAAATGCTGTATTTTACATCATAATAAAGTAAGTTTAGATTTTTTTAAAAGACAATATTAAATGAGTGACATGTTTTAAAAATTGTTTTTAAATTGGGGAGGTTTATAACTTGAAATCTTGTGTGTCTGCACAAATGTGCACCATAAGAGAGGACCAGTTGAGCAACTGGCATTCAGGACCAGGAAGTCCTAGATCAAAACCTCGGGGTAAAGCTTGTGGGCTCAGCGCTAGATGGGGTCATTAGAAGAAAGGATTTCAAATCAAGTGTACTGTAGCAAACTATTACAATCATAACAAAAATATAACTTTCATTTGAGCTGTAAAAATGAATACACAGAAAAAGATAAGTTCAAACTTAAACTTTTTTCATTACATCCTGCCAATATTGTACTGGCTTTAATTAAGTGTTATATTTAAAGTTATTATTTATTTATTCTTTAGCTTTTACAGTAATTCATTAAATAAGTTTCTTCTCCTAATATGAGGGTTCATATCTAAAGAAATGAATCAGATTATCATCCAATCACAAAAGGGAGTTAACCAGTGTTTGTCACCATGGGACAACTGTACATGTTTAGTAAAGTAGAAAAACTGTCAAGGCACAAGATGCAGAATGTTACTGAGGTTATCACAAGAAACACAGATATGTAAGATATGTACAACATTGTATATACACTCTCATCAGCATACATGATCTAGCATTGAAAGGTTTAGTTGCCAACATGCTGTAGTGATCTGTTAGGAAAACTTAAATTTTAACATGCACACTTTGGTCACAGATCAATCTAGTCCATGATGAAGAAAAATACCAGATATAGAGGCTTTAAGGAAAAAGAAGACTGAAACCTAGGATTGCTTACAAATGTTAATATTGGTTATCAACTTCAGTCAAACTACACTGAAATATTTTGGAGATTTAAATTAAAAAAACTCTAACCCAAAAATTAGCTAACCTACCAAACAATTTTTGTTGATTATTGATATAAAATGGCAAATGATGATCTTAATATCATTCAATTAGAATAGTTTGAACTAACTGTAAACAATGGCGCCCAGCGGTCAGCCTGGTGGTCAGCCTGAGACTGATGAGTACAACACGGAACATCCATTACCAAATCAGAAACTTTAAGGTACATTCATGGCAAGTGGATAGAGCTTGCATTGAAAAATTTGAAAAATATTACATATATATATATATATATATATATATATATATATATATATATATATATATATATATATATATATATATTTATATATATATATATATATATATATATATATATTTATATATATATATATATATATATATACATGCAAAAAGACAGGTGAACTAGCAGCTGACCAACAATGTATTGTACTATGATAGTCTGCTGAGTACATCAGGTACTTCTGCTCTAACCTCTACAAATGCCCAGTCCAGCTGGGTAGAGGCACATTACAGCATTTAAAATAAGTGCATACATTAGTGAGATGGTAATGCTTCAAAGGAGCTAGGGAGCATGTTGTGTCCAGATGATACAAGTCATTGGTCCAGGACATTGGGGACTAATCTTCTTATATAACATTTAAAAACTACTTCATCTTTAGAACTAAGTTGTCTATGTGTTAAAAAAATTGGTGTTAGAGCACTAAAGTATTGTACAATCACAAACAGGAAGCGCCACAATGCACATGACAGGAAGTGCCATGATGCACATGAAAGACCAGATGTCATTAATTTAGAGTCAACTCAGGATCACCCAATCAATTTAGTTAGCAGTTTTCCAATTAAAGCTTAGACTGAATGATACATGAATGAGGGCAGGTATCCTGACTCTCTAGAACATAGCTAGCACTACTCTAAAGTCTTGAGATTCTTCTACAATTGGCTAATGCTCTTCCTATTACTGCTAGGTTTATATATCAAGCAAGCTGAAGAAGAAAAAAGATTCAGCAATGAGCAATGAAAGATACTAGCAATAAACCAAACTGAAATGACTAGATATCAAGATAAGACAACACTGATAAAATACTGTGTTACATCAATACCATCACCGCAAGATGGAGAAATAGGGGAGAGCATTCAAATGTAAGAATAAAATAGAATTCATTCTGTTAAATATTTACAATTATAAAAGAAAAGTGTATCAGATTTTAATGAATGGTTACCAGGCAATAGTAAATATACAACTTTTAAGAATAATGTTTTAAAAGGTATTTATAAGTAGAATATTGACGTATTGAATGATGTGTGTGAGATATATTGACATGAGAGAATAAAAGTGTGAAATATATATAAATGTATGAAAGAATCAAAGCGTGAAATATATATTTGTACAAAAGAATGAATGGGCGAATTATATATTGGCATGAAGGAATGAAAGAATGAGTTATATTGGCTTGAAGGAATGAAAGAGCCAAAGAAAGCTAATCACAACTTGGAAGATTTTTTTTTTAGCAAACTCAGAAAAAAAAGAACACATTCAACCATCTTCATGAATGTTTTTAAAGGTAAAATGTTTTAAATGATATGAGAATAATTTTAAGAAAACTTAAGTAATGTAAGTTAATAGTAGGTAAGTATATTATTTTGCCAATCAATGATTGTAAATACAACAAATGAATAGTTTAGTTTTAAAATACAAGGAATATTTCAAATGTTGATAGATCATCTGAATCATTGAAAATAATTTGGGACAATTTATTTTGTTTACAAATTGCAACAAATAGGATAAGTATGTACAATAATTAAAATCATCTCCTAACCAAGGCTACTTGACTCTTATTAGACTGCAGTCATTTTAACAGGGTATGGTAACACAATCTGCCTGACCTTTCAAAAAATGGGTTGACACAATCTATAAAACTTTGTATAGAACATGGTGACACAATCTATTTGACAATGTACAGAGTGGTGACACAATCTTTGAAAGGTACACCCAATACTGTTTAAGTGTCTATGGTATGGGTAGTAATAGCAGCAGCACCAGTTTCCAGGAATCCTTTCATATCTTACAAATCACTCTCTAGTTATCATTCCTGTTAGTAATAGCAGTAGCACCAGTTTCCAGGAATCCTCTCGAACCTCACAAATCATTCTCTATGTATCATGCCTGTTAGTGGATAGTAAGCAAGTCAATTTCTATAGAAGGGCCTATTTTGTTAAATTAAAATTTGTTGATAGTAAGAAAAAGGTTGCTCCTGTGGAGATTTATAAACAAAGAAATGAAATGGTTCTTTATTTACAAGCAATTAGAAATAGATTTAATTTTTGTTTGATGATAAAATGTAATAGAATTTATTTCAAGTGGGTTAAAGAATAGCTCATGCATTTGTTGATGTATTTATTAAAGTTGAACAACTCAATTATCCAATATTAGTGTAAATGCAGTATCCTGATAAAAGTATGCACTAAACATAAGCCGCACAATGCTGTGTTAAGGAGTAAGTCACGCAAATGCCTTGTAAAATATGCACCACACAATGCTGTTTCAACAGAGTTTAACTAACAAGCTGTTTGCCCAGCCAAGGCTATAAAGAAGTAACATTTACCAGTGAATGTTTGTCTATGTTATTGGTAGGACTGGAATAGCGAGCATTGTCCTGTAGCTCGTGTCTGTTGGCAGGGGAGCGCCGAGAGCGAGGTATAACGTTGCTGGTTTCTTCACATTCATAGTAGTCAGGCTCAAGGTGCCTTGACCTTCTGATGATCTCCCGAGCAGCTACATTCATCTCTTCTGCTGTCATGTTGGTGGCCTCGGCTATTTCACGTTGTAAACATTTGGGGTCTACATAGCGGTTCAGTCCTTCATCCTGCAGAACCTGAGAGATCAAGTAAAAATTGTAAACTCTGCACTTCAATTTTCTAAAATTTTCTTAAAACTCAGTTATTATCTAATCCCATCAATTTGTCATTGATTCATGAATATATTTGATTTATTATCGTTGTTTGATTTGTGAAACGTGAGCTAACCTTGAGTTTTTAATCAAAGAGCCAAAGTTACAGGTAAATAGTCTGCAATGCAACTTTGTAAATAAGCATGAATTTATTTATTTTTTATTTGTGTGGTTTTAACAGCTGAATGAAACATATAGTCCGTTGTTTTCTTACATTGATTTTAACTGATTTGGGGTAATATCCATTTAAAAGTTTGGATTAGTCTATGTAAAAAGTAAATATGATGTTTAAAAACCAAATATCAAGTTGGTTGTTTAAGAATTAGCTGGTGGTCTAAGATCCAACCAATGAATGAAAGTTTCAGTGAAATCAAACGAACCTTGGCTACCAAAGTTTCAGCACTACTTCTCCTGTTCTCAAGCTGTCGTGGAGATAGTGAGTGCTGCTGTTGGACAGCTTTGGGTATAATCAAGGGACCTCGGCCAACAGAGCGGTGGGGTTGACTGGAGTGGTCAGAGCTGACATCCACGTGGCGAGGCACCTCCTCTGCTGCAGGAGTAGACACAAGAACATTTTTAACTTCATTCCTCAATTCATAGTGGGTGGTTAATTAGAAAACTTTTTAGTCAGTTTCTAAATTCACAATTCATAATTAATCGATACACATATTTTCACAATGGGTAAACAGCTTTTAAAAATAACTTTATGGTAATTAATATAGTGCTTTTTGGTAATAATTGTTGATTAGAGATTGTGGTATTTAGTATTCAAACATGTTGTAGTGATTAAGCATAAAATTAGTGTTGTGGTGTTTTAGAAAACAAGCAATTTGTGGTAAAAATAAAATAATTTGCATTGAATGAAAAGCAAACAAAAAATGGCAGTATATATATAAAACACAAGAACAGCTCATTTGTTGAATATTGAGACAATGGTCAACCCCAGCTGAATTTTTCTAGACAGCTATCTCAAATAAAATGTTCTGCTATATACTGCATGATATACATTCAGATATTTTATTCAGATTTGTTTTACTACATCTTGATTTCTATAACTAGATTGCTCTTATGAACTTAATTTTTGTATTTTTAAAATAAAAAATTAGTAAAGTATGAGTACAGCCCTACTAATAGTTTTGCTTTTAAATGCCATATTTAAATTTTGGGTGAAACACCAACTAGGGTAGCTGGTGTAACATATTTCTTATCTAGACTAATGTTTAATTACTAAACACAACTTGTAAACAAAGCATGCAGTGTGATGGAGCAGTTTTCTAAATGTACACACAATTCTAGCAGCACATTTTCATGTGAAAATAAGAAAAGCTGCATGAAAGACAAAATTCAAAATAATATGTGGTTTAACATGTCCATAGAACCTGGCTTAAAAATGATTCCCATCAAACTGTTATGTAGTTAAAACCTTATCTTGGGCCATGAAATTTAGGGGCAAAAAATGTATATTTATAGTTACAATTATATTATCAATGACAATATAATCTGGAGTAAATCAAAAACAACTATTGTTTGTTTTAAAGATCTTTTTGAACAAAGGAAGCTGTACAATGAAATTACCTAATGGAAAATGAGTTGACTTTCCTTTTGAGAAAATTTAAGCGGATCTGAGTACATTTTGGTGGATATAAGGATATTTATAAATAGTGGAGGAAAATGATAAATATCAAACCAAACCAGTGTGACATTAAAGCTCTGATTAATAAAAAAAAATATCCACTGCTTAAACCTCATTTTCATCCCAATTTATAAAAAGTTAAGTGTAACATAACAAATACAATATTTAAGAACACAGGTACCGGCTAAAAATACAGCTCAGGGTGTAAACAAAACAACCCTGCAAACAGTGAATACCCAAACCCTTCCTATCTCACAGAAACCAATCCCTTGCTATCTGCCAGAACCCAAACCCTTGCTCTCTGATATAACCCAAACCCTTGTCTAACAAGCTATTTTGCTTCTTATTGTATTGGTTAGTTTTAACTGGCCTATATGCATATTTCTTTAGTAAACTTGAATACTATACAAAAGGCAGCCTACTCATGTCCTAACACAAGCTACAACAGTTACATCTGAAAGATGCTAAAATGTGAGCCAAATGTGTACTCTATAAATGATGTTTCTAATGGACGGAACACACAGAAAATCTCTAGAGCACACAAAGACTACATGATAGACAGCCATGTGATTTATACCTCTGTTGGAGCGATGGCCAAGCTTCCGCAGGAAACTGACCAATCGGCCACCTGCAGCATGTTATGGACAGACAAAATTTGTTACTAGCAATAATTTACTCTACCCATTTTAAGATCAAATTTGTTATTAGCGAAAAATTTAAATGCTATGCATTTTAAGATAAAAATCTTTACGAGCAAAAATTTACACACTACCCATTTTAAGATAAAATTAGTTTTTTTTATTTAATATGACAAGACTAAATTTAAAAAACAACTTTGATTTAAAATATCACCTGCGTATATGATCTTAGATGTAGGCCTATATATAACAAACCCTGGATCTAATCAGCGTACAAAGAAATTTAAAACATTTTAATTTTTCAGTCTAAAATTTGGCCTGGTGATCTTAAGAGAGCAGCAAATGAAGTAGAGCCGTGTGGGAACTGACCTGATGTTACATGAATTGTTGGCTGTGGTAGCTGGGAGTCCACTGATGGCTGGGTGATGCTCTGGGGATGTTTACACAGTCAAGTTAGTTTTATCTCGCTGGATCTTCCTTAGTTTTATACACTCGTTATTAGATCGTTCAGCTCACTGTGATCTTCTAGTTTTATCTAGCTGGGTTAGGATACTGTAGTTTTATCTAGGCATCATAAAGATGCCCTTTCAAAACTGAGGGTCCATGGGACGGATGAAGTAAATTTCCATTGTTTCTGTGATAGTGTGATTGGTACTATGCCCAGCTGCCTTTACTTTCCATAACATATCAGGTACCCATCAGAGCTGGGTGGACTCAGGGATGTCCAACAGACTTTAGCCTGGTGTTTGAACTCAAGTGATTAGGGATAGCAGCCAAGCGTGCTACCATTGGACCATGCTGGATGGTCTCAAAGCTAGGTAAAACTAAGCAGGTCAACCAATCGGTTATCTAATGAGGTAAGAACACACCTGCACTGGAGGTGTACACCTAACACCTTACCTGTTGCTGGCTAGGAAATCTGAGGGGCTGACCAGCCCGCCTCATCAAAGGATTTTCATCACTTCCTTGTTTACCAATACACCCAAGTTTGAATGAGGCGCCTTTCCTGCTCAGCCTTCGTGGTGGTGGGGTTGGTGGGGTGTGTTCCCTCTCAAAGTCACTGTCTTCTTGAGGCAGACTGCAACAGCACAAGTATTTTCATCAGTAAATTGTTCCAGACTCATTAGCTCAATTTATTTGCCTTATATAATGGGCCTATACAAGAAAATGTTCCTTAAAAAAATATACATACATATCTAAAAAGATCAACATGTACTCTCTACACACCTAGCTAAAAAGATCAACACTTACTCTCTATAACCAAGCTAAAAAGATCAACACTTACTCTATACACCCAGCTAAAAAGATCAACACTTACTCTATACACCCAGCTAAAAAGAGCAACACTTACTCTATACACACCTAGCTAAAAAGATCAACACTTACTCTCTATAACCTAGCTAAAAAGATAAACACTTACTCTCTACACACGTAGCTAAAAAGATCAACACTTACTCTCTACACACCTAGCTAAAAAGATCAACACTTCTCTTTACACACCTAGCTAAAAAGATCAACACTTACTCTCTATAACCTAGCTAAAAAGATCAACACTTACTCTCTACACACCTAGCTAAAAAGATCAACACTTACTCTCTACACACCTAGCTAAAAAGATCAACACTTACTCTCTATACACCTAGCTAAAAAGATCAACACTTCTCTCTACACACCTAGCTAAAAAGATCAACACTTACTCTATACACCCAGCTAAAAAGATCAACACTTACTCTCTATACACCCAGCTAAAAAGATCAACACTTACTCTCTATACACCCAGCTAAAAAGATCAACACTTACTCTCTATACACCTAGCTAAAAAGATAAACACTTCTCTCTACACACCTAGCTAAAAAGATCAACACTTTCTCTCTACACACCTAGCTAAAAAGATCAACACTTACTCTATACACCCAGCTAAAAAGATCAACATTTACTCTCTATACACCCAGCTAAAAAGATCAACACTTACTCTCTATACACCCAGCTAAAAAGATAAACACTTACTCTCTATACACCTAGCTAAAAAGATCAACACTTACTCTATACACCCAGCTAAAAAGATCAACACTTACTCTCTATACACCCAGCTAAAAAGATCAACACTTACTCTCTACACACCCAGCTAAAAAGATAAACACTTACTCTATATACAACTAGCTAAAAAGATCAACACTTACTCTCTATACACCAAGCTAAAAAGATCAAGACTTACTCTCTATACACCTAGCTAAAAAGATCAACACTTACTCTCTATACACCTAGCTAAAAAGATCAAGACTTACTCTCTATACACCTAGCTAAAAAGATCAACACTTACTCTCTATACACCTAGCTAAAAAGATCAACACTTACTCTCTATACACATAAATGCCATGCTGTTTGGTGCTAGGACTGAGGTTGGTGTTGTCTGGTATAACAGACTGTGGCAGCTGACCATCAAGTATCCTATTGGACTGCCCATGATGACCAGAGCCAACTGTGTCCACCACACTCCTGCGCTGCTCCTTCACTTCCTCTCCAGCCAGATCTTCCTCAACATCAACAAAGTCATCATCCTCATCCTCCTCTTCAGTTTTATCACCCTCGCCAGGAAGGTCAAGGTTAATTGTTGTTTCACTGTCAAAAATTTTAAATATTCAAAATTGTTGATTTAAAAACATGTTTCATTTGTATATTTATAAAATACATGACACATAATTAATTTTGATGATTTGAACAATATAAAAAATTAAAAGAATTTGCCTGAGATAATAGGATAAGCATCAAAATATAACTGCAAGAAAAAACTTTTGAAACTTTACAAAAAGTAAAAAATGAAAAAGATTTTTTTAACGGACATAAAATTTTATTGTCAAGATGTTATAAAAACTCCATAAAAAGAAGAGCTATTCCCATGTGGTACCCTGGTTTACTGTGGGGCACTTCAGCTGCCTTAGGTATGAGTGTCTGGGGTAGAGAAGTCAAATCTTCATTCAGGTGATTGCAGGAGCTGACTAGGTTGCCATTCATCTGTCAATAGACATCAACAGTTGCAACTACAAAATATAGCACATTTTCTTTTGACTAGGTTGCCATTCATCTGTCAATGGACATCAACAGTTGCAAATACAAAATATAGCACATTTTCTTTTGACTAGGTTGCCATTCATCTGTCAATAGACATCAACAGTTGCAAATACAAAATAAAGGCACATTTTTTTTTGACTAGGTGGCCATCCATCTGTCAATAGACATCAACAGTTGCAAATACAAAACATAGCACATTTTCTTTTGACTAGGTTGCCATTCATCTGTCAATAGACATCAACAGGTGTAAATACAAAATAAAGGCACTTTTTTTAGAAAAATTGATAAATTAAATAAAATTAAATTAAAAGATGACATTTTCATAGTTTTAAAATATGAACAATCTCAGACTAAATAGTTCATGTAATCTGAGATAAAAAGCCTGTTTGTCCTGTCAGATTAGTTGCTTCTCTGAAACTCATGATAAATCTGGCAACGCTGAATTTCTATAGATAAAATATGTCTCCAGAAGCTGCACATTCTCACACAAAAGAGGCCACACAATAATCTATTTAAAAATATGCAAGCTAAAACAACAGTATTTATAAACCAAAAGATCCTAAAGCAAATGCATGAAATGACCTACCCCCAACATTTTAGTAGCTGCTGTACTGACAGCTATGATTGGAGACAAGTTGGATGTGTTGTGTCCCTTGGTACCCTTCAAGGACTGGGTCCTGTTTAAGAAGGGTAGAATAGGTCGCACACCGGCCATAGCGCTAACAACACTACCAAAGAGTGAGTGGTTTCTCTGAGGAAAAATTAGGGTTTATTAAAAAATTTAGAGTGTACTGTAATGTTTAGAGGTATAATGTAATGTTTAACTGTAATGTTTAGAGGTGTGATAATATTTTGAGGTGTACTGTAATTTTTAGAGGTGTAGTGTAATGCTTTACTGTAATGTTTAGAGGTGTGATAATATTTTGAGGTGTACTGTAATGTTTAGAGGTGTAGTGTAATGCTTTACTGTAATGTTTAGAGGTGTACTGTAATATTTTGAAGTGAACTGTAATGTTTTGAGGTGTACTGTAATATTTTGAAGTGAACTGTAATGTTTTGAGGTGTACTGTCATGTATAGAGGTGTACTGTCATGTTTGGAGGTGTACTGTAATGTCTGGAGGTGTACTGTAATGTCTGGAGGTGTACTGTAATGTCTGGAGGTGTACTGTAATGTCTGGAGGTGTACTGACATGTTTAGAGATGTACTGTCATGTTTAGAGGTGTACTGTCATGTTTAGAGATGTGCTGTAATGTTTTACTGTCATGTATAGAGGTTTACTGTCATGTTTAGAGGTGTACTGTCATGTTTAGAGATGTGCTGTAATGTTTTACTGTCATGTATAGAGGTTTACTGTCATGTTTAGAGGTGTACTGTCATGTTTAGAGATGTGCTGTAATGTTTTACTGTCATGTATAGAGGTTTACTGTCATGTTTAGAGGTGTACTGTCATGTTTAGAGATGTGCTGTAATGTTTTACTGTCATGTATAGAGGTTTACTGTCATGTTTAGAGGTGTACTGTCATGTATAGAGGTGTACTCTAGCCCCCAATGATGTATAGAGGTGTACTGTCATGTATAGAGGTGTACTCTAGCCCCCAATGATGTATAGAGGTGTACTCTAGCCCCCAATGATGTATAGAGATGTACTCTAGCCCCCCAATGATGTATAGAGGTGTACTCTAGCCCCCCAATGATGTATAGAGGTGTACTCTAGTTCCCCCAATGATGTATAGAGATGTACTCTAGCCCCCCAATGATGTATAGAGATGTACTGTCATGTATAGAGGTGTACTGTCATGTATAGAGGTGTACTCTAGTCCCCCAATGATGTATAGAGATGTACTGTCATGTATAGAGGTGTACTGTCATGTATAGAGGTGTACTCTAGTCCCCCAATGATGTATAGAGATGTACTGTCATGTATAGAGGTGTACTGTCATGTATAAAGGTGTACTCTAGTCCCCCAATGATGTATAGAGATGTACTGTCATGTATAGAGGTGTACTGTCATGTATAGAGGTGTACTCTAGTCCCCCAATGATGTATAGAGGTGTACTGTCATGTATAGAGGTGTACTCTAGTCCCCCAATGATGTAAAGAGGTGTACTGTCATGTATAGAGGTGTACTCTAGTCCCCCAATGATGTATAGAGGTGTACTGTCATGTATAGAGGTGTACTCTAGTCCCCAATGATGTATAGAGGTGTACTGTCATGTATAGAGGTGTACTCTAGCCCCCAATGATGTATAGAGATGTACTCTAGCCCCCAATGATGTATAGAAATGTACTCTAGCCCCCAATGATGTATAGAGATGTACTCTAGCCCCCAATGATGTATAGAGGTGTACTCTAGTCCCCAATGATGTATAGAGGTGTACTCTAGCCCCCAATGATGTATAGAGGTGTACTCTAGTCCCCCAATGATGTATAGAGGTGTACTGTCATGTATAGAGGTGTACTCTAGTCCCCAATGATGTATAGAGGTGTACTGTCATGTATAGAGGTGTACTCTAGCCCCCAATGATGTATAGAGATGTACTCTAGCCCCCAATGATGTATAGAAATGTACTCTAGCCCCCAACGATGTATAGAGGTGTACTCTAGTCCCCCAATGATGTATAGAGGTGTACTCTAGCCCCCAATGATGTATAGAGGTGTACTCTAGTCCCCCAATGATGTATAGAGGTGTACTCTAGCCCCCAATGATGTATAGAGGTGTACTCTAGTCCCCAATGATGTATAGAGGTGTACTCTAGTCCCCCAATGATGTATAGAGGTGTACTCTAGTCCCCCAATGATGTATAGAGGTGTACTCTAGCCCCCAATGATGTATAGAGATGTACTCTAGTCCCCCAATGATGTATAGAGATGTACTCTAGTCCCCAATGATGTATAGAGGTGTACTCTAGTCCCCCAATGATGTATAGAGGTGTACTCTAGTCCCCCAATGATGTATAGAGGTGTACTCTAGCCCCCAATGATGTATAGAGGTGTACTCTAGTCCCCCAATGATGTATAGAGGTGTACTCTAGCCCCCAATGATGTATAGAGGTGTACTCTAGTCCCCCAATGATGTATAGAGGTGTACTCTAGCCCCCAATGATGTATAGAGGTGTACTCTAGCCCCCAATGATGTATAGAGGTGTACTCTAGTCCCCCAATGATGTATAGAGGTGTACTCTAGTCCCCAATGATGTATAGAGGTGTACTCTAGTCCCCCAATGATGTATAGAGGTGTACTCTAGTCCCCCAATGATGTATAGAGGTGTACTCTAGCCCCCAATGATGTATAGAGATGTACTCTAGTCCCCCAATGATGTATAGAGGTGTACTCTAGTCCCCAATGATGTATAGAGGTGTACTCTAGTCCCCCAATGATGTATAGAGGTGTACTCTAGTCCCCCAATGATGTATAGAGGTGTACTCTAGTCCCCCAATGATGTATAGAGGTGTACTCTAGCCCCCAATGATGTATAGAGGTGTACTCTAGTCCCCCAATGATGTATAGAGGTGTACTCTAGCCCCCAATGATGTATAAAGGTGTACTCTAGTCCCCCAATGATGTATAGAGATGTACTCTAGCCCCCAATGATGTATAGAGATGTACTCTAGCCCCCAATGATGTATAGAGATGTACTCTAGCCCCCAATGATGTATAGAGGTGTACTCTAGCCCCCAATGATGTATAGAGGTGTACTCTAGTCCCCCAATGATGTATAGAGGTGTACTCTAGTCCCCCAATGATGTATAGAGGTGTACTCTAGTCCCCCAATGATGTATAGAGGTGTACTCTAGTCCCCCAATGATGTATAGAGGTGTACTCTAGCCCCCAATGATGTATAGAGGTGTACTCTAGTCCCCCAATGATGTATAGAGGTGTACTCTAGTCCCCCAATGATGTATAGAGATGTACTCTAGCCCCCAATGATGTATAGAGATGTACTCTAGCCCCCAATGATGTATAGAGATGTACTCTAGCCCCCAATGATGTATAGAGATGTACTCTAGCCCCCAATGATGTATAGAGGTGTACTCTAGTCCCCAATGATGTATAGAGATGTACTCTAGCCCCCAATGATGTATAGAGGTGTACTCTAGTCCCCCAATGATGTATAGAGATGTACTCTAGCCCCCAATGATGTATAGAGATGTACTGTCATGTATAGAGATGTACTCTACCCCCCAATGATGTATAGAGGTGTACTCTAGCCCCCAATGATGTATAGAGGTGTACTCTAGCCCCCAACGATGTATAGAGGTGTACTCTAGCCCCCAATGATGTATAGAGATGTACTCTAGTCCCCCAATGATGTATAGAGATGTACTCTAGCCCCCAATGATGTATAGAGGTGTACTCTAGCCCCCAACGATGTATAGAGGTGTACTCTAGCCCCCAATGATGTATAGAGATGTACTCTAGTCCCCCAATGATGTATAGAGGTGTACTCTAGTCCCCCAATGATGTATAGAGATGTACTCTAGTCCCCCAATGATGTATAGAGGTGTACTCTAGCCCCCAATGATGTATAGAGGTGTACTCTAGCCCCCCAATGATGTATAGAGATGTACTCTAGCCCCTAATGATGTATAGAGGTGTACTCTAGTCCCCCAATGATGTATAGAGGTGTACTCTAGCCCCCAATGATGTATAGAGATGTACTCTAGCCCCCAATGATGTATAGAGATGTACTCTAGTCCCCCAATGATGTATAGAGATGTACTCTAGCCCCCAATGATGTATAGAGATGTACTCTAGCCCCCAATGATGTATAGAGGTGTACTCTAGTCCCCCAATGATGTATAGAGATGTACTCTAGTCCCCCAATGATGTATAGAGATGTACTCTAGCCCCCAATGATGTATAGAGATGTACTCTAGCCCCCAATGATGTATAGAGATGTACTCTAGCCCCCAATGATGTATAGAGATGTACTCTAGCCCCCAATGATGTATAGAGGTGTACTCTAGTCCCCAATGATGTATAGAGATGTACTCTAGCCCCCAATGATGTATAGAGGTGTACTCTAGTCCCCCAATGATGTATAGAGATGTACTCTAGCCCCCAATGATGTATAGAGATGTACTGTCATGTATAGAGATGTACTCTACCCCCCAATGATGTATAGAGGTGTACTCTAGCCCCCAATGATGTATAGAGGTGTACTCTAGCCCCCAACGATGTATAGAGGTGTACTCTAGCCCCCAATGATGTATAGAGATGTACTCTAGTCCCCCAATGATGTATAGAGATGTACTCTAGCCCCCAATGATGTATAGAGGTGTACTCTAGCCCCCAACGATGTATAGAGGTGTACTCTAGCCCCCAATGATGTATAGAGATGTACTCTAGTCCCCCAATGATGTATAGAGGTGTACTCTAGTCCCCCAATGATGTATAGAGATGTACTCTAGTCCCCCAATGATGTATAGAGGTGTACTCTAGCCCCCAATGATGTATAGAGGTGTACTCTAGCCCCCCAATGATGTATAGAGATGTACTCTAGCCCCTAATGATGTATAGAGGTGTACTCTAGTCCCCCAATGATGTATAGAGGTGTACTCTAGCCCCCAATGATGTATAGAGATGTACTCTAGCCCCCAATGATGTATAGAGATGTACTCTAGTCCCCCAATGATGTATAGAGATGTACTCTAGCCCCCAATGATGTATAGAGATGTACTCTAGCCCCCAATGATGTATAGAGGTGTACTCTAGTCCCCCAATGATGTATAGAGATGTACTCTAGCC